GGTTATGCATAATTGCATATACATTCAATCTTAATTTCTTTATAAAAAAAATCCTTTCCAAATATCCTACCTCTTGCTGTTCTTTTTCTCTACTTTTAGACCCTTTCAGCAGGAATTTCCTTTTAAAATGAAGCCCTGTGTAAGTTGCCGATTCTTCTTGCACAATGGAGGAAGTATATTCGAAAGGTTAGGCAATCTAGCATTGAGGAACGTGTTTCATTTTCCAATTTGCTTTTGTACACACATGAATGGTACACATTAGAACTCTGCATGTACACTTAAGTATTCCTTTCTCTCTCTCTTGCAGGTAGGAATTAAAAGGAAAGTGGTATTTTAAGTTTTCTTGCACAGTTTTTGGTGATGGACTTAAGTGACTTCTGAGAGGTTAGAAAGCCAGCTGTGGGCAGACTGCATCCTGTCACTCACAGCTATTACATTTCAGCTCTTCAGGACTTTAAAACTTTAAACTCTTTGCAGGATCTTTGGATCGCACATGTATGCCTGTCACTCCCTTGTTCAGCACTTGGGACTGGTTGACTCAACACATGTTTACTGCTGAATGCCTGCAGCATCTGGCAATGGCATTGCCACAGATAGAACTCTCTCAGATCAGGCAAAAGGTCCATTTTTAAACCCCTGGTATCTCCATGTAAAAGCATCTCAGGTTGGCAATACCCTGCCTAAGAACCTTAGAATGCTGTTGCCAGGTGGAGTATACTAGTAGCCACTGATAGCTTTATTCTCCGTGACAGCCTTTCTCAACCTTGGGTCCCCAAGTTGTTGTCGCACTACAAGCCATCATTCCTAGCTAGCAGAGCCCCGTGGTCAGGGCTGATGGGAGTTGTAGTCCAACAACACATGAGGACCCAAGGCTGAGAGAGGCTTCTCCAAGGGATGGAGAACCTGTGGCCTCCAGATGTGTTGGGCTCCCAACTCCCTTTAGCTGTCAACCCAGGGTGTGGCAGCTGTGAAAGGCAAATCCCATGCTAGGGATCGTTGGGAAAGGAATTGAAAATAAAACTAACAAGAATCAAAATACCAACATCTATGGTGCGACTGCATTTGGAATGCTGTGTGCGGTTCTGGTTGGCTCACTTCATAAAGTTATTGTAGAGTTGGGGAAAGGTTCAGAATATGGTAACCCAAATGATCGAGGGGATGGAGCAACTCCCCGATGAGGAAAGGTTGCACCATTTGGAGCTTTTTATTCTAGGGAAAAGGCAAATGAGGGGGTGACATGATAGCATTTTATAAAATTATGAATGACATGGAGAAAATGGATTGGGGTGTGTGGAATTGAATGAAGAAACTGCCTGCCGGAGGAAGCGCTTTTGTGAGGGGCCCCTTGAAAGGGGATGTGGAGAAACCTAAAGTGGATTTTTCTGCATGTGGGCATGTTCTCTGATTCTACAGTTTGGCTGGCAAAGAAGGTTGAGTGGGTCTTTAATCTCTTATAAAGAGAGATGGTAGAATTCAGGTCTGTGTGAGAGTCATGCTCTATGCCCAGTAAGCCTGCTTCTTTAGCTGTAAATTTGGGAGGAAAGGTGGATAAGCTTTCGGTAGTGATTGAAATGCACTTTGCACATGCTCTCAGACAATTCCTCTCCTTTATTGTAGGACTTTGGTGCTGAATGTATCTTATAGGCCTTTTGCCAGGGGAGCCTTAGCACAAACGGAGTCCTAGCCAATGTACACTTTCTCCTTTTGAAAAAACATGTGTGCATATGTATCTTGTGATTCCCAGTGAGTGGCATTCAGAGGCATACCACCTCCAACAGAGGAAGCAGAACACAACCATTGTGACTGGCAGCTGTTGAGAGTGGCTTGCCCAAGACCACCTAGTGAGTTCATGGCAGAGGCAAAATTCAGACGGGGGTTCCCTTATTTCTTAACTCAGTCTTGTAGCCACTAAGTTTAGTGCAGGGATATGGAACCTTTGTCCTGTCCAGATTTGGGCTACAGATTTGGGCATGGCCAATGGGAGTTGTAGTCCAACAATGTCTGGAGGGCACAGGATTCCATGTCCCTGCACTAAGCAATATACAAATGTTTCTAAGTAAAATACAGAAATCAAAGAAAGTTGGACTTCTGTGCAGCCAACTCAGAACAGGCTGTTCTCTACTTCTGTGATTTGGGCAGAGTGGGCAGGTCATAATCTCTTCTGATTGTTCACCAGGTTTTATTGCTTAAGACAGGGCAATAATAAATAGCACACAAAAAGAGGCATGTGACGTGTCCTTTCCCTGGTTTTAAGGTACAAGGTCATGGAAATGAACACTTTGCCTGGCTAAGCTACGCTGTGAGTTGTGCTTGTCTTTCCAGCTCATTTGTGAAATTAAATGGGAACGACAGAAGAATGACTTTAGTCAACTCTTTGATGTCCCAATGTGTTTGTGGGGCTCTTATGTCTGTGTCCAATGACAAAGTAAGTTGATTGTTTCGTATATGATTTTCCTGCCTGGGTATATAATTGTAAGGGCAAGCCCTTATCTGGTGTGAAGCAATGCGCAACTTGTTTAAATTCAGTAGGGTTACTTTGATTTTAGACAGCAATATGGATTTATACGACAAAAATATTGAGTCTGAGTGACTTCTTTATGAAATGAAATAAAGATGGTACAAGAATGTCACCAGTCAGCTTTTCACTATCTTGAAAGATTTAACACTCCAGAATGAAGGACTTACTTCCGAGTAAACATGCTTGCCTGCAGTTTTGTGCACACTTACCTGAGAGTAAACCCTATTGAACATAGTGGGGCTTGCTTCTGTGTAAACATGCACAGGCTTAGGCAGCGTATAGCACATGTTTACTCAGAAGTAAGTCCCACTGTATTCAGTAGGGCTTACTCTTTGCAAGCGTGCTTATGATTGCAGCCTTGGTAGTTGTGATTTTAAAAAACACACCTTTAGTTGCTGTATGTGAAGCTACTCACTGTCACTGTTTACTGTATTGTTTAGTGCAGAGTGTTTCACTTTGTTTCTGATCTTCTAAATATTTATGCTACTCTTTCCCAACCTGGTGCACCCCAGATGTTTTTGGACTGTCAGCTTCAGCCAGCATGGCCAGTTGGCAGGGATGATGGAAATTGTAGTTCAAAAAATCTGGCGAGCCTCAGGTTGGGTGAGGCTGATTTAGTCCATGGAAATACTGTTGATGGAATATATGGCATAATAAGATGCTATCGGGGAGGTGCAGGAAGCTCAGGTGACTGACCAAAATTAATTCCTTTCCAATTATGGTCCGTGTAGAATCTTCATTTAAAACTCATTTCAACACAGAATGGAGCTGTGGATCATTGATAGGGTTTATATCTGCTAGTTTACCCATTCTTCCAATCCCAGCATGTTGCAAGTCAAAAATAAGACAAAGTGAATTAAGCCAGAATTTAACAAATCTTGCTGACCTAAGAATATCAGGGCTACAAAGTAGGGACAATGTTGTTGATCACAGAGGTTATAAGATGTTATACCTTACAGAAATGGATAGTTCATAAGCGGATAAAGATTTGATGAAATGTCCAAGTTAAGTATAGTACTTTGGGGGCTGGGCCAGCCTGTAGGGTCAGGATGTTGCCTGATGTCTTGTACCTGGGTTTTTATTCCATTGCCCAATGTAGTGAAGGTGAGAGCTGTCTTCTCCTGGCCTCCATCCCGCTTCTGCCATATAGAATGCTGCAAGCATTGCTGTCTTGCGAGAGGAGCAGCTTCCTATGATACTAAATATTACAGTTTTGTTTTTAATTGTTATACTTTTAGGATAACATGAAAAATATTTACTTTGCAACTAATACTGAGGGTTGCAGACCAGGGCATCTGGTGTGCCTAGTACAAAAAGAAAAAAAGAGAAAGGCTTCTTAGTATAGTAACTGTTACAGAATAATTTGTGGATGATCAAGGTATTAATGCTCTGGGAAGGAGAAGTAAATTATCTGCAAAACTGTGAAAGGAGTGGGAGTCTACTTCTCATTTTCTGTAATGGCACCCTTCAAAGCGACAAATGTCAGTGTTAAATAGTAACTGCAATATAATAGTAACTTCAGGCACTGGGATGCATCAACACTTTTAGTTCTACCCGTTTACTGGTAGATTCCCTTGTATGTATGCACTTCTTTCTTTTGTCACGATCTGGACAGTAATGTCTCCGCCTTCATTTACATTGGAATTTTATGTGTATGTTTGACCCACTTTCATTGTGGAAACAAACAATGGGAGCTGTATCTGATCTCTCTTTCTCTGAAGGAAATCACCTTCAAACCGTTTAAGATTTAACCTTGCGCTTAGGTTTCATTGTGGGCAGTTCTGCTGCAGTTCTGGACTAGAGGGCAACGTAGCAGTCCTTTGCTTTCTGCTCACAGCATCATAGTTAACTTCCACCTTGTTGCCTAGTGCAAACAATGAGAGCATCTGTGGCAACTGCGTCGGTTAGGGAGATGCAGGCAGCTACCCTTTCCCAGGAGACCGAACTCTCTGAAGGCACTGTCCAACAGGTGATGCTCCCTTGGCAACAGCTCATGGTTTGTCTAGAGTGGGATAAACGATGAGTTGGGGCATAACACAAAGCCAAACAATGGCTTAGCTCACAGCAGCAAAGCAACAGGGGAGGAGCAGAGCAACTGTGACCTGTCTGGAAGCCCCATATTTGTTTATTTGCAACAAACCATGGTTTGGCTTAGTCCTTTGTGCAAACTGGTGGACTACTGAGCTAGGCGGACCAATGGTCTGAGTTGGTATACAGCAAATTCCTATGTTTCTAGCTTATGAACAATTCTTTGTGTAGGGTTTTAACTTTCCAATTATTGTTTATGTGGTTCCATTATATGTGTTGCTCTAGCCACTGTATGGCATCCTGGGATGAAGGGCAGCTAATCACTTGAACAAGTAAATAGCTCCAAATGTCTGGAGGGGACCAGATTGGGGAGGCTGTTGTACATGTGAAGGATATAGCTTATTACGTCTTTTAAGTGCTTTTGGTTTATTTGACCTGTTCACGTTTAAAAAAGGTTGTTACTGATGATCACTGGAAGAAGGCCCCATATCAGGATGAAGAAAGAACAGACACTCAAAAGGTCACACCCAGAAGATGGGGCTCTGGAAAAAGATCCCGCCCTCGGCCCCTCTCAGATTACGGCCAGTTGGCAATTAGGAGTTTCTCAATACCAGAAGATTCCGTTGCTATGGAGTCTCAGAAAATGGATTGTGTGGATGTTGACACTGAGCCCGGATCGCCTTCCGCTGAGCCGGGAACCTGTATGGTAGCCAGTCAAAGAGCGCGCAAAAGAAGACCCATCTCTGTCATTGGTGGGGCCAATTTCTATGAGAACCAAACAGAAGAAATAACAGACCTCCTTACACAAGTAAGACACAAAATGCGCAATCAAAAGATCCTCCTCCTCCTTCCTTGCCTGTAACCTTCAAGTTAGAATTAGTGGACACCTCCTTTTCCTTCCTTCTGCTTATCCCAAATCACCATCATTCTTCTAAAAAGCATGACATCAGACTAATTAATACTTCTCAATGGATGATTGTTCCTTTGTGGTGTACACTAACTTTCCTCCTTTCTGGATGCTGATACTTGAGGCTTAGAAATATTTATATCTCTGTGTATATCTAAGTATGACCTATGTAATCAACAATACAGGTTGTTGTTGCATATAAATTTCAGTATTAACGTGTATTAATTGTGTTTCTTAGGCCTTTGAAAGTGTTTATTTAGAAATATTTATGGGCACTAATTCTGGCATTTGACCAACAACCGTAGGGAAATGTGCAATAGAGTTATTAAGGGACTCTCCTTATAAACCAGAGTGTTAAAGGTAGTGCCTTGTATCTAGCACTAGTGACTACAAGGCTTGTGGCACCTTAAAGACTTAACACATTTATTGTGGTATAAACTTTTGTGAACAGAATGATACATAAAAGGATCCTATAACCATGCAGGCATATATCACCCCTGAGTACTAACAATTTACCAATTCATTTATTTACCAATTCATTTATTATTCTTCATTCAGAAGAAAAACCAAAGTGACAGACGACACAAGAGTAAAATCTAAAAAACAGTCCTAAGAATCTGATGTAGCAGACCTCAACATTTACAGACCCAAATCCACATTTACAGACCCAGATCCACCATGCATGTACCCAGGGACCCATTTCTTCATTTTGTTTGGTATATTTGTAGAGCCCACCTTAGATCACCTTAGAGCCCCCACCTTGTTATGGTATATTTGTAGAGCCATGATCCACTAGTGAGTCCTGACCTACCAGCTGAAGATACATGTATCTGATGAAGTGGACTCTACAGAAACATATGCCACAATAAATGTATTGATCTTCAAGGTGCCAAATACCTTAAATACCTTCGTTCTTTTTGCTACAGCAAGCTAACATGACTACCTGTCTCTGGAGTTAGTACTAGGTGACATGTTGGAGAAAGGACCAGTAACATATGTGAAATTTGACTCATTGTTGACTTCTGGTCCAGTTGTGTTCATATACCACTGTGGGCTTAGCTCTGTCCTGATTCAGCTTTTCAAACTCTTTATCACTAACTGACACTTGGGATAGCTTGCGGAAGTATGCCAAAAGCTTCGTTCATCCCATGGCACAATCAGAAGTGGACAGGAATTCAGTGTGGGCTAGCTTTTTCATGCACAGGCTGAGATGGTTATGTGAACTGGGCCTGAGACATGAATTAGCTCTTAGGTTATTTCTCCCCAGATATGGCTGCAATTATATCTCTGCATACCAGCAAAGAATGTCACACGCTAATCAAAGTGACATTGACCTAGCTAAATTTGAATACTGTAACATTTATAGAGGTTGCACAGAAGCACAAGTCCCACATCTGCCTCTATCTTGGAAAAAAGCAACATCTAAATTTGCCCTTTTGTGGAAAATGAATAGGTAGTTCATGACTACCACAGTATACATGTATATTTTGATCCATCTTTTAAAGCTAGAAACTTAATACTTCTCTTAAAAGATGGTCTGTAAATAGTTGGGTTGTGACTCTTTAACAAGGAGCCTGTTTTGCTGTACTACTGACTTTGGTTCAAGTTATACAAAATATAATTTGTAAATGAATGAAGTTTGAACAGAATTAACTGAAATTTCCTTTTCTAACATTCTGGAAGATTTTAAAAGAATGTACCCTATTTTATTTTTCAAGTGTTCTGACATACAGACATTTCCATTTCCTTTTAGAAACACCTCCTGCTGGGAAGCTCTTTAGCAGTGGGAAAATGAAACATTCACATAAAGATACAGCCTTCTCACTAATTTAAACCACGCTAGAGAGCTGTATTGTTTCTTTTGTGAAAATGAATGGGCTTCTAACAGACATCTTATATATGCGGAGAGCTTCAGATGTGCCATTAGCCTTCAAATATTCTAAAAATAAAAAAAATTGTCTTGTTCTTCCTTCATGAAAAAAAGTTTTGCTTTGGAAGGGCCTTTGCATGGCATCCAGAAATTTTCACTTTGTCATTTATTAATTCTCTTGTGATGGGTCTTTGGCTTCATACTTTACAATAACTCTCATCACCAGATTGTCATGAAAAGATTACCAGAAATGGAGCCTTCTTACTATGGATGTGCCGGGAATGTTGTTTTACTGTTTTTTGTTTTTTGTTTAATAAGCTTTCCAGCAAGGCGAGATATTTGCTTTCCTCCCTAATCCAGATTTTCTGCAGTGTATTTAAGGGGGGAATTCTGCACACTTGCGATTTCTCCTCCACATAGGATGCTATCCAGAGTTACTGTTCCTGACAGCATAGTCTATTCTGAGTCTGACTCTGGGCTTATCCACACTTAACTTTCTCTGCTCTTTCCAGGCGTGGTCTGTGATTTAAAGCTCTATATCTGAGCACCCCCCCCCTCCCCAGAGCTTTTCCTGCAAAAAACAGCCCCACTCTTTAAAGCTCAATAGGAGCAAACACCAATCTGTGGTAAACCCGAATTGACATTTGCTACGAATCAGCTTTAAAGAGCAGGTTTTTGCAGGTCATGGTAAAATAAATCAGAGCATTAAAGCATGGACCCTCATGCCTGGAAAGACTGGAGCAAAAGGTAAGTGTGGAGAAGCCCTCTTATGTAGGTTTTACCCATATTTTGTTCTCATTGGATAGCATTCAGCAAGTCTGCCAGTTTACTGGCACTTTTAAAACTTAATTCCTCTGGTAAAATTCTACTTTGCTGAATTTCTGGAGACAAATTCAAAGGTACTGGACCACTTTAAAGGTAGGTATAGTCTTATTATTACTGATGCTAAGAAGAGGGATCAATTCTCAAGGCTTGGATTTTGTTCAGCACAAATGTATTAATTACTTAAAGAAGAGTTGAAGTGAAACACTTGGTAATATCGTTAAGTATAAACAAATTCACAACAAGCAATAAATTAGCTTTTTCTTGAAAGTAAGACCTGCTGAAAACTGGTATTAGTTTGCTTTTTTAATTGAACTGTTAGATAAGGGAATTGAAAGAGATTTCTATGAATCACTATATACGATGCATTTAAACAACAATAATAAAACACAGCAATCAAATAATTGCTTGAGGGAGATTTTTGTTAAGATGATATTTTTATTTAAGAGAAATCAGGAGGCAACACACAAGCTCCAGCAGAGTGTCAGAAAACCCAAAGCAAAGCCCTTGTTGACCTTTATTTTATTTGCTTGGGAATTTGATGCAGGGAAAGCTCTGTTCTATAAGAATCCTTGTTTCGCACTAGAGGGTCAATTAAGGTTTCCAGAGAGGCAGCATTTAAGTTTTGATAACTAGTATAGCCTTCTGAGAAGGAATATGTGCTTGAAAGGCTGTGAAAATGTGAAGAAGAGAGTAGCAAATCGAGTTTAGTGTGAAGGTTTTTAATGCAAAGTGTGACTGGGAACAAACACTTTAGAAAGTGCAATCAAGTAAGGGGGAAAGGCAAAGAACAGTATTTGTTTTATTATATCATATTATATAATATAAGAAAATAATCAAAGTGCTTACATTAAACACTTAGAGAATCAGTTGCATGGAATGTGTTACTTAAAAGTGCATTTATAAACCTAATCAGTACTTTTTAATATAGGGAGAAAGATAGAAGGGCCAATAATAAAAACTCAGAGACCTTTTTCCTTTCAACTTCGCTAAACCTCTATAGGCAGCTTGTTCAAGTTTCACCATCACCTGCAGGTGGTCACCAGGGAAAGAGCTTTTTCTGTTGTAATGCCTTAGCTCTGAGAGCTACTGTACTTAACTGAGTCAGCCAGCCATTCTCTCCTCTGTAATACGCCATTTCATTCCATTCACACACACCCCTGGTTTTTTGTTCTTCCCAACAACTAGTTAGTATTCTATGCCTCCTGAGCATGCTCAGCACACACTGGGCTGTAAACCCCTTAGGGTTTATTTCCCCTAAAATGGGTTGTCGTTTTTTACTGGGGGGAGAGAAGGCATTGCTTCTGTAAACCTCGTGGTTTCCCCAAAGCCTGCTGAGACAGATTATGATGATGATATTAATTTTATTTTTACCCCACCCATCTGACTGCCCCAGCCACTGCTTTGCATAAGCAACAACACTCACCTCCAAACATCAGAAACAGAAGGAATGATGGACGTTTACATTTACATGGAACCCTAATGTTGATTTACTGCAGTATAGTGCTGAGAACACTTTTCTTTTGCCTGTGTAAACTACTTCATTTCTAAACAGTGTTTTCTGCACAGCTTGGTTGGACTTCCAGGTAGATTTCTTTGGTAACAAGCTTTCTTTGTTTTCCTTTTTTTTTTAGCCAGTTGCACGCCCTCCGGTACCAGCGCATCAGGTTCCTCCTTATAAAGCTGTCTCAGCCCGATTCCGCCCCTTTACCTTTTCTCAAAGTACACCCATCGGTCTGGATAGAGTTGGATGTAAGCGGCAAATGAGAGCATCCAATGGTGAGTTTCACAGGAGGCCAATGGAAAATAAACTTACAAGTTATTCAATGGTTCCTCTAATCAGTGGTGGCACCCAGATTGCTGAACTCTCTCCCAAAGAAGGCCTGCCCAGCCCCATCTACTCTGGCAGATTAGCCTTTCATTTGGATTTATGTTTGCTTTATATTACCTGATTTATGGTTCTTAAAATTTGGGTCATTTGTATCCTGTACGGTTATACTTTTTCATGGTTTATGGCATGGGTAGGCAAACTAAGGGCTGGATTGGGCCCAATCGCCTTCTAAATCCGGCCTGCAGACGGTCCGGGAATCAGTGTGTTTTTACCTGAAGGAGCGTCTCCACCCCCATTGTTCTGCCCGGACGCAGAGGTCCAGCACCGAGGGCCTTCTGGCGGTTCCCTCATTGTGAGAAGCAAAGCTACAGGGAACCAGGCAGAGGGCCTTCTCGGTAGTGGCGCCCGCCCTGTGGAACGCCCTCCCATCAGATGTCAAAGCGATAAATAACTACCTGACATTCAGAAGACATCTTAAGGCAGCCCTGTCCAGGGAAGTTTTTAATCTGTGATATTTTACTGTATCTTTGGTTTTTATGGAAGCCGCCCAGAGTGGCTGGGGAAACAAATAATAGAGTGGCGGGGTACAAATAATAATAATAATAATAATAATAATAATAATAATAATAATAATAATAATTATTATTATTATTATTATTATTACATGAGTAGAATGAGTCCTTTTATTTAAAATGCATCTCTGGGTTATTTATTTATTTTGTTAAAAAAAAAGCCAGGCAGCGTCCGTGGGTCTCAAACCACTGGAAGCAATTAGGGGATCTAAGCAATTATTATTATTACATGAGTAATAATAAAGGGGATCTAAGCAATTATTATTATTACATGAGTAGAATGAGTCCTTTTATTTAAAATGCATCTCTGGGTTATTTATTTATTTTGTTAAAAAAAAAGCCAGGCAGCGTCCGTGGGTCTCAAACCACTGGAAGCAATTAGGGGATCTAAGCAATGCATTGGTTGATGGAACCGCTGGGCTGAGCTGGCTCGCATCTCTGGGTTATTTGTGGGGCCTGCCTGGTGTTTTTACATGAGTAGAATGTGTGCTTTTATTTAAAATGCATCTCTGGGTTATTTGTGGGGCATAGGAATTTGTTCATTTTTCCGCTTCAAAATATAGTCTGCCCCCTCCCCAAAGGTCTGAGGGACAGTGGACCGGCCCCCTGCTGAAAAAGTTTGCTGATCCCTGGTTTATGGTGTTGGTTTCGGTGTATTTTGGTTAAAATAATACAGGCATACCTCAGAGATACTTCAGGTTCAGTTCCAGACCACCGCAGTAAAGCCAATATCTCAATAAAGCAAGTTTAACTTATCCCACAGGGTTGTTGTGAAGGTTAAAAATGAGAAAACCATTACAGCAGTTGTTACACTGAAATTCTTCATTCCCCTCCCCCACAAAACCCTAATATCATCACTGTGAGGCTTATAATGGGATTTGCCACTTCCCACAGAAAAAGACCATTGTTGTTTTCACACACAGATTTAAAACCCACCATTGCCCAACAGTGAGGATGAGGTGTGTTATGTCTTGGATGTCAGCTCTTGTTCCTTAAGGACTTGAATAAAGTCATGCTTTTGTTTGGCAACTTGATCTGGAATCTTGTGCGTGGCTTAAATCCCACCAATGCAATGAGATTTAAGAGGCCCAGCTGTGTGCAGAATTACGTCTTGGTTTTCATATGTTTGAATGGGATGGTCCCTTGATGTATCAGTCTGTGAATGAAGCAGGCATATGGTTTTTGTTCTCCAGCTGTGTTTATCAAGCAAGCCAGCCCTTTCTTGGATAAGGATGGCTTTCCTAACCTAGTACAGTGGTACCTTGGTTGTCAAACGTAATCTGTTCTGGAAGACTGTTTGACTTCCGAAACATTCAACAACTGAGGCGCAAAGGGAGGCCTGCAAAGTCAATGGAGAAAATTGGGGGGGGGGGCCACAGCGGAAACTGTTCAACTTCCGAGGCGTGTTCAAAAAACAGAAGCATTTACTTCTGGGTTTTTGGCATTCGAAAACCGGAATGTTCAGCTTCCGAGATGCTCAGAAACCGAGGTACCACTGTATTGTATTCCACTTGCTTTTGGACCACATTACCCATCATCCTTGCCTGGTTGGGACCAATGAATATTCAGAGTCTGATAGTATCAGGAGGGCACAGGGTTGCGGATGGCTGCTTTAGAGGGCATTTAGACAAACTCATGGAGGAGAAGCTTCTCAACAGCCATGATAGTTAAGTGAAACATATTTCAGTAGCAGTATCCCTCTGAATACCAGATTCTTGGGACGCAAGCAGCTTGAAGAGGGCTGTTTCCTCTGTTCCCTGCTTCCTAGAGGCATTTGACTGGCCACTGTTGGGATCAGGATACTGGGTGAATTCTCAGTCTGGTCCAGCAGGGCTCTTTCTATGTCTGCTGATACAGAAGGACAGATGACGATATCTTCATGACTGGGCAGCCACTTTCGAATGACAGAGAAATGCAGATTCTTATCAGCAAGAAGGGTAGAGACTTTCATTTAATGCCTGGGTTCTTGTTTTCCATTACAGCCAGCGGCTTTCAGGAAGCCACGTGACTTCTGTGGCTGTTTGGTGCTGTTTGTGTGCAGCAGGGGCCTCCAGGGTCTGGGTCTTTTGAGCTGGTCAATAGTGTAAGGATGTGGGGGCTGGAAATGTCTCAGCTAAAAGACCGACATAACTGAGCTGCATTGTCTCTGAAAAAGAAACAAGACCAGAGTTTTGCCAGTCATAGAAATGCGTCAGGCTGGTGTTGAATGCGCTTTATGGATGAGTGGAACGCTCTTTCAGTACCAGATATTACCGTATATACTCGGATATAAGCCGACTTTTTCAGCATATTTTTTATGCTGAAAAAGCCTGCCTCGGCTTATACTCGAGTGAGGCGGGCGGCTGCAGAGGGACGAGTGGCAAGAAAGGAGCCCTCTGCCGCTACCCGCATCTCGCAAGGGCAGGCACAGGAGCCGCAGCTGGGAGAGGCGCTGCTCTGCACTGTGCCTCTCTCAGCCGGGCTCCTATGCCTGCTCTTGCGAGCGGCAGAGGCGGCGGTGGCGGAGGGACGAGTGGCTGCTCCTTCCTCCTCCACCGCCTTTGCCACTGTCAGCGGCAGCGGAGGAGGAACGAGCAACCCAAAAGGAGCCCTTTCAGGCTGCTCCTTCTTCCGCCTTTGTCCCTGTCGGCGGCGGAGGAGGAGCGAGCAGCCCGAAAGCAGCCCTTTGGGGCTGCTTGTTCTTTCCCCTCCACTGCTGCCACCCCCAGGTTTGTGGTGTGGTGAACCGGCTTATACTCGAGTCAATAAGTTTTCCCAATTTTTTGTCCTAAAATTAGGTGCCTTGACTTATATTTGGGTTGGTTTATACTCGAGTATATACGGTATTTATTTTTTAATAGGCAATCCCAAATGCAGAAAGATAAAAAGGGCAAGCCACACTTATTAGGAATATAGGAAGCTGACTGAGTCAGCCCATTGGTCCATCTAGCTCAGTATTGTCTGCACTGACTGGTAGCAGCACTCCAGAATTTCAAACAGGAGTTTCTCCCAACCCCCTGGAGATTGGACCTGGGACCTTCTGCATGCAAAGCAGATGCTCTTCTACTGATCTAGGACTCATCTTCTTTTTAAATGCTTTTTATTGGATTTTAATATATACTCGCAAACATCAATAGTTGGAGAAAGTAGCAACAAATGCACCATCATCTATAAATCATACAATTGACCATTACATAAACAGAGAATTTATATGTGTACCAGTGCACTATTATAAAACCGTCAGCTTTAACTAAGTTCCCTTATTGCGTTAGGGAAGGGATCAGCAAGACTATATACAAGTCTTATTGTATTAACAAAATCCATTTATATGCAGGAGGTGGGGTTTGACCATGTTCTGTCTTGTTTACATGCATAATAAAGTTAAGCCACACTGAGATGAACTTGTTCTTTTTACTCTGACCTCAAGAAACCCATAATATATACATTAATTTCTCTAAAAAGCCTGTTTCTTATAATCTTATTGTACCAATATATGATATCTGCACCAGCAAGGTCCCTCCAGAAACAGGTAATAATAATAATCATAATCATAATAAAGAAGAAGAAGAAGAAGCAGCAGCAGCCACTCTGGGCGGCTCCCAACAGAATATTATTATTAATAATAAAAGCAATAAAAGATCAAACATTAAAAACTTCCCTAAACAGGGCTGCCTTCAGATGTCTTCTAAAAGTCAGATAGTTGTTTATTTTCTTGACATCTGATGGCATTCCACAGGGAGGGTGCCACTACCAAGAAGGCCCTCTACTATAGCAGCTGTAGCTGCCATACGTAGATGAACTAGCAGTTCTTTATTATGAAAGTTCATGTCTGCATCCTCAAACATGCTCAGAAGGGCAAGTTGGGGGGAGGGTACATCATAGTTGCCTGTAATTGCATTGATTTCTTGGAAAACAGGACGAACGATGGCTCTTCTTCATTCTGAGGTTTTTATGCCAGATGGGCACTGTACAAGCACTGGAAAGATACAAGTCCAGACCCTGCATGTTGCACTGGTGTTGCTATTCCCCATGCTGAGGAACAGCTCTTTACAGAAATGTGCCACATTTTGATGTGTTGAGGTCTGCTTGACTCAGCTGTGTGAAAGCTGACATTTCAGCTCTGGGGGTGGCATAGAGTCCTATCTCTCTCCCCGCCACCCCATGTCTCGTATGCCACAGAACAGCTACGCTGTAGCTAAGATGTAAGTCAACAGGATGCAGAAATAGTTCCTGTGCTTGCTGGTGTATGCAGATGTAACATTTTCAAAGTGGTTGCGGTGGTTTTGTTACAGCCCTACTTGTCCACAGCATATGCACGTTTCCCACCTGCCCTCCTGTAGTCTGTGCTTAAATTGGTTTCGTAGGCTTTTGCCACCCCTCAAGCTGGAACTGAGAAAACCTCAGCTCCTCCTTTCAGAAGAACCAGCAAGGCTCATTTAGCAGTTCAGTTCTTGTGGTTGCTTCTTGGAGCCATACAACTCTCTTTACCCCACCCCTCTCCCTACAGCAGTTATGTAACTGATTTAAGGGGAAGTTATCTAATAAGATGAATGATGAACGTTATCTGAAGTAAGCCAAGGTGGAAAGAGGCCTACTCCTTACTCCCTAAGGGTGCTTGCCTGGTGCTTACTTACATGATTTTGGTGCAAACACTTTCCACCCAACATTTTAAACTCCCGTGATGCTGTTATTTAGCTCCTGAATTTTTCTTAGCTCCAACTATATCATATGCTGCTGTGTTAGCTGCTACTTTATATGCTTCCATTTTGTTCTGTTTAATTATTCTTTTTCTGACATTTCCATCGAGCTATTTTAGTGTGGCTTATTAGGCGCCTTCATTGTACTGCTTTGGACAACTACTAAAAGTTTAAGCAAGCCTATTCAGACATGTCATTAAGTATATTTAACTGTTGATTTGTGTGTGTGTGTGAGAGAGAGAGAGAGAATGACTGCTCTTTTAAATATATGTTTTTATCACTATCTTTAATGAATATTTTATACTATTTTATCTAAACAGCATAGTGTTTTTTTTTAAAAAGTGGTATATAAATCTTGTTAAATAAAGAAAAATAAAATGTCCTGACTACACTATTATCAGAGAATCTGTCTATAATCTGGGTGGGTGAAAGCTGCCTCCCAACTGGTGTATCTCTCTATTGTGGGGTAGCTATGCTTGCAGCATCCGGTCTTAGCTCATGTTGGATTATAGCTCTAGCTCCTGGGCCTGGCTCTGACTAGACCTACCTGGAGACTAACCAGGAGACCTACTCGGGAGGTGCCTTCTCCCTGGTACATTTCTAGCTGCTGTACTTAGGCCGCGATATAAGGAAGCAACCTTGAATATTGAAACAGTGGATCAGAAAAGGGAGCAGGAGAGTAAGCAGAAAGTGGTTGAGAACAAAGCTCAGAGTAAAGGCCTTAAAAAAGCTGGAGAGGGTTTGGCCTGTGGGGTCAGCTGATAGTATTTAGGCCGGCTGGCACTGCAGATTTGATGACACCCTTGACCCCCAGCACTTGTCAGGCATCCCAAGGAAGCAAGAGGAAAGGGAGCCTGGTTCTTGATGGCCAGCCTTGAGAGAGAGCATGCAAACAGAGTAAGCACAGTGCCATATAACCACCTACAGGGAGTACCTGCGAATTTAGCATTTGCCATTTACATTCTGCCATAATGTTCTGGCTGCACGATTTGCACCAAGTGATGCATTTTATTTTATTTATTTTTACATGTTGGGGGGGGGAGACTCCAACAATTTGCAAAGGAAGCTTGGAGTTTAAAAAACAAACGAAACAGCAGGAGGGATATATTTGAATGCACAGCAGAAGCCTAATTGAGAATAACAAGAATAAACCTGCACTATAGGCACTTAAGTCCTGAGCTGGCTGTGCCTGCAGTATGTGCATGAGAGCTGTGTGTCCGCTGGGGCAGGTGTTTCTTTTTTATAACTTCCTCCCTAAGGGTACCCCATGATGCCAACAAACTCACAGCTACACTGAGCAGGGAGTGAGCTGTCAGTTTCCAAGTAGCTCTCTGTCCTGAACTGCAGAAACAGAAGCTCAAAGCGATGAATAAGCTGTTTCTGCATTTCCAGTCGATGGCAGCCTCTCCCTGGTCCTCCGTGATATTTTTTTTTAAAGGACTAAGCCTTACATATTAAAAACCAAGCTGTGCATTGTGTATGGTGTTTTTTTGTTTTTGTTTTTTTTGGATGGCAGGATGGTAGCCAGAGGGGAAATGGCCCGGTTTTGGAGCCTGGAAAGCCTTCAGATAGGTATGTTTGAGTAGGAGATAAGCTCCATTTATTTCCTATGGCATTTTATGTTTTAAACTGTTATAATCATGGGGCTTGACTTGGTTTTAAAATAATGCTTATACTAGCAAGACTAGCTGTTGGACCAGCACAGGAAGAATAAGATTAAGTCCTACATCGACTTTTGGATTTCTGACATTCCAGTAGAGAGATAAGAATTGCTCATTCATGTCTGCATTGCTTACTCCAGGCAGTAAACAATAGAGAAATGGCCACAAAGAACAAGAGATGAAAAACTAGCTATACAGAATCCAAGCTTACATATTGCAAAGGAAGACTCAACTCCCCGTTGGTTGTTTTTAATAGGTGCTTCCTCTTAAAATATCTGCATATAAGTATTCACAATTTACCGTGGCTTTAAAAAAGAAAGAGTGGGGGGGGGATGAAGCTTTCCAAATGCAGCCTTAGGCTGTGTGTTCTTTACAGATATTTATGAGAGTGGTTTTCCAGTGTGCCTGCATTGTAAAAATGTGCATTCTTGTATAAGTTGTTCAACTTTCGTTTATGTTTGCAATACTGTATTTTGGGAATATTTCCTAAAAGGGAAATTTAGCAATGCTGTTATGATATAGTTGGAGATTTAGATAGTGCGTTTTAAATAAAGTTTGAAATTAAGAAATAGTGTTGATCATAATAGCAGACTTGCCTTCATAAGCAATGAGGTCTAGAAGGTAAATCAGCTCACTGTTTAATTTGAAAAATTAGGTCTCCCTTAAAAAAGAAAAAGAAAAGAAAAGGCAAAGCCTTGGAAAATTTCAAATTTTTCAAGTTCTAAAACCAGGACGTGGATAATATGGGTGCATAGAACACCCTTTTTTCTAATGCTGTGTCATCATGAGAACCTAGTGGCCAACTTTTTGGCATACCCATATAACTGCCACTCTAACATAGTACTAAGCTCTTCTTTGGTTTGGTGTGGTTTTGCCTCTACACCAGCCTTTGCCAGCCTCCAGATGTTGTGGACTACAACTCCCATTAGCCCCAGAGCAGCCAGTGGTCAGGGACAGTGGAAGTTGTAGTCCAAGCATATGGAGGACACTGCTTGGTAAAGGCTGTTCTTAGACTATTGAGTCTGAGAGCCAGCAACCATATAGTTATAGCACAGCAGGTAATACAGGCCTGGCTCTCAGGCCCTCTGCTCCTGGCCTTAGCTTTCCTTGAAGTCCAGCTACCTGTGCTTCTTGTGGTACCTGTGCTACAGGTTGTGTCCATCCATGATCTAGCAAGTCAGATTGTACTCAGTCATTACACAGTTGTCTGTTAGGATTTGCACAATTGCATGCTAGTAGAAGGCAAGAACTCTTCTTATTGGGATTACCAAAATCCTATATAGTATGATAATGTGATTTAAAAAGTCAGATTCCTCCATCCCTTGGGGAAAAGAGTAAGAGTTCTCTAAGCTACCTGCAGTCACCCATATCCATATCTCTGCTTGGTACGTCTATGTATTTCTACAGTTTGGTTAACCACCACCCTTTCCCAGCTGGAAGCCTTTACAGTGCTTACACCTCTGTACAGCTCTGTTGGTCCTGCAAAAGCAAGTGTGGTGTAGTGGTTAGAGTGTTGAACTAGGACCTGGGAGCACAGGGTTTAATTCTCCATTTAGCCATGGAGCTCAGGGTTGACCTTGGGCAGTTATAAGTCTCTCAGCCTAACCTACATCACAATGTTGTTGTGAGGAAAAAATAGGGACGGGGAGAAGCAAGTTATCACCACCTTAAGCTCCTTGGAGGAGAAGTGGGATATAAATATAATAATAAATGAAAATAAACAAGTTCTACCTTCTTTACCACAGCACTATGGCAATGGTCTGGTTCAAAGCATATTATCTTCCCGACTTGCTGCATGGGCAGGTGTCTGTCAGTAATTACCCTGGAAGGGTGTGAGTTTTGAGGTTTCATTAGTGTTGGCTTCTTCATATAATGCCATGGCTGCTTTTGATAATGGATTGTTTTAGCTGTAGTTGGCTTTTAGGTGGAATACATATATATTTAATTATTTTTCTTGAATGGTTCTCATGGCTAACACAGGTAAATATAACAACTTTGTTTTCAGAGTCCTATCTGCAGGTCAATTACATTTGATGTCAGACATTGCATTTGATAAAACGTAGGCTGTAATGATTTTCGCCCATTCTAAATGTTCCATTCTGTGTAGGGTAGAAAACTCATCCAGAAAAGCTTTAAATACACAAATTAAACAGAGACCCACTTCTGTTTAGGAGGGGAAAAATGGTGGGTTTTTTTATTTGTCAGTCTGCATGTTATAATTCATGCCCAGTTGCCATTTCTGAGTGGTACAAAAATGACATGGTAGACAGAGGAGTCAAAATTCTGGACTGTACCACACTTTAGGTAGGGGCAATTCCACCAGCTTGTCCTACATAGTAACGTAGAACTCATTATTGAAGTGTAGATAGGTAAAATAGCACCGTCCACACACAAAGAGAGAGGTATTTGCAGGCTTCCCAAGGTTTGCAGAAGTACAAAAATATTTAGGTGGGGGGGAACATGACCCTAAGTCAGGGGGAAAGGGACTTCAGAAACAGCACAATGAGGACTAAGTATGCCCAGTAGCCATGGGATGTTGACCAGCTGTTTGGAGAGAGGACTAGAAAATTGACAGGGAAGTGGAGTGGAGTGGAGTGGAGTGGAGTGGAGTGGAGTGGAGTGGAGTGGAGTGGAGTGGAGTATCATGACAGAAGGCATGGCTGGCTGAAACACTAAACAAGGAGCACTCCAGACTTTCAACTGCAAGCCTCACTGGCTCTGTATAATACGTAGATTTTCTCTTACCGTATGTTCAGATTTTTCTCTGCGCTGACGTTTCCCTCCAGACATATACTTTATGGTTTATTCGAGTGGATGTGAGAAGTTGTAAATCAGGCTCCATGTCTTTTTATTAGCAGGATTTTTTTAATTTAAAAAGTCACAGAGATGGGCTTTGACTGTACATAATTTATCAACATTTCACTGTCCCTGCCAGGTGCTACTGATGGAGGTACTGAATCTTCTGCCTTAGTGGATGATAATGGTAGCGAGGAGGATTACAGCTATGAGGACCTCTGCCAAGCCAGCCCTAGGTACTTGCAGCCCGGAGGGGAGCAGCTAGCCATTAATGAGGTAAATGAGGCGATGACTTTGGTGCACGAATTTTTTTCAGAGGTCCACTGTTTTGAGTTTCTTGGACCAAGAATCAGAGATCTGTGGGTCCATAATCTGCTCTTCTTCTTTTTGGAGAACTTCCAAATTACAAACTCTTTATCTTTCACCATTTTGACCGTCTCCATGGATAATACCTAGAAGCTTCAGAAAAGTGGCTTGATATCTCTGTTGCTGCAGGTGTTGCTTGCATCTACACATAGTTACTGAAAACATTTGTCTTTGCCCATCCCTACAGAAACCTTGCCCTTCACAAAACATTTCTGTTTCAGCTGATAAGTGATGGGAGCATGGTCTATGCAGAGGCACTCTGGGATCACGTGACCATGGACGACCAGGAATTGGCCTTCAAAGCCGGGGACGTCATCCAAGTCCTTGAGGCTTCCAACAAGGATTGGTGGTGGGGCAGAAATGAGGAGAAGGAAGCCTGGTTTCCGGCAAGCTTCGTCAGGGTGAGTAAAGCGAGAACTCAAGTTATTTTATTTTTCTTCCGGAAACTACTGAACCACCTCTTTACGCAATATTGTGGTCTTGGGCGGCTGGTGCATTGCTCAAGTTTACTAGTACTTCCTTTCCCACTGCAACACGTAGATTGCAGTGATTATTTTCAGTCCTAATTTTCCAACTTCATCTACGTCAAACTGTTAGAATCACTGCTGTCCAGAATGTCCTCCTCCTCTCCTTCCTTTTTCTTGCAGGTTACAGTCATTGCTTTTGCTATACAAACTGCACTGTGACTACAGGGGGACCCAGCAGATGCATTATCTGCAAGGCTTTTTTTTTTTTTACAGTAGGCTATCCTTTAGTTAATGGGACGCGGGTGGCGCTGTGGGTAAAAGCCTCAGCACCTAGGGCTTGCCGATCAATAGGTCGGCGGTTCGAATCCCCGCGGCGGGGTGCGCTCCCGTTGCTCGGTCCCAGCGCCTGCCAACCTAGCAGTTCGAAAGCACTCCCAGGTGCAAGTAGATAAATAGGGACCGCTTACTAGCGGGAAGGTAAACGGCGTTCCGTGTGCTGCGCTGGCTCGCCAGAGCAGCGATGTCACGCTGGCCACGTGACCCGGAAGTGTCTGCGGACAGCGCTGGCCCCCGGCCTCTTGAGTGAGATGGGCGCACAACCCTAGAGTCTGTCAAGACTGGCCCGTACGGGCAGGGGTACCTTATCCTTTAGTTGCCATTGTTGTTTGTACCCACAACCAAGTATTTTGTGGAGGAGAAGGAATCAACTCAGTGAATCCAGCAAAAGCTGGAGGAAGAAATTCACATAGAGCATTTTATACTTAAAAGCAATGATAAGAATATAGGAACTCTTGTCACCATCTGATTCCCGTTTTAAGAAGAGATTTATATTCCACTTTTCAGGTCATGTGTTCTTTGCTACAATGAAATGCAACATACATATTCAGTTTCAATTAAAAGTAAGGCCACCTGAGCCTCTAGAAACAGCATAGAATTAAGGATTACTCCTATGTACTTGCTCTCTCAGGGGGAGTGTTACCCTGTCTAGAACAGGCCCAGAGTCCCAGTTCCTTAATCTAGCACCATTGACCCACTGGACCTCTGTCTTGTCAGGATTTAGCTTTGTTCATTGGCCTTCATCCTGCCCATTGCTGCCTCCAGACCCTCGTCCAGCACCTGAACTGCCTCTCCTGATTCAGATGAACTAGAGCGAGAGAGGGAGCTGAGTGTTATCCACATATTGATGACACCGTGCTCCAAATCCCCAGAAGGCAGCATGGGATCAGGCTGCATGTCTGGCATTGAGATGTGTGAGTCTGCATCGTACTTCTGTTTCTGTAACGATATAAATGGGTAAAAGAAGAAGAAAAGGCCATGAGTCAGTAGTTTCAGACTGGTATCGCCCTTCCTCCATGCAGCCTGTATGAATTGCCCAATTTTTGCCAGTGTGAGAAACACACGCCAGGCTCTCTGCATTAGCAACTATGCGGTTCAAATCCACAAAGTGTCACACGTTTGCACACACTGCAGTCCTGAGGTTCCCTGAGTACATCGCACTCTTCTTATAACAACCACAGTAAGAGTTAACCATGTTTTCAATCAGACAAAGGCCGAAACAAACTCCTGTCTTCCCCCACAGCAATCTTTTGAAACGGGCAGCACAGTTTCTTCTGTGCCAGCTCAATACGCGGCCACTCAGCATTCCACGCTTCCTATTCTTGGGGCTATTTCTTTTTTAACTTAAGGCATAAATAATTTATCACTTTAAAAAGCCTATTGTAAAGACCAACAGAGTTGGTATAAAGGTTGAAAGGGCTTTCTATACATGATAGGTTGGTGTTAATTGGAAACCGCTCTTTGGATCATTTGTTTGATACTGCCCATTCCCACGCAATCTCTTAATGCTCATTTTTAGATGGCAGTGATTTAAAACCTCCACCTATTTTTCCTCCTATTACATTGGAGAAAGTCCAGTCTGATGCATTTCCTGTAAGAGGAGTGTGCTGCACATAAAAGAAAGGACTTCCTTGTCCAGAGCTTACATCAGGGAGGGGGAACATGTGGCCCTCCAGATGTGGTAGGATTCCAACTCCCGTCATCCCCAGCCAGCATGGCCAAGGATCAGGAACTGACAGGAGTTATAGTCCAGGAACATCTGGAGGGCCTCATTTCCACCACTGGTTTAAATGATTAAATTCTTCTCAGGGGACCCTGTTCACTGTAATAACTACTACACCAAGCTGAGCAGAGCCAGGCTTGCAAACGGTAACTCACCAAGTTCATCTGTGTTGCATAAGACTCTCTTCTAAACTGGTTCTTAGGACTCACTTGACTACATAATATGGGTAAGCTAAATGCTGAGAAATCCCAGTTAATTTCAGTGGGGCTTTTCTGCAGAATATATAGGAGGCTGCCTTGTGCCAAATCAGATTATTTGCTCATCTAGTCTGATATTGTCTCACCTGAGAGGCAATGGTTGCTCTCCAGGATCTCAGGAATACATCACCTGCTCGCTTTTTAAAAGCAGGATGCCAGGGAGTCTGCCTGGGACCTTCTTCATGCAAAGCATGGACTCTACCACTGAACTGTGGTCCCTCTCCAACTCTATGGAACTTTGAGCCATACTATGTAACATAGGCACAAAGGATTATCTCCAGAGTTGTGCCAGGAGGGTTTGGTGCCCACCCCCCTCCACCGCATCTGTTCTGGAGGTCCCACAACCTTCTGGGGGGCTCTTCAACTCAGCTGTGCTTCCTCAACTCAGTTGCTTTCTCCTCTCTTACGATTCCAGCTGCGGGTCAACCAGGAAGAACTTGCAGAAAACGGTGGTGGCCTCCAAGATGAAGAACCCAATGCAGACCCTGAGAAGCACCGCCAAAAAATTGCTGAAAACAAGGATCAGATGAGAACAAACGTGATTCAGGAAATAATGAACACGGAGAGGATCTATATCAAACATCTCAAGGACATCTGTGAAGTAAGCTGTACAATGCTGGAGAGGAGTTGCTTTGGGGGGAGGAAATACCTGTGTTTATTGGGGACCATAGGAAGCTACCTTATACTGGGCTAGGCTCCTGGTCCACCTAGCTCAGTATTGTCTGTTCTGACTAGCAGCGGATATCCAGGGATTCAGGCAGGGAACTTTCCTAACCCTTCCTGCAAAGCAGACACTCTACTTCTGAGCTATGGTGCCAAACTTTGTCTTCAGAAAACTTAAGGTGGGCATATGCTGCATTTCTTGGGTTGCTGCAGTACTTCACTTTCTTGGCCTGGGAAATTTTGTGCAGCTCCCTGGCAGCTGGGTGTTGTTAGCTGTTTAGCTGCTTTCTTGGGGCACTTGTTATTTGCTTTGGCTGAATAGCAAAATTATGGCTTCTATATAGGATTTCTCTGTGAGCGGGTGCTCTGGTCTTACTGTCAGATTGGTTCTACTGTGTACTGGAATTCAGACCATGCAGCTTGGGTTTGGGAAAACTTGTATGGTTATTGCTCCTCGTGAGTTGCAAGGGAGGGACAAGGAAGTCTTAAGATGAAGCTTTCCTTTGTTGACTACTGAGCTTGATTATTTGATGCAACATTTTATTTTCAATCTCTTCATCTTTGACAAACCAATGAGTCCTGCTCTGTCATTTCCAGGGGTACATTCGGCAGTGTCGGAAACATACAGGAATGTTCACTGGGGCCCAGCTGAGCACCATATTTGGAAATATTGAAGACATTTACAAATTCCAAAGAAAGTTCTTGAAGGATCTAGAGAGGCAATATAACAAAGAAGAGCCCCATTTGAGTGAAATAGGATCCTGTTTTCTTCAGCATGTAAGTTGGGCAATTCTATTGCATTAATTAGCTGATGAATGTTATGCCAGAAATGCAGCCATGTGAGCCAGGGCAGCTAACAGTGTGATAACACTACAGAATTAAATGCTAGGCCAATCCTTTAAGGCCCATAGATTGCATGCACCCTTAGCCCAATTATACATACAGAGATAGGGTAGCATAAGAGAGTGAGAGAACATGTTCTACAAACCTGCAGTGCTGCAAACTCCATCTCCTTTATACTTTGGTTATGCCTACCACTGACCCTGTATCAACTCTCCATCACCTGCAGCATCACCTTCCATTCACTTCTCTCATTGTTCAGTTGCCCTTCATAGCAAAGAGATAGAGAGATTCCCTGCCTCTACCATAAGGCAGACCCTCAGTTTTACAATACCACCACCCGAACAGGCGTTGTTGATTCCTTCACATATTGGTATACTGTCACAGATGTCAACATCACACATGATAGTTCTTTCTGGAACAGCTATAATAATAATAATAATAATAATAATAATAATAATAATAATAATAATAAAATTTATTATTTATACCCCGTCTATCTGGCTGAGTTTCCCCAGCCACTCTATGATAAGTTTCAAATTTAGTTTTCTGTTCCTATGTAAGATCTTTACAAAGGAAGGGGCCGTGATTGGCAAATGGATGAGAACACTAAATGGATGAAGCTTTCAGCCTCTTGTCACCTCAAATCAGTGATATGGAAATATGTTAAATTCTCAGCTCCTTTTGGGGTCTGGCCATTTTTTTTTATTCCACCCCACTCCCACATCCTCATATGAACCCCTCAGATGCCTGATGGCATTCGGAAATGTGTAGTGTGAAGCAGTGGTATGCGGGTGCACTCTGTGGCATATTTGGGAGACACTGTTGGTGCAGAAATCTGACAAATCCGCCACTGAGTCTGCCCTAAAGAGCAGGAGAATGGGCCCAGTCTTGTTCCTACATTCACTGAGAAATCTTTGTGATGGTTTAGGTCAGGTGTGTGGAACCACTTTTGTCTGGCAGGCTGGATCAAAAAGCGGCTACCCTTCTGCAGGCCACTCTTGACAGGTGACCGAATCCACTCGCCTGTCAATCACCTGCTGTCATGTGACATTGGTTGTATCTGGGCTTGCTTTCGGTGCTGTTTTTAACAGCACTGAATGTAAATTATGTTGCAAAGGAACAACTGGGAGTGCCCTCCTAAGACATGGGCTCCCAATTGTTTCTTGGAAATAAGGTTTGCATTTGCAGCACTTAAGGCAAGCAGCTCTTGAGCAGTTTCAAGGCATATGGAAGAGAGCGACTGGAAAGGGGATGGCTACAGAAGTGGGTGCTCCAATCCCTTCCTTGATATTTTAACCACAGTTTTGCTTTTATTCTTTCCCCACCCCATTTTAGCAAGAAGGCTTTGCTATCTACTCTGAGTACTGCAACAATCATCCCAGTGCCTGCATTGAGATGTCTAACCTGATGAAGCAGGGCAAGTACCGCCACTTCTTTGAGGCTTGTCGCCTGCTTCAGCAAATGATTGACATCGCCATTGATGGTTTCCTTCTCACGCCTGTTCAGAAAATCTGTAAATACCCCTGCAGCTCGCAGAATTACTCAAGTACACCACTCAGGAACATAGGTAAGGCGAACATTATGTTTTTGCCAAGGGGACCTCCCCAAACTCACTTCCAAACTAACCTACAGCAACTACCGCCCTCTCATTCTGCTTAGTTCATTCTCTTTAGCCTGGAAAAGAGATTATTAAAAGGCTTTCACATAGATGGTGAACTAATTTTGAGGTGGTTGTTTTTGCTCGAGAGAGGAGGACCAAAACCAATGGGCTGAAATTACAAGAAGGATTTAGATCAGGGTAGCAAATGAGATGTCCTCTAATATTGTGGACTACAACTTCCATCAGCCCCAAGCAGCATATCCAGTAGTCAAGGATGATGAGAGTTGTAGCCTACAACATCTGGAAGGTGTACCACGTTGGTGGTCCCTGCTTTAGGCTAAACTATGGAAGAACTAGTTCTGGCAACACAAGCTGTTCCAAGAGTAGAACAGACCACCTTGCTAGGTGGTAGACTCTCCTTAATTAGATGTTTTTAAGCTACCTTTATTGCTACCTTTAGTAATGTAGTAGTTGTATTTCCTTGGACTAAACAGATGAACTTTGAGGTTCCTTCCAGTTCTGTTATTCTATTTCCACAAACACTAGTTCAGATTTGTATATCCTTTTCAAATATGAGCTATCAGTGACATTGGAAGAAGGCCAATACTGCTTATGCACTTGACGAGTGGACAGAAGTGGTTAAATGGTATTGATGAGTAGCTTCAGCATATTAACTGGCCATGTCTACTTTATTCAACATAATTCCCTGACACAGCATCCTTCAGCCACAAATCACTTCAGTTTTTCTTAACCCACATGAAGTCAATGGGATTGGCTATTTTTAAGTGCAAGTTTTCTGTTTTAAGTAGTTTATGACTCATAACCTTATCGGTTAGGAAATGTTTTTTGCCCTGTATGTCTAGTACAAGTTCCCCTATTCTTAATGTAGAAGAATATGTAAGTAGTCAAATAAAGAGGAACATGATTTTACAGTATTGCAAGGGGATAAGATTAAATGTTGTAGACAAACACTCATGTAGTTAATTATGGCCTTCAGTTATATATTTATGGCCAGGATCTGCATGCATTTCCTTTAGGGTAGGGTTTATCTGTCACTGTCTTGGGCAGGATTTTTGTGTGCTTTTAGTTTAACATTTTCACAATAAAAGTGCTTCTATGAGCCTGGATAATATGAAGACAGCTGAAACCTGTAAAAACTTACAGGGTTGTTGTGAGTTTAAAAGGGCAGGCACGACAGTAGCTCACTGGGGCTGCCAATCAGAGTAGACAACACTGCACTAGATGTCCAAATAATAATCTGACCGGGCACATTTTAGCTTTCTGAAACAAATGAGGGGAAAATGCAAGCTGTGCATTGTCTGTAGGTTGTTGTCTGGGCTTACAATAATTGTAATGGTCATGTTGTGGTTTTCCCATCTGTGCACTGTGTGTGGGTGTAACTGAAATGTAAGTGCAGGACGACATTTGCTGAGGTGGTACAGTCCTCTCCCAACCAGAGGCTTGAGAGATTCTGCATCTCTGTCTGTCTGTATATGGAAACCTAACATGACAGCAAGAACTGCTTTTAGCACTTTCAAAGTAATGATACCCTCTGTACATGCAGATATGATAAAAGTCTAATGAGAGGACTGCCGTGCCTCAGCTGTAAGAATGTGTATCACATTTGTCTCCAATTGATGTTGATGTGTGGTGGCCAGCAAGAGGAGATGGTCAGCAAAAACCTGCTCTGAAACGTAAAATTAACGTGGAGGGGTCTGGACACTGAGGCAATTAAGCATGTGATCCCATAAAGTTTTGGTTTATGTGCAATCAGTCCAGGAAGTCACACTGCTGATGCCACACTCTCTTTCAGTAAAGTAATCCCTTTCATTAGCTCTATTTTTCCTCCCAGCCTGCTCCTGATTCAGCTGAACAGGACTCTTGTGGGGGCGAGAGCTCTTGTTGTCTGCTTCCGTCCTCAACTTTCTCCTTCTTCGCCTTCTCCAGTTTTTATTCATTAATGTCTTAGAAATCGCCATGAAAAGGGTGATCCTAGCATCATGAAGAAAATAGGCCAGGACTCTTTGTCTCTCTCTCTCTCCAATAGAGTGGTTCATTTGCATACTCTCTGAATATATACAGTACATATATAAGCTTTCGCCAGCCGGGTGCCCTCCCAATGCTTTGGACTACAGTTCCTACTAACCCTAGTTGTTAATCCAAAGTATACCCCCGCCCTGCTCGTCACCCCCCAACCACCATTCCCACGTTTCTCTCTCTCTCTCTCTCTCTCTCTCTCTCTCTCTCTCTGTGTGTGTGTGTGTGTATGTGTGTAAACTTTCATTTAATATAAATGTTTTCAGACAGTTTCTTATGGCCTCAACCTTTATATCATACAAAGCTTAAACCTAGGGTAATGATTACATTATTAACTCAGAGGAGGGGTATGCTCAAGCCCAAAGGTTAACAGATGTTTTCATCCTCTTAACACTTAGAGAAGTAGAGCAAGGGCACACAAGGCATTTGAAATCCTGGTTTATCAGCAAACTTTGGTTAGTATAACTACGCTTAAGGACCATGCCAGCATAAGCCTGTGCTGTGGTTGGGAAAAGTCAGAAGTAAAATGATGCCATTTATATTGGGCTTGAATTCCATGCACCTTAATGCTCACTGTATCATGACATTAGCACTGCTTTTCCGAATTGTACCCAAACCCTTGTGGCCTGGCGTTCTCGTTTCCGCTGGTGTCTAGCCGCATGGCTCTCACAAGCCGAGTTCAAAGAGGATAAAATGACTGACCCATGCCTGCCTTCATTTTGCAGCGACTATAACGACATAAAGGCAGCATATGAAGCCATGAAGAACGTAGCCTGCCTGATCAATGAACGCAAGCGAAGGCTAGAAAGCATAGACAAGATGGCCCGCTGGCAAGTGTCCATTGTCAACTGGGAGGTAAGGGTGCACTTCCAGGAGGTTTTCATCTCAAAAGTCACAGACAGTTAGATCCAGTCTTGGGATTAGAATACATCCATTATAATCAATGGGACTTAAGACAGGTAGGGGTGGCTAACCAGTTACCGTCCAGATAATGTTGGATTTTTTAATGCTTGTTTCTTTAACAATTGGTCAAAACGAATCACAAACAGCAGCTTATGGATTCTCAAAGCAGCATCTCAGTGAAGAGAACTGTCACACTCAAAAATGCCCAACGGTATAGAAAAGTTTTTCTATACCATTTCTTCAAAAGAGAGCAATTGATGGGGCCAAACTAGTCTCCAGGGAGAGGGCAATTCTACATCAATGGGGCAACTACTGAAAATACATTGCTCCATAATTTTAGGAGTCAGTTATTTTGTAGTCATTGAATCTTGAAGAAGTCATTGAAACTAACTGAGAAGACACGAGTAAGACAGCCCCACCCAACCTGGAACTGAGTTTGCTTAAACCTAGTTGCCAGGGAACATAGGCATGCTTAATTCTGTTGTGACCAAAGAGTCCAGAGATATCCATATGCAAAAATGCCAATATATCTCTTTCCAGCAACTGTGATCCTCAGATGGAGCACTGCTGAAAAATATCACATACCCCAGCGATGTGCTTTAGAAACTGGGCTTTTAGTGTTGAAGCTCCAGCCACCTGGAAATTAGACAAGCATGTAGCCTCTTGATATTTAGGTGGCTTCTGAGGACAATTTTAGGCCGGCTTTCCCTAAGTGACCCAGACATATTATGGAATATTAATTGTAGCAATTGTTTTGTTGCTTTTATTTAATTGAGTTTGTAACTTTTTGTTTGTTTGCTGCAAACGTTTTCAGGGGCAAGACATTTTAGGCAGAAGCTCAGAACTAATCCACTCAGGAGAGCTGACCAAAATCTCCAAGCAAGGCAAGAGCCAGCAAAGGACTTTCTTTCTCTTTGACCACCAACTTGTGTTCTGTAAGAAAGATCTCTTGAGAAGGGACATGCTGTACTACAAGGGCCGGGTGGACATGGATGAGTTTGAAGTGCTGGACATTGAGGACGGCAGAGAAAAGGACTTCAATATCAATGTCAAAAATGCTTTCAAAATTGTAAATAGTGCCACTGAAGAAGTCCATCTATTTTGTGGGAAAAAGCCAGGGGACAAGAAGAGGTGGCTGGAGGCCTTTGCAAATGAGAGGAGGCGAGTGCAAGAAGACAAAGAAATGGGCAAGTATTGTCTTCTGTTGACTTCTCTTATTTCTGTGCTTTGTGGAAACCCTGGTTCAGCTGTATAAGCAAGTTTATTGATTAACAGTTACCACTGGAACTGAGCAGTGGGAAGCTGGCTTGGGGGAGTTAGGGGTGGGTGGGGATGGATTGATTGACGTACAATATTTTTTACTCTCCCTTCACCATAAGGTCCCAGTGTGAGTTACAACATTAAAACTGTTACAAGAATGAATAACATGGTTCTAAACAGAACAGTGTAAATTCAGCAAAAGAGGTGGGTCCCACAAAACCAACTGCCACCCTCCCAAATGGAATTTGCTACAAAATAGAAGCTTTTGAGTTCTGGTGGGTTATCTCAACAAGCCAGCAATGCCATTTAACAAACTCTGAAGTTGCAGACACAAACACAAAGCAGCACATGAATTAGCGACAACCTCACTAATAGGTGTTGCTTTCCAACAGTCATTCACATTTTCAGCCTCACTGATGGATGGTTTGCTGGAAAGTAGCAGCTGCCCCTACAGTCATGGCTGCTTCTACAACATTCTCTGCATGCAGCTGTCATTCACAATCCCACACCTTGTAGAGGATTTTTGAGCACATGACACAGCCTTTAACCTCCCTCTCCTTCATGGGGTTTGGATACGTCACCATACAGTAGGGAGGCTAAATAAAATATGGCCTAAAACCTCATTCCCAACTGAAATATTGAACTCCAAATGCTACTTTGGATGTTTCTGAGCACAATTCAAAGTGTTGGTGCTGACCTTTAAAGCCCTAAACAGCCTCAGTCCAGTATACTTGAGAACTGAGGTCCAGCGCCGAGGGCCTTCTGGCGGTTCCCTCACTGCAAGAAGCCAAGTTACAGGGAACCAGGCAGAGGGCCTTCTCGGTGGTGGCGCCCGCCCTGTGGAACGCCCTCCCACCAGATGTCAAAGAGAAGAACAACTACCAGGCTTTTAGAAGACATCTGAAGGCAGCCCTGTTTAGGGAAGTTTTTAATGTTTAACAGGCCACTGTATTTTAATACTTTGTTGGAAGCCGCCCAGGGGTATAAATAATAAATAAATTTATTATTATTATTATTAATTATTATTACTATTATTATTATTATTATTACTTGCTCTCCCCCAAAGAAACCCCCACTACCACCACCTTTTCCAGCTCTGCAATATTCCGAATGTGGTTGAACGATAAATTTGTAGAACAGAATTATGATATCAGTAGTTTTATTTTAAATTGAGATACTTTTACAAGGTACAGTTTCTGTTATCCGGATAAGGTCCACATCCAACCTGCAGCTTACAAAGCTGACTGCAGTCTCAGGAAACTCACTTTGTCCAAAGCTTTTTGAAAGTCCAATACAATATATCAGCTGGATCACCTTTATCTTATGCTTGTTAACACTCTTAAATAACTCGTAATAAGCTAATAAGAAAGGACTTTTCCCTTACAGAAGCCATGCTGGTTCTGCTTAAACAAGGCTTGCCCTTCTATAAGCTTGGTTATTTTATTTCAACAATATTTCCCACCAGTTTTCCCAGGACAGACACTAAGCTAACTGGACTGTGATTTCCAGAATCCCCATCCTGCCATATCTCTTGTTAAAAATTGGTGCTGGGAATTGAACCTTGGACCTCCTGAATATGAACAATGGAAGAGACCTTTTACTTACTCAGACAATTGGTCCAGCTAGCTCAGTATTATCTCAGGCTCTAAAATTCCTCTAAAGCCACCTTCTACTGTTCTACATCCAAACTGGTGCCGCATAGATAATTGTTAGATTACAACTCCCATTGTCCTCAGTCAGCATGGCCAGCGGACAATGGGACTTGTAGCTTAACAACATCTTGGGATCCAAAGGTCAGAAAGGTTGGCTCTCAGCTGACTGCCAGTCGCTCGCCCAGCTTTCAGGCAGGTATCTGTTCCAGTCCCTCCTGGAGATGCCAGGGGTTGAACTTCGGATCTTCTTTAAGTAGAGCATATGCTGTACTGCTGAGGTTCTCCTTTGAATGCACCATTAAACTGAGCCATTTCCGTGTGACATTTTAACCTGAAATTATTTTCCCTGCAGTCAAAAACCTGAGACGTGTTTAAAAGTACCTGGCTTGTTTTTCCATTGTAGGAATGGAGATCTCAGAAAACCAAAAGAAACAAGCCATGCAAAATGCACGGAAGTCAAGACACGGAAAGATGAAAGGTGACTCTTTCGCTACCCCCACCCCGACCAAAGGCTAATTCACACAAGAAGCTTTTCTCCTTCTCGTGAGGAGTCCTGCCTGTCCTTGGGCATGGTGGGGAAGGTGGTAGCCCATGGACCAGACAATTATAGATCCAGGTGACAGCAGTTCCCATGCTTTCTGTGCCTGGAATCGCAGTGCTGTCTGCTGGCTGTAACTGTGGCGTTTTGCATGTACCATTTATCTACCTGTGTGTACAACTGTGTGTATGACTGTGGACATTTGCAATAGCTTGGGTGCAGAAACAAACGTCTTTGTGCAAACTTTACACCACCCCCGTCTTTGCCCCCACAAAAGTCTTACACCTGGTGTTAATACTTTCTTTCTACAGGTGTCGGATACAGTGGGTGCCCGATGCCGCCCCCTCACCAGAGTTTACATCCTATCCACCAGCGTCACATCACCGTGCCCACTAGCATCCCACAACAGCAGGTCTTTGCCCTGGCAGAACCGAAACGGAAGCCCTCTATTTTTTGGCACACTTTTAACAAGCTGACCCCATTCAAGAAATGAGTGGCTAGAAGATCCCTGGACTATAGAAGGTTACAAGGCGAAGGAAGAGCCACTTGCCGTCAAAGAATTGGTTGGTCCAGCCGGAAAACTCTGAATTCTGGAGGGAAGGTGCCCTGATCTTCCTCTGCTTCAGTGAGAAGGACTTGCCAGCGGTTTAGTGGAGAAGGCTGTGGCTTGATGTGAAGCAAATGTTGACTTGTGTCAATAAACATTGCTGAATGAGAAACCCACCACTTGGTCGCAAGGGCAGAATTGCTGCTACTCTTGAAAGGTGGTGCAGGGTTGTTGTACTTGCACCAAAGGAATGGTTTAAATATCTTAGGTCATTTTGCCTGTCTTAATAATAAATTCATGGCCAAATTTAGAAATAGGAAGGATAGTATCCAACCACTTCCCGCTGGCACAGCATGTTGGCAGAAAAAAGAGGTACCATCTTCTCTGTGAGCACCAAGCAGGCGTATGGATCTCTGGGATCAGGTTAGCTGCCACCGCAAGAACTGCTGAGCCTCCGTCCTTCCTATTTGTCTTAGTTCACTGTCCTTATTTCTTGTTAATTTAACCAAGTAGGAGTAGGACTTCCTGCAAGGCCTTAGCATCTTCCTGGCAAAAATGGGAGAAAATGTTCACTTGGTGACATAAATAGATAAACATGCATTTTTACGTGATGTTGCAAATGACGAAGGAAGAGCCCAATGCATCTTGGGTGGATCCTTATGAAAAGCGGTACTTTGCTGCATGCATTGAATGCACTTCAAGAAACTGGTTTCGTTTTATTTTGTTACCTGCTGCTGTTTTAGCCTGTGAAAATTGCCTCTGTGCTTTCCAGTATGCCTGCTTTTTACACTATGAGAAGCTGAAGTGTTCTCTGTTCTTAATGGCGCCAGTGCAACTAATGAATAAGAGAAACAGAAATCTAGTTGTTAACTCAAGGGAGATTTTTGTCACTCTCCTGTAAATTGGGCAAAGAATCTTTAGTCCTTGAGTGGTTGCTGGACTTCAGCGTCCACAATCCCTAACCATTGGCCATTCTGGCTGGGGCTGGTGGATGTTGGGAGTCTAATAACATCTGGAGGGCCACAGGTTCCCCACCCCTGCAGTAAATATAGAATCATTCCAGCTGGTTTCTGTGACTCCTAGAAAAACCTTCAGAATATCTCCAAAATGCTGTTGATTTCATTATTCTTGCCTACATCAGCCAAGCCAAGAGGGTTGTTCAGGGATTGTTTCTTTGCAGTCAAAATGATCCCACACAAGGGAACATTTAGTGGCATCAGAAATGAACTTTGATCAAAACTCAGGTCAAATGTGGCCGGTTTATGGCTTATTAAAATTATGTTTTCTTGTTTTGCTTTGCTTTGTTCTGTGAATATGAAGCTGTTTCTAATAGAGCGTTTACAGAACATTCTATGCCGAGAACGCCGTTATAAATTAAAGTTTATGGTGCACACTACTATTTCCCTATCTCAGTAGTTCTATATTAATGCAATATTAGCCTAAGTATTATCAACACAGTGGAGTGGGACAATTCTATTTCAGGTTGTTTTTCAAAAGATATCCAGTCTATCCAATTGCCAGTTGTGTTGATGTCCAGAACTTTATCTGATAATGAAGGTTGATTCAGGATTTTTTAAAGTTATTTATTTTTACTGTGAATACAACAGGGGGAGGGGAAAAAGGGGGTAAATCTGTTAAAATATATGAAGGACAATGGGCTACAGCCAAGGTTATTTAACTACAGGGTGAAATATAAAGCCTTTGGCTGACATCCTAAGCATATTTACTAGAAAGTAAATCATAGTTGACCTTACCTCTCGGTAGATGTGGTTAGGAGTAGGCGATTTATTAACTTCCAGTTTTCTCTCTCTTGCTCCCTGCCACCAGCACACAGAGGATATAGACTCTGGCAAAAGTGTGTCACCTTTAAACCCCATTCATTTCAATGGGAATGCTTAAAACACATGCATTGAATTCATTGAGACACAGGTGTTTGGCAAGGGTGTATGTTGTTTAAAAATATTGTTTAATTGAAGCGCAGGCATCTGGGTGGGCTGCAGAGTGCAAACCATTGGGGAGGTGATTTGTAGGATGAATGAAAGGGCACTTGCAAACACCCCTTGATTAGTTCAAAAGTAAGATAAGCACAACAGAAACTGTCAGGCAGTCGCGGACCTGGGCATCTCAAATTTTAGTGGCACCCTGTGTGAGTCCAAAATCCTGCACCCCCTGCCTCTTACTTTCCGATGGACTTTATAGTTGCGGCAGCTGCTACAGTGGTCCAGAAACTCCGTGCCCAGGGCAGCCATACCAGTCGTACTTCCTTAGATCTGCCTTTGATACTGGATAATTTTTTGGCATGGCACTGGGTAAATTAGGTTCTTGTACCTGCATTTTCCATCTTTTTGAAAATGGATCTTTTATTAACAGGCAAGTGGAAGTAGCACATTGCAGACTGTCGTGTTAGTTATGCCTTCTGTACATAGCTTAGCAATGATTGTAAAAAGACACTGATGCTAAACTGGATTGCCCAGCATGCTGTGAACCTTATTGCTTGCTTTTCAATAATATTCTTTTCCTGTCCCCAAATGAAATAGTTGAGAACTGGATATATGGAATTAAAGCCTGGCATTTTAGTCATAGCAGTTGTTAAAGTATTTTTAAAAAATCATTTCAACTGAGACAAAAACAACTGTCGTGATAGCCCACCTGATTTGTAGTCACCTGCTTTGAAAGTTGATTTTTGAAGTCACAGCCTCCCTTCCCCAGATGGGTGGGGTATAAATAATAAATTATTATTATAATTACATTATATTGTTCCATTCACTCTGAAAATGTGGCATAAAATTATTTTCAACAACTGGAACAAGCAGCAAAACATTGCGATGCATTCTTCTATTGTAGCTGGAGGATGTTAGCCAGCCATGCAGCAAGACCTTCCATTCCCTCCTCCCAACCTCCAGTTTTCCTTTCCAACTGACAGCACTCTGCAGCTACTGCTCAGTCCTCAGTGGGCTGTTTTTGAGCGGTGTTGTCCCCTTAGGTTTATGAGTTTTAAAAAATCTATTTGGGTACTTCTCCTTACCCCAGAGCCTCCCCAAACATGCTGCCACCTCTCTCTAGTTTTTCAGTGGTCCTGTTTCGGCCACTGTGCCTGCACCAGGGTTGATTACAGTTTTAAAACCTTTTCACATTTATCATTGCACGACCACAAAACTTGAGAAAGCTGGATGGACCCACTCACATGGCTGTGTCTGCCATAGTCTAGGTGCCTATGCCGTGACAACAAAGAATTTGTTCAGACTGTTGTTCAGTGTTGTAGTCCTGTGACCCTGTGGGTATAGAAAGCAGGGTAAATAGAACGGTGGTCGCCAAGGTCTCTTCTCTGCTCCTGTTGACGTGCTGCTGCTGCTGCTGCTGTTGTCTGCTCTCTGCCAGAACCAGGCAATTTGCACCAATGCTTCTACCACTCCCCCCAGCCCCCCTTCCTGGCCTATGGAGCATAAAAAGAGCTTTGCTTCATTAGGCAGCTTCTCTAGTCAGGCACCTTGCTTTTCACAGTGGCCAACCAGATGACTATGGGAAGCTCACAAGCAGGACATAAATGCAATAGCAAATGGTACCCAGAGGCATACCACCTCTGATACTGGACGTATTGTAGCCATTGCAGCTAGCAACCATTGATAGCTTTATCCTCCATGAATGTGTCTAATCCCCCTTTTTAAGCCATCCATGTTGGTGGCCCTCAGTACTGCTGGTGGAAGGGAATTCCCCAGCTTGAGAATGCACTGTGAAGAAGTATTTCCTCTTGTCTGACTTGATTCTCCCCTTATTTTACTGCATTGAATGACCCTAGCTTCAACAGCAGGGAATAGAAGCCCAGGAGATTCTCCAGGTGTTGCTAGATAAGTTTGACCCTCCCACTGAGACAAATTGCCTGGCTGACAAGTGTACCTTCATTATGGCAGCTTGATAGGAGACAGAAGGATTAGAATGGATCACTATAGCTGACACTCATTGCCCTCATACCTGCAGAATTGTGCCCAGGGAACACTGCTGGAATGGAGCAGAATGCTTTGGATTTGCTTGTAGATGCACTGACGTTACTCCCTTCAGGAAACTCAAAACATTACAAAGAGAGGGAAATGTTTATCATTATTCAGGTTACTCAGGAACAATGTTATGTACAGTACCTTGCACACCAAAGCCGCTTTATTAACAAACTTCTTCACCTTGACCCCTTTTTGCAGCGAAATTTTGCTTTGCATGAAGGTGGTCGTGGTTGCAGCATATTAAGGCTGTGGGGCTGCTTTAACATTAATAATTTGGTTTAGAATGTTTTGACTTTGGAAAATATGAAGGCTGTAAGAATAGATTGGACTTAAGGTAATAATAAAGGTAATATTATTATTAGGTAATATTAAAGGTAAAGGGACGCCTGACAATTAAGTCGAGTCGCGAATGACTCTGGGGTTGTGATTAAACATGCTCTCAAATTATCCTGGAAATTCAGTGGGTGGAATCCAATGGAGCACTAAGGAGATTGTTCTGTCACAGCAAGCATCTTTGCTTGCCCAATAGAACAATATCCCCTCCCCCTCCACACTGTTGGCAGGGTTGTTTCCTGACCCTCCAGAGCAGATTTGGGGAAGGAGGGAATCCTCATTGTGCTAGTGGAAGTTTTCGCACTGGCTACTGCTAGCGGAATAGGCTTGCTAAATCAGACCTTATATAATTGCGCAGCCCAAAATCCAAAGAGCCATTTCAGACCAGTCCAAAGGCTTGATCTCACTCAGTGGGCTTTTTTTCCGTTTTACATTATTTCTTTAAGAACTGATTTATCACAGCAGACATCTGCAACTGGGTCAAAAGTTGTTTTTCCAATTTCACTCTAGTGACCTACTATTTATGAAATACAGTGGTACCTCAGGTTACATACGCTTCAGGTTACAGGCTCCGCTAACCCAGAAATAGTGCTTCAGGTTAAGAACTTTGCTTCAGGATGAGAACAGAAATCGGGCTCTGGCGGCGCGGCGGCAGCAGGAGGCCCCATTAGCTAAAGTGGTGCTTCAGGTTAAGAACAGTTTCAGGTTAAGAATGGACCTCCGGAACGAATTAAGTACTTAACCTGAGGTACCACTGTACAGGACCAAAATAGATCAGAGGTGGGGAATCTCTCACCCTCCACAATGTTGCTGGACTCCAAACTCTCCATCTTCCCTGCCCATTGGCTATGCTGGTTGAGGCTGATGGAACTTGGGGCCTAACAATGTTTGGAAGACCACAGGCTCCCTCATCATTGCCTTTAGTTCCTGGCCTGGGTCTGTAGGGAAGTGGGCTTTAAGAATACAGTATTGTTTTTGCAGGTCACCATAAGCTGACCTTGAGCTTCATCAAATTAATGTCCCTTTAAATAACATTGTTGAGTTTAAATTTGCATAACACCCCCACCCCAGTCTAAACCGAACTGCTGTTAATTTCTACTGCAATGCTTGTGTTTGTTTTTTTGTCATGTTCTCATATGACCACTGATTATGAGGTTCCTCACAATGCTAAAGCACAGCATTTGTGCAAATAACCCTCAAAGCATACTTTCCCTTGTTTCTACTGGACTAAACTAGCGCCAAACTCTTAATTCTCTGGCTTGCTGCTAGCATCTTTTAGCAAATAAATAATCTAGGTTTTACAGTGGCTTGTATTTCAATATACAAAAGTGAAGGAGCTTAACTGAAACTTTTCACATTTTTTTGCGCGGGGCATTCTTTTTACATTTTAAATATATTGTAGATTTTAGCTTGGAGTTTGAGCCAAAGGACCTTAGCCATAAATAAATGGTATATTTCTGTTGACTGCCTTTTCTTTCTCAATGTATATGGTATTTGCATATTGAAGACACCTTCTGAATGATTCTGTGATTTAACTTTGTTGATAAATATTAGGCCTGCTTGTTCAACTTGCTTGTATATTTTGACAAGTGTTCTCTAACAATTCCCCGCCTTCTGTATATGTTCTTATGCATCTTAACAGCTCTGTGCTGCTACATATGTTTCAAGCCAGAATTCCTGGCTTCAGAAAAAAAAATTACTTGGCTGTTGACAGCTAAAGGTATAATGTATAGGATCTCTTTACCTTCATATGTTGTTTGCTGTATCATTTGTTGCCAGATTTATTTGCATTCTGTATGTTTTATATCTTTTAAAAAAATATCTTCTGGGAATGAATCTACAAACGTACATTCCTTGTACCTTGCTCTAACTTTATATGTTTTGATTATGAATGTGCATAACTTAACATTTCTTAGCTGTGTCTTACATAATTTCAACTGTACAGTTTCAATGTTTGTGACTTTTTCATAGCATATAAAATATTGTATGTGAGCTTTAAATATTTGAACATTATCTGACAGCAAAATATCATTTGTTTTGGTTTTTTTTGTCTATTTATAATCTTGCTCTACGAACCTAAGGCTCCCCCCCCCCCCGGCAACATCTAGTTAACATTTAGCTTGCATAACTTCTCATTTTGCATGAGTTATCCCAAAGGAATTTACACTAACATATATAAAAAAGTTAAAGTTGTTGCACATGCAACAATTTTTTTAAAGAAACTGATAAAAACAGCTTAAAAAAACTAAACATACATAAGATCGATTTGGATCCAAGGCAGATACCAACAGGTGTTGTTGCTGCCGCTTCGGTAAATAGGATTGCATCTTTTACTCGTTTTCTAAGAGAGAGCAAATTGAGAAAGGTGGAAAGGTTGGCTGCTTTCTCAGTCACTGTATGTGATGTTTGTGCACAAGCCAAAAACATGCATATGTCTATCTGTGGGTGGGTACAGTTGCCCGAATGACTCATGCAAATGTAAGTAGACACAATTGCTGGCTAAAGATACATTCAGAAAGAACACATGGCCCACTTTGCTGTGCATTATGATAGCTAGAAGGGTTTGGTACTGCAGAAACAAGTAAATTTGAATTTCCAAGAAAGCAACTAAACGGTCCATATTAGAATAGAAGTCAAAAACATGATAACATTTCATCCCCCTTCCCCCAAAGACCAGGATTATATTGTGAGCGGATGGAAGGGGCAGGCAGTCCTCATGCCATTTTTCTAACCAAAAAGCTTCACCCGCACCCCCAGTTCATACGTACTTCATAATGAAACTGTTATTTATGTCCATAGCAGTTTCCCTCCCAGGGTAAATAACAGTCAGGATGTAGGGAGGGAAAGTCACCTGGAAAACATTTTGATGCTGGGCTTACCTGAGGCTAATATAGAAAAACGTGTAAGATTGGAGAAATGCAAATGTGAACATTTATTTAACGTATCATGTAGTTTGTCCCAGAGCTGGCCAGTAAGACAAACCTGGAAGAGAATTCCATTCTGCAAGAAATGCTGCGTGGAACTTCATGCTGGAGGGAGTTTTGTTTGCAGAGTTCCCTGTAAGACTGAAAATGACCTCAATATAGCAGTAGTTCAGTTTATTTGGTCTACAGATAGGGATGCAAGAAGACACTGGTTTCCATTCCACTCTGTTGGTCACCTACAACACTGTTTCTTCTCTGCTGCAGTTTGGCTTCTGACAAAAACTACATAATTTGTCTCGCCCGCCACTCGGGAAATGTTACACAGTTGCAAAATCATTACTTTATTCCCAGACAAATTTTTAATGAAGAGTAAATGCAATCCAAATTGGAAACCTTGATCAATTACGTACCGTTACTCATAGTTTCTGGGCTGAAAACAACAGTGAATACTGACCACATTCACAAGACTTGATTGCAGTTCCGGATGTGGGACAAATCAGTGAACACCGGCATTGTCCACTCCTGTTTCCATCAGAATTCTCTTGACAGCCCTGTAGTCAGAACATAAATAGATACAGACCATAAATATTCAAAACTCTCCTTCATTGGAGGTTTTTAAGCAAAGGTTAAGATGGTCATCTGATGCTTTAGTTAAGATTCCTGCATGGCAGGGGTTTGACTAATGACCCCTAGTGTTCCTTCCAACTCTACAATTCTATTATTCTAAAAGCAATCGCCTCAATCCACTAAATTATTCCTCTCCCAATTGCAAAAGGGCAGCATTTGGCCCTTCCTGAAGCCCTTTGTCACTGATCAAAGATCTCAGTCTGTAGGAAACGAGACTCTTAATCTCAGGGTCATGGATTTGAGCCCCACATTGGGCAAAAGATTCCTGCATGGCAGGGGGTTAAACTAGATGACCCTCGTGGTCCCTCCCAACTCTACAATTCTATGATTCTATGAAGCTTCCAAAAATTATTAAACCACTTATTGTCCAAAGGTTCCATTGTTATCAGCAAACTATTCATGGGATAAGTAAAATACAGTAAGGTGATCTTATTAATGGGAAAAGTTGAGGGGATGCATTATTTGAAAGTGTGGCAGGGATTTTTCAATCTTAAAAGATCCTTTTTTTAAAAAAACTTCCCTCAAAGAATCCTGGGAATTGTAGTTTGTTAAAGGTGCTGAGAGTTGTTGGAAGACCCTGTTCCCCTCACAGTGCTACAGTTATCAGAGTGTTTTAACACTAATCCCTCTTCAGAGGGAATTCTGGGAATTGTAGCTCTGTTAAGGTGAATAGTGGTCTCCTAACAACTATCAGCACCCTCAGCAAACTACAGTTCCCAGAATTCTTTGGCGGGGGAGTCATGATTGTTTAAAGTGATGCGATACTGCTTTAAATGCATAGTGCAGATAACTCCATGTTAAAGCTCTGTGCAGTTAACAAGAACGGACTTTGGGGGTTCAAGTGGAAAACTGACAAAACATTGTACACTGGTGATTAATATTTAAGTGCTGGAATCATTCCACATAAATATCTTGGCACCTGCCTCCATATTAATCATTGAGCGTATCTGAAAACTGGATAACAGCTTTCAGAACTTAGTAACCTACTCCCCAGCTGCCCTTGCTTTAGCTTCACATACAGTGCCTGAGTGTTAAGCACAAGATACCCAAAAACATATCCTGATAGGCAGTGGCGGAAAAGGTAAGACTTGGATACAAACTATGCCTGGGGAGTAGATGAGCAAATATGTAGAGGTTGAACATAAAGTCTCCTGTTAGGAAAAATATTCCATGTATGTTAGGGACAAAGGGGCTGTAGTATACTGAGTGAGACTATTGGTCCCCCCAATTCAGGAATTGTCTATGGACTAGCAGCAACTTTTCAAATGGGGGGGGGGAGGTTTTCCCAGCCCTAAGTGGAGTGGCCTTCATCTGAGCCTCACTGGGCAGTTTTCAGTATAAAAAAGTAAAATAAACTATTAAGACATAACCACAACACATTACAGTGGTACTTTGGGTTAAGTACTTAATTCATTCCAGAGGTCCGTTCTTAACCTGAAACTGTTCTTAAGCTGAAGCACCACTTTAGCTAATGGGGCCTCCTGCTGCTGCTGCGCCGCCAGAGCACGATTTCTGTTCTCATCCTGAAGCAAAGTTCTTAACCCGAGGTACTATTTCTGGGTTAGCGGAGTTTGTAACCTGAAGCGTCTGTAACCTGAAGCGTCTGTAACCCGAGGTACCACTGTAAATGAGAGAGAGTAAAATTCCTGAAAATAACAAGGTATTTGGCTGATGCCCAAAGGATGACAAGGTAGGCCTCCTTGAGGATTGATTTCTATACAGGGGTGCCACCACTGAGAAGGCTCCCTCTGGTCATCTGGAGAACAGGATCCAAGCACTTGGAGAACAGGATCCAAGTTCTGCCTCTGGAGCAAAGGTAGCCTGGCCCCACCAGCTCTCTGGATGGAAAAGCAACTGAGAACAACGAGAAATATGCTCTGAGCCATATGCGAATGAGATGAGCAGTGACAAACTGAACAAATGTAATTTTAGGGAAAAAGCATTGGTGCTCGCCCTCCACCAGTACATTATTAAGTTGTATTCTCTTAAAATATTTGCTCGCTGCTAAAATTAGCTCTTGATTAAGGGGTTTATATACTTCCCATAGGAAGTCTCACTAACCTAAACGAATTATGGACTGCAGCAACCTATAAGGACTTGTTCGGTGACAAAGTACAGACTTTGTATGCAGCCATCTCTATTCCTCATGCCCCCCCCAAAAAAACCCTGATTCCTCCTCTTGAGATGTCTGAGCTGCTGCTAGACAGAATACCGAGCACCGGACTAGCTGGACTAATAGTCTGACTCAGTATAATACAACTTTGTATGTTCACAGTAAACTCCTCTGTTATCTAAACGAATTTTACCCACACACCCCCTACACTATATAACCTTGTGCCCAATTGACAGCATGTGTTACCATGTGTTAGTGAACTCTCAAATGCATTTAAAACAAGATGAAGATGCACAACAACTTTCTGATTAAAACATAGCATTTATTTTGCAAAGCATACTATTCACTGGTTGTTTTATGTTGGTTTTTTGCTTTTAAATATATTGATTCCTTCAGCTGAAATTAGATAGCATGAAACTCTGGATTATTCTGCTGGCTGTTGCAGTCAGCACAGAAGAAATACAAAGACAGAACAGTTGCAATGAAAGGTTTCCTGGGATCCCTGGGAACCCTGGACACAACGGCATACCAGGACGTGACGGACGCGATGGACCAAAGGGAGAAAAAGGAGACACAGGTATCACACGTGTTGTCATCACGAGAACCCTATGAGCAAGTTATACAAAATATGCCAAGGTAGAGGAGAGCAGAGCCACTGATTCACTGTAACAATTGAGTTTACGGTGATCTTCAAGGGTACTTTGGGTGTGAGGTTAATGTTTGTGTCTGCAACCAATGCTGATGGGTTGTCAGGAGTTGTGGCTGTGCAGTACTATGCGTAGTACAATTATGTGGTTGGGAGTTAATGAATGAAAGAAGTTTTATCCCCTTCCCCAATGAGAGCCTGCTGTGAGCACCTCTCAGGTGAGAGATGGGAAAGCAGTATTTGGTGGTCCAGATTCCAGTAGGTGTGGGACATTAGTGTTCCAGAGATGGGATGAGTCTCTAATATGTGTATACCTGGCAGTGATCCTTTGTATGGGAGTTATATTGCTGAGTGTGAGTGGTTGGCTAATGAATGGTTGGTTGATAGAGATAACGAATGAGGTAGGACTTCCAGTTTTAAAAAGCAAAGCTAATTACAGAAGACCAAAGTCACCCAGCCATTGACTTAGAATCGATCAGTAAAAAATATGAACAGGTGATATAATGCGCCTACTCAAGATGGCTGTACCTGTGCAAGCAATGACCAGTGGTACTGCTTGCAGGAACATTATCTTCCACTGCCTTGGATTTTGGGCATTCCAGTTCTCCCTGATGGAACAGAATTGTGTGTTGTTGCAGGATGTGAGGTCATTTTTGCAGTCCAAAAGCAGAAAGCTTAAACATCACCTTTTTTAGCATGAAATGCTTAACAGAACTGACACTGCCTTTTTCTGCGGCTAGGTGAACCAGGACATCCTGGAAAATCAGGCACAGATGGCATAAATGGAGAAAAGGGAGATTCAGGTGAGAGCAAAAACCGAAAAACATTTTAGCTTGTTACCTGCTCCTGAGGGGATATGGATAAATGCAGCTGAATTTTCATGGGTTAGGGGTTCAGCTAAGATTTTAATGCAAACCTATCTAAGGGGGGGGGGCATTTAATTTGCAGTAATGTCAAGTGAATTAAAAAGTGCCACTATTGGAGAATAGAGGTCACTGTCTCCCACTGTGTGTCTTAAGCACTTCACTGAGCACATCATAATTAAAGTGTAGTCTGGAATCCTCCCATTTCCTACATGTTTGGATATATACCGTATATATCCCAAATGACAGCTAAATTGCAGCTCTTGAAAATCTCTTTTCTCCCACAACACTTTCTCTCGTGCTCTGAACATTCCAAGACCGTCCTTGACCTTCTCATCTCCTTTCAGCGTAGTGTTAGCTAATACAAGAATGACGAATGCCTTTTCCTGTTATCTTGCACATATGCTCCTAACAATCTGATACTAGATAATTAAACCATTCTTTTAAATAAAAGAAATCTCTCTCTCTCGTTCTCCTTTGCTTTTAGGAGCTGATGGCAGAGTTGAAGAGAAAGGGAACAAAGGCAATAAAGGGTCAAGAGGCTGGCCTGGGAAATTTGGCCCTAAGGGAATTCCTGGTCCTGTGGGTGATAAAGGTCAAAAGGGTGAGCTAGGACTGCAAGGACAAAAGGGGACAAAAGGGGACATTGGACCCATTGGCCCAAAAGGACTTAAAGGTGAAATTGGAGTCCAAGGCGAAATAGGCTTAAGGGGTCCCGTTGGACCTATTGGCCCCATTGGTCCAAAAGGAGAGGTGGGAGGCCCAGGTCCAAAGGGCAGTAGAGGAATCCAGGGAGAAAGGGGATGGAAGGGAGACAGGGGAGAAAAGGGAAAACTTGGTAGTACCCCAGTCATCCCAAGAAGTGCCTTCAGTGTAGGTCTTACCACTAAGTTTCCTCCTCTCAACGTTCCCATCAAATTTGACAAAGTGATGTATAACGGCTTAAACCATTATAACACAGCCACTGGGGTATTCACCTGCCAGATTCCTGGTGTCTATTACTTCACCTACCACATCACTGTCTATTCAAGGAACGTTAAAGTAGCTCTTATTAAAAATGGGAACAGGATGCTCCACACCGCAGACAGCTACCAGAGTGGTGAAGACCAGGCCTCAGGAGCGACCATCTTGGAGCTGCAGAAAGGTGATCAGATATGGCTGCAGACCCATGGGACTTCTAATGGCTTGTTTGCAGACCCTGATGATGACACGACCTTCACAGGCTTCCTTATATTTAGTACCTCAGAGACAACAGCGCCTATACCACTCCTTAGTTTGTGATCTGTTTTGTTTCTAATGTGATGCCAATTATACATACTATTACTTATTTCTCACATCAAGATTTGTATGGCAACAAAGCTCACAAGAGCATATTAATAGCTCCTTGCCAGTGACATAGTCCTTGATGCTAAACATTTTATAAATATTCCCAGGAGCGGTTTTGTTGGTTTTGAAAACTAGGCCAACTAGGCCATATCTCAATTTATACAAAATTCTGCCTGCAACACCATATGTAACCCTCAGAATCACAAATGTGGAGAATTATCTTACCCTGGGATGAGAGGGTATTGCTGTTTGTTTGTTTTAAATGAGGAGATTAAGCTCCCATACTTTTTGCCATAATAGCTAGACCTGGATTAAATAGTACAACCTACTTTTGTATGCCCATGGCAAGATGCATTGAGCTTGTTTGCTAGATGCTGCATCAGAACCTGAAGAAATTCATCCTATTTCTGCCACTCCCCACCCTCTCAAGTTCCCAGTTAATCTGTAGAACTTGGGTTTTCTGTTTTGCAGTGGTGACAAACCAAGCAAATTCAGGTTCTCTGTTATGGTTGGAGCTGTAGCTGGCATTTTCCCTGTTGTTGTTTAGTCGTTTAGTCGTGTCCGACTCTTCGTGACCCCATGGACCAGAGCACGCCAGGCACCTCTGTCCTCCACTACCTCTCGCAGTTTGGTCAAACTCATGCTGGTAACCTCGAGGCATTTTCCCTAACATGCTACAATGTTTCTGAACACTGGACAATGTTTGCCTGTAATAAAACATACTTTTACCTATTTAGTGTCTTATCTTTTGGGGCATAAAAAATTATTACACATTACTCTGGAATTCTAAATGTGTGAGAGAGACAGAGGGGAGAGGAATATCCCTTGATGCCAGAATTGAGTGAAGGGCAATAAGACTGCTATCCAAATTTATTTATTTAATTCATTTATTTAGTAATACACAGTACAGTACCCTTATTTATTACATCCCATGCTTCCTCTCAGGGGCTCTGGGCAACACTGAAGCGTCTCTCTTCCTTGTATCCTAATATCAACTCTGTGAGGTAGGTTACTGGCCCAGAGGCACCCAGCAAGTTTCATGACTGAACTTGAAGCCGGCTGCTCTCCCTCTGAATCCCACGCTATAACCTCTATACCACCTCACCGAATTCACTTTTCCGGGAGTGTAAAACCCATCAGCAGGTCCGGCCCACCCATGAGAGAGGTGAAGCAACAGCTTCAGGCAGCAGGATCTGCAGGGGCAGCAGATCCAGATGTGGGTCTTTATTCCTCCCCAACCCCCTTGTGCATGATGTAGAATGATTTTCACTCAGGCCTTTTCCCTGGCGGCAAGGGGGAGGCCATTTTATGGTCTACCTCAGGCACCAAAATATATGGGACCGGGGCTGCCCATTCGTCTCAGAAAGATTCCCACTTCAGATGAAATCTGCACAGCAATCTGTGGCTCGGGTGTAGTATTTACACCTAAAAGTGGTAGAGCTGTAAATAATGTCGTCCATGCAAGGGGCAAGGATGGGGCGTCGTTTTAAATACTCTTTCGGGTGAAAAAAATGAAGAAAAAAAGCCAGCAAACAAAATGCCTTGCAACATTAGAGCAGCGTGAAAAGTTGCAACCCCTTTTTGTAAGGATTCTTGCTTGCTTGCATTACTTACTAACTCGTTCGCTTTCCCTATTAAAACAGCGTTCAAAAAATTAAGTAGAGCCCATTAGTAGAGCCGGCGCATCGTCATCTTTACCATCATCTCCTTCAGCTGCCCGCCGCCGCTTCGGAGGATAATTGAAAACATAAGCACGGAAAGCCGAAGCGCCACCTGGCTCGGAAATCCCTCTTGCCGCCACACCGGGGCGAATGTCTGCCTCCAGGACGCGAGAGGGGAGGCGACGAAGCTCCTCCTCACGGCCCGGCCGCGTAAGAGGTCGCCGCCGGAACCAGGAACAAGCGAGGCCGAGGCACTCTAGCGGCCTGGCCGGCGTGCAGCGAAGGGAGCTTTTCCCCCTCAAGAAAAAGAGTACAGGCCGAGCAGGCAGGCGGGGAGGCCGGCCGGTGCCGCCATGCTGGCCGGCTGCGGTCGTGTGGCGCGGTCTGCCGCGAGCGGCCTGAGGTGGGGCCCGCCCGGCCGGGCCGGCGGCTGCAGCAGCTCCGCTCCCTGGAGATGGGTCAGCACCAGCTGGTCCCCGGTGGGCGCTGCCTTTAACGCTCAGCAGCAGCACCGGCGGGAGCTGGGGAAGAAAACGGTGAGAGGCCGCCTGGGCCGGGGAGGCTGGGGCGACCCCCTCACGGGGTCGGAGAGAGAGAGGCTTGTTCTGAGCCCCAGAACCTCTTTTCGGAGCAAGCGATGCGAAGCCTGTGCACGGCCAGGATTTTATTTTTTATTTCTGCCTGCTTCCATAAGGAATAGATAGCTGCTCCTACCCATCCCTTTATACTCACCACAGCGGTTTGTCTGTGTGTTGTTTCATACCTGTGCATAATTGTTTTGTATTATTGTGTGCTACTTAAAGGTTTTTTAAAAGTGGTTTATATCCACTACCGCTCCTAAATAAATAAAACAGCCCTGTGAGGTGGGTTAAGCAGCTGGCCGAAGTTTTGTGGCGGAGTGGAGATCTGACCCAAAGTGCCTCAGGTTTGAACAAAACACCTTAACTACTACACCACACCGGTTCACAGTGTCTGGGGTCTTCACTGAATTTCCCCACAGAATAGTCCTTGATTTTAATTGTGGGGTTCACCAAAACTATGGGGTCCACCCCATAGAGCTTCATGGCATAGTAGCTCAGACAGCTAGAAATCCAGCAGGACCTTTTTTCACCACTGTCTCTTTATGCTAGGATAAACTTTCCAAGCTCTTTGCTTGTTGTACACTGTTAAATCATACCTGCACACTCCTTTGTTCTGCTAAGTTGCAGCACTGGCATAAGGGTTCAGTAAATTCCATGTACCCATTGTTGGTTTTGGGTGAACTGAATTTTATCTCTGATCCTGGATCATCAACATGTCACATAGCACAGCCCTACAGTTGATCTGAAAAACCAGCGAGAGTTGTCAGTAAAACACAGGAGCAATCCATAAAAGGCGACAACCTTAGGCTTAACAGTGGCATTTGGAAATTAGTGACCATTCAAGAGTTGTTTCTTTGGAAAAGTGTTTAGCAAGTTATGGTAACCTGGTGTAAGAGGTCACTAATGTATATACTGCATCTCAATTTCCAAGTTATCCTATACAATACTCTGTTTTTCAGTTCTCAGTGTAGTTCCTTATGCAGCCAAAACACCTTAACTACTACACCACACTGGTTCACAGTGTTTGGGGTCTTCACTGAATTTCCCCACACTCCAGAGAGAAAAATCTGCAGGCTTGGGTAAACACTGAGGTTTTGTGTATGTGTACAGATGTAAATGTGTGTACAGTGGTACCTCGGTTCCTGAACGCCTCTTTGGTGTACCTTTTGGTTCTCCAACACTGAAAACCCAGAAGTAAATGATTCCATTTTTGAACGTTTTTCGGAACTCAAATGTGCAACGTGACTTCTGAGTGCAAGAAGCTCTTACAACCAATTGGAAGATGTGCCTCAGTTTTCAAACGTTTTGGAAGCCGAATGGTCTTCCAGAACAGATTACGTTCAAGATCCGAGGTACCACTCTTTATGTATAATGTACATCACAGACACTTGCACATATATATGACACATGAATGCATATGTTGCAGACACATGCATATATAAACCTATGGGGGGGGGAGCCCCAAAACATCACTATAACTGAATAAGCTCAGTAGATACAGGATGCTGACTGGCCTATGGGATGGAGTGAATGGAGCATCCTGAAAGACGGCATGGCTCACCAGCTGAACTGAGTAGCAACATCCCAAGCAACAACATTTTGCTGAAAATCATACCAGTGATTCCCACTTGTACTATAAACACAAGACGCTGTAATATTAATTTAGGAATCTACTTCGGGCACCCAAATAAAAACATAATTGCCGTGTTGTGGAGCTGGTGATTAAATGAAGTGTGCTGAAACATTTTCACACTTCGTGTATTTTTATAAATACAGCTTAAATGTAAAAAGCAGGTTTATAATTTATAGCATTGCTGCGAAACAGGAAAAGTTGTAGTGTATTTATTATTTATATGGGGCCTGTTCTCTGTGTTTTAGGGTCTGTTTGGTGTACCAGAGTTGAGTTGTCCAGAAGGATTTCAAGAAGCTCAAGAAAGATCACTGCAAGAAACAGAACGACTAGTACAAAAAGCATGTACTACACCGCCTGGGAAGGAGATAGTCATGATCTTTGATCAGCTCTCAGATGCTTTGTGTAGAGTAGCAGATCTGGTAAGATACTTTTGAAACTTTGAAATTGCCATTTGTTAATTAACACATTTCTAGATTCCAGTTTCGTAAATTTTGTCAAATGCAATGGGAACTATATCAATGTTATAATTAACAATGAAACTAAACGAGATTTCCTGCTAAAACAGACAAGCCTGTTGCTCGAACTTCTTGATTTCTTTTTAAAAATGTAGTGCCCAATATAGTGAGCACTGGGCTTGTTAAAACATTGCTTTTAGGCAGTAATTTGTTTGCTGGGGATTATGCCATTGTGTTAGATAGTGCATGTATTTGTTTTATACATTTTGGTAACCCACTGCTAATTATGGCTTCCCATTACGTAGACAGACAGTAGGATAGACATGTGGTTGATCCTCAAGCAGAGTGGTACAAAGACTTTCCTCCTCTCATGTTCATCTGTGTATGAAAATAATTTAAATGTACTTTTTCCTGAGGCTGTATGAGGAAAATGACATGTTTAATAGTATCAGTAGCTTGTACTGCTACGAAACACAAGATGCTCTAATGAAAAAAGATTCACATGGCAATTTAAGTTTAAATTTCTAACTTTTCTTTAAATATCAAAACAAACATTTCCCTATCACTATTATAGTTTCTTTTTTCTACTGCTTTAGGCTGACTTTGTGAAAATTGCCCATCCAGATTTTGCTTTCAGAGAGGCTGCTGAGGAAGCCTGCAGAAGCATTGGTACTATGGTAGAAAAGTACGTTTTATTCATTATGTTTCAGCTTATCTGTTTATTGAATGCTGCTATGAACAGTAGACAACAAGGTGTTTTGTTTTCCTATGTGTTCTAAAGTCTTTATGGAAACAAGGAGAATCTCTCTTCCAATTAAGAAATCTGGTAAAAATGTTTTTTAGTTTATAGTAATTACAGCCCTGATAGTCTAATTCTAAATACATGTTTCCTAACCACTAGGAAACATGAGGGACACGGGTGGCGCTGTGGGTAAAAGCCTCAGCGCCTAGGGCTTGCCGATTGAAAGGTCGGCGGTTCGAATCCCCGCGGCGGGGTGCGTTCCCGTCGTTTGGTGCCAGCGCCTGCCAACCTAGCAGTTCGAAAGCACCCCCGGGTGCAAGTAGATAAATAGGGACCGCTTACTAGCGGGAAGGTAAACGGCGTTTCTGTGTGCGGCTCTGGCTCGCCAGAGCAGCGATGTAACGCTGGCCATGTGACCCGTAAGTGTCTCCGGACAGCGCTGGCCCCCGGCCTCTTGAGTGAGATGGGCGCACAACCCTAGAGTCTGTCAAGACTGGCCCGTACGGGCAGGGGTACCTTTACCTTTACCTTTTAACCACTAGGGTTGTTTCCAGATTGACATCTAATAGTGTTACTAAGCATAATTGAGATATTGTCCTTTTACAATGTGTTAGAGGACGAGATGGTTGGACAGTGTTCTCGAAGCTACCAGCATGAGTTTGACCAAACTGTGGGAGCTAGTGGAAGACAGGAGTGCCTGGCGTGCTCTGGTCCATGGGGTCACGAAGAGTCGGACACGACTAAAAGACTAGACAACAGCATATTTTTCCATGCTCTCCATACCTGTGGAAGGACATCATCCTGTTGGTGGGGAAAGCAATGGTCCATATTACATGAGTGGTCATTTAAGAAAAATGAAATCCAAGCGTTCCATTAAAAAAATGCACCCAGTTATTTAATTAACTGCAAAATGCTTTTTGATTTAAGCATGATTGCTTTTCATGAAATTAAAAAAAGAAAAGAAAACTGAGTAGTTGTTTTGAATGAGAAGTGCAGGCCTAACATCTGGATGGCTCAGTTGCTTAGAGTGTGGTGCTGATAATGCCAAGGTTGCAGGTTTGATCCCCATATGGGAGAGCTGCATTGCAGCGGGTTGGACTAGATGATCCTCAGGGTCCCTTCCAACTCTACAGTGCCACAATTCTAAGATGGGAAGTGTTTATTGGGAAGAGCCACTTACTATAATGTCTCTTGCTAAAATAGCCTTGCATGGTGCAGGGGAAAGGCTGCCTCCCCAAAAATGACTGCTGGAGAGCAAAACCTTTTCACCCAGCAAGGCCCCTGTTGCTCGGTTGGGGTTAGGGTTGTTTGCTGCCTATTAGTTCTTTTTATGGCTGCAGCAATTTTAATATGCTACTTACTTTCATTGTTGTGTTGTGAATAAGTACTTGTTGACTGATCTGTTGCTCTCATCTACACTTCACTGGTTATGGTGATGTTAACATTCTGTGGTTTCTGAAAACAACCTGACAGTTTAAAAGACATGACAAAAAAATTCTGCAGAAATAGTAAACCTAAAAATGTTTTTGTTATTGTACTGTGAAATAATTGTATTAGTAGCAACTGATCCTTTAATCTTCTGTGTTTCTAGATTAAATACAGATGTAGATTTGTGCCAAAGTCTAAGAAAGTTGTTGGCTGATAAAGGTGTAATGGAGTCCCTTGATCCAGAAACAAGGTACACATTTTTAATTTTGTTTCAGTAGATATTTCTTCATGATACTCAGAGTGTTGACTATTTAATGTTCTGCATACCTTATTACAATATAGGGAGCCAGTGTGGTGTAGTGGTTAAGAGCAGTAGACTCGTAATCTGGGGAACCGGGTTCGCGTCTCCGCTCCTCCACATGCAGCTGCTGGGTGACCTTGGGCCAGTCACACTTCTTTGAAGTCTCTCAGCCCCACTCACCTCACAGAGTGTTGGTTGTGGGGGAGGAAGGGAAAGGAGAATGTTAGCCGCTTTGAGACTTCTTAAAGGGAGTGAAAGGCGGGATATCAAATCCAAACTCTTCTTCTTCTTCAAAACACGGAGAATTATTTTCATAGTATACCATATTTGTGAGTCTAATTTCAGTCTTTAACTATGGAAAACATTTTGTTAGTGGTCTATGTAACCTATGGTTACAAGTGCCATTTCATTCTTTGAAATATATATCCAATATATCTAGACTTGCCCTTTTGTAGACTTACCATGCTTCCATCTACATTCCTCAATCCAGAATCTACTCGCTGTTCTGAAACTGAAGGGACTTTTGTAAAATTCTGTGTTTTCCTCTGGAAATTTTAAAACTCCATGCTTTGGTCAGGGTTGGTAACCCCAACACCCCAATTATCATGGTCATCTTAAATTCCTTTTGACCTTTTTTGTCTAAGGCCTCAGAACTGTATCAGACTTATGGTCAGTGTGCCACAAAAAAGTTTGCAAGCAAGACATGATAATATCTATTGTTAGAAGGAATTAAACAATGCAAATATTTGTCTTCCCAGTGAACATGAAGGTTGTCTGTATCTAGTTTATTTCATCAATGTAGCAACACCCTATGACACTTAGTTCCATGAGACTGCAATCCTAACCCTGCTTACCTGGGAGTAAGCACCATTGAATTCAACAGGACTTACTTCTGAGAGCACATGGTTAGGATTGTTTTGTACATATGCCATATGGAAAGCTATTTTCATTAAAAAAAAGATGTTCCATTGCTGTGAGCTTGGATCCATGTTATTATTTGTTTTCATCAGCACCAGGCAATTAGTGAGTAAATTGCATAGTTCATGATTCTGCTGACTTGACTGTGAAGTCAGCTGGTATGTCATTGTTATTGATTTTCAATATTTCCTGTATGCCACACTCAGTTTGTGGAATATCCTTCCCTAAGGCATGACTGGGACTGATACTGTCCATTTTTCAGTGCCAGCTGAAAATCTTCCTCTTCTTCCAGGTCATTTGGATATTTCAGGACAATTTGCCTGTACAGAAATAGTGATGGAGGATTTTTTTAAAAAAATGAATTGTGTATTGCTTTTGATTTTTTTTTAACGTATAAATAATAAATAATTGTAACACTCTCTGGGGTCCTGTGGTGAAAAGTGGGATAGAAATTATATTAAATAATGAATAAATTATGTTGATAGTTCCCTACATTGACAAATTAGAACTTGGTCTGCAACATAATAATCTGCAAAATGTAATATATATATGTAAAAGGGATGAGTCTATAACAGTACATGTCCTGGAGTTAATGTGATTTTATTATTTCAGGCGAGTAGCAGAACTTTTCATGTTTGATTTTGAGATCAGTGGTATTCATTTGGATGAAGAAAAGGTAAGTTATTTCCATTATAAGAAAGGCTATTGGCTGAGCCTTCTAGAAACTAAGTCCTTATCCCAAGCATAATATGCTGATTAACCACCATAATCAAGATTTACAGAATACAGTGATCCTTAACCTTAATGGCATGGTATTAATTTCTACAGCTAAGATACTATGGTCTTAGTTTTTAAAACATCTTACTTTCATAAGGAATATGTATGCATGGGAATATTCCCACAGATTGCTGAACCAATGCAATGCAGGAATCTCAACTAAAGCTTTTTAAGATGTGAACAGAACCTATATTTTAAAGAAATATTTATTACTCTGTTTATTTCTCATTTGCAGCGAAGGAGAGCAGTAAATCTCAATGTCAAAATACTGGATTTGTGTAACGAATTTCTCATAGGATCTCATCTTCCAAACAAGGTTGACAAGCACATTTTACCAGAACACATTCGGCATCATTTTGCAGTTGAAGGCAATTATGCCCAAATCAGTGGTCTCAATGCTGATAGTCCTGATGATCTGGTATGTATACATGAAGTACATTACAGCACCATATACAGTACGATCACATCTTACAAGCATTTAACTCATGTTAGTTCAACCCTATGTGGTTGAAGGCCATTTGGTTGAAATCCACAAGTTAAATGCAAGCAAGGCCCTCTTGGCACATCGGTTCTAGGATGCTCTCATGAGATCTCTTGGAGTCATCCTTGTTCCTGTGAGGTCTTGTGCCAGCATCTCTAGCCTTCTGGAGCCGATATACTGAGTGGGCCTTGCCGAGCAAGCAAGGCAGGGAGCTGAAAAGTCCTTTTCACACTGGGAAAACCCAACAATCCAAGTTGGGGACCATCACTACAATTCCATAGTATGTGCTATGTGAGGAAGACTTTTTTTTGTCTGTCTGGGATCTTCCAACTTTCAACTAGGTTCTTTAAGTACATGAGATGGAAGAAAACCTTCAACTATATCCATTTGTCTGCATGGAGGTCTTTTAACTGTATACCCCACACCTAAGCCATAGGTGTGATGACTAAATTTGCAAATGCTATCTTTTTTAATGTTCCATCTAATGATCGGGAAAAGGGATTCAGAAATTGACCAGTTAGGGAAGAAGTGAATATTCCTACTGTCTCTTCCCTTCATTTGCAACAGGTGATACTGTATACAGTGGTACCTCGGGTTACATACACTTCAGGTTACAGACACTTCAGGTTACAGACACTTCAGGTTACAGACTCCGCTAACCCAGAAATAGTACCTCGGGTTAAGAAATTTGCTTCAGGATGAGAACAGAAATTGTGCTGTGGTGGCAGCGGGAGGCCCCATTAGCTAAAGTGGTGCTTCAGGTTAAGAACAGTTTCAGGTTAAGAACAGACCTCCGGAACGAATTAAGTACCTAACCCGAGGTACCACTGTAATACAAATGTCTTTTCATCAATTTCTGCATTTTGCTATTATGGTTGTCCATATATTGCTTTTCTTTTGAATTAACCTTAGGTACGTGAAGTTGCCTACAAGGTTTTCCTGTACCCAAATGCTCAGCAATTACATTGTTTAGAGGAACTTCTTACCAGCAGAAACCTTCTGGCCCAATTAGTAGGATATGATACATTTGCTCATCGGGCTCTTCAGGGGACAATGGCCAAAACTCCAGGTAATGCTAATTGTGAAATATGCCAGGATAAATACAGGCTGTGCAGATTGTTACAAGAGATTAGTAGTACATGGGAGGAGAGAAGAGTGGGAGGGGAGCATTTTCCTTCGTGTTCAATTCCCCCTCCTCCTGGCAACAGTTTCTCTCATATTGATTCGAATGGGAGGGAAATAACACCAGCTCTGTTTCAGGGAAGTGGGATGCCTTTGGAGCCTGTGGATCAACAGCCTTTCCTGGCATGCCCCTGACAGCACCCTGCAAGGTCCATATTTGCCCTCTCCCAACATCCGAGGGGCATTATGTGGACCATTTCACAGCCTCATAGGGGAGGCATACGAGGTTGGATCTCCCTTTCCAAAGGTGGACCTTTGTTTCTCTCCATCCTCTGAAAGAGGACATCAGAGAACCCTATGGTCCTGGGACACTATCCCAAGGAACATGCAGTCAAACACTAATTTATGCAGTGTCAGAATGTTTTAAATATATTACATCCTCATACGAAATACACTGCATAGAATGATGTCTCAGTGAAATTGTTGTGTTAAAGAAATGTTGCTGCTTGTTATTTTAGTTATGTTGACCATCCATGAGTATTATTTGCTGCTAATAGAGAACTTCCTTATTCAATATATTCACATTGTTTCAAAGTTCCTGTGAACTTTGCATGGGGAACCTGTGGCTCTTCAGATGTTGTGAGGCTACAATTCTTGACCATCCCAGGCCATCCTTGCTGTGACTAATGGGAGTTGGAGTCAAACAATATCTGTTGGTCCGCAGGTTCCTCAGCCATAATAAAGTTGAATACTCAAACTTCTGCATTACAATTTAATTGTTATCAGTCAGCTTTAAGATTAGGAAACCAGAAACCTTGCACTAGTCAGCTCTGTTTATTCAGCTATGACCTGCTGTAGTTCTTGTAGGGCTGGAAATGAACCTACATTAATGTCTCCAGAGAGTCAGAAATTTCATGTTTAATTTTGCTTAATGGCTTCTTTAGTAAATAAAACAGATAACCACTACATCCAGCCTTTTTTTAAAACTATGACTTAATTCACTTCTGAATTATGAATCATTTAGAAGATTACTTTAAGCTAGATGAAAGTTTACAGCTGTATATAAGTTATTTCTTGTGTTCTTTCTGCCTACTGTACCAATATTTCTTCCATTCTGTTTTTTAGAGAAAGTAATGCAATTTCTTGAGAAGCTTTCAGATAAGTTATTCAGTCGGTGAGTTTATTTTTTAATAAAATTTGCCTTGCTGCAAGGTATAAAATCTTGTAATATTACTAGTAGAATCAATAAAAAGTACACTTAGATTTCATAATTAATTCCCCCCATCTTATTTCTGCAAGATTATTGTAAAGGATTATATCTAATCACCTACAGATTAAGGTCATACTGTAATTGTAAAATATTCTGAACGGTGGATGTCTCACTGCCAGCCAAAAGGCCCTTTCATGGTAAACGTACCAATGTTCTATTTTCCAGTGATGTAAAGAGGGAAACCAGCCAAATATTTTCTGTATATTGGAAAGTATTATCCCTTACTGAAAAACCTATTCTAAAAAAGCAAAGAAGAATCACAACTCTTTATGGCACATTTTGTTCATTTGCTTGTGTGAAAGATACTTTGATTTGCAAAATGGACAAATGATTGTCTAGTAATTGTATTATACTACAAAGTCTTTTGAAAAGCACTTTAACAAAATATTATGGTGAAATTGTTTTTCAGTACGCTAAAGGATTTTGAAATGATGAAAGGCATGAAAATGAAACTAAATCCTATAAAATCAGTAAGTTATATTTTGCATTTACTTTTCCTCAACTTGAATGAGTTGAATGCTAGTTTGAGAAAATACTTTCTATAATTTCAGAGTTATGTTGACGTAATCTAAGCTTTCTCTTTCTCTTGGCTTTGTATTATAACGGTGTTGGGTTTCAAGGCTCTTTTCTCTAAGGGAAACTAACCACTTAAAAGAAGATATTGGTTTAAACACAGTGATTTATGTGGTAGCCAAAACTTAAGATGGAAAATGTAATGTCTTCTCTTGAGTATGTCAAACATTTTGTTCAATTAGTTTTTGCAAGCTTGAAAAGGCAGAGGCCAGATTTGAAAAACTGCATGTGTCTAGCCTGTGTGTTGGCAGGCTCCAGTATTTTTGTTCAGAAACCACGGTCTTTCCAATAACTGGGTTGCTGCATGATTATTCTAATAGTTCTGCCTCACAATGTATAATTTGGGACCTCAAATGCCCCTCAATGAAATTTGGTTGGATAAATACAAGTGGACATCTTGAAGCCTTTTAAGTCTTAGATCACATTATTTGATTATATTTAAATCTTCTAGCTGCCTGTCCTGAATGCTCAAGGCAAGTTCACTTAGCGCCACTTTTCACTTGCTGCTTTGTACTTTGATGCAGTCCTATCATCTGTAAATGATGTAGATGTGTTAAATCTGTGCTTTCCTTTGTAAAATACACAGAAGCGGTAGGTAAAATCTTTCCTGATTGTCATTTCTTTGTATTTCTCCCTGCTCCAGAAAACTGGAGATACTTAACTGAACATGCCCCTTTTAGAGCGGATGCATGTGGGAGGAGATGTTTGGCTTGAGTTACTGTACTAAAGAGATGATGGTTTTAAAAAAACCATCTTGAATTTTGCCTTTGATGTCATTGATAGCCCTTGCCATCACTGAAACACAGGTATCATGTGCTTCCAGTTATTGGTTTGGTGTTTAGTCACATATTTTTCATTTGTCACAGGGGTGGCTATAAGTTGTAGGGCCTTTTCAGTAGTAGCACCCAGTTAAGGAACTCTGTACCTAGAGAAGCTCACCTGCTAACATCCTTCTTCATCTTTTGATAGCAGGTGGAAACCATAATTTTTCAAAGGGCGTTTGGCTTGCTAAAATATTAGGATGTTAGCAGTGTGCTTAGCTGGATTATTTGCTTAATTCTTGCTTTGGACTTTATTTTTGTTTGTTTTCTTGTTGTGTTATTGTTGATACACTTTTATGTAAAACCTCAACACTGGCAATGAAGTGATATATACATTCAAAAAACAACATGGCTAGAAATTGTCAATTGTATTTCCTTGCACTGTGCATAAGCTGAATAGTCAGGTTGTGTACAGGGCAGGTAAGATAACACCTAAAGCTCTGTGAAAACAGTCATTACAGAAATGCTGCTGTGGAAAGAAAGCTGTTGTATCTGACTTGTTTCGTTTGATTTGTGTTATGTGTTTGAAAACGTGAATGCTTTCATTTTCAGAAATTGATGCCTTGGGATCATCCATACCACAGTGGTGTCCTGCGTGCTGAGAGGTCAGTGTTATGGCCTTCTGGTGTATCTAGCACTTTATTTGCATTCTAATATTTAGTTTTTAGTTGTTAAAAGTTCTGCTATAGTTATCATATATACTCCTGTAGCAAATCACTGTTTCTTTATCTTTTTGTATTGTTTTGAAATGTGTGTTTTTGTTTGCCAGCCACAACTTTTCAATGTATATATTTTCTGTATAAGAGCTGAGATAACTACCAGGTTGTAGTTTTCTTTTCTGTGCAGGAGGATATGGCTAGGAATCTATTTGTATTGGTCAGCTTTCTCCAAAACCATGTGTGTGTTCTGGGGGGGAAAGCATTTAAACCCCTCTGCTATCTGTTGGATTTTTTAATTGATATAACAGAATCCTCCCAAAGTAAAATGTGCCAGTGTCTTCCCAGATAATATTCATTATAAATACTGAACATACATTTTTTAAAAATCACACTGAAGCCAGCAAAACACATATGTACCATGTACATGTCAATAATTATTCCTAATTAATTCATTTCCTCAGTTGATCTTTAAAGAGAGGCATTGTGATACCTTATGCTATTGTAATAAAATAATATTGTGGTTAGTTTATCGTCTTAGATCATAACAGACACATTACAGTCAGTGAACATAGTTATTCAGCAAGAATATAATGGCAGAGGCTATGCTAAGTATATTTCTAGGAAATAAAATTGAACCTGAGTAATACTTTCAATGAATGGAATATAAGGACAATGGCTTCTATGAAGAAAAGCATACTTTCACACCCTACACTTCTCTTTGCACCCCTTGTAATGTTCCCCCAGGGGGTTGGGGAATCCGCTGAAACAGAATGGCATGTGTTGCAGTGGGATGCAGCAGGAAGGTGAGATAGCCAGAGCTGCAACAAAAACTTTGGCTCAAAATCTTTATGTTTGAGGGTTTTTTTAAACAAAATGTGGATTGCTTAGAAATACAGATGGCCCCCACCCCCACCCCGTTTACATGGGGGTTATGTTTGGAGACACTGTGCATGTTGGTGAAATCGCATATAATTGAAACCCATTGAAAAAGCCTGCAAACACCCCGTTCCACCCTCCCCGTTCTGCCCTTTTAGTGACTTTTTAGCAGCATCTTAATGATGTTTCCGGGTTGCTTCTAGGTTCAGTTGCACGCAAATTGAATGTGTGTAAACTGGGGGCTGCCTGTAGTGTCTCAATACATGTTTCAGTTCCCGTTATGAATAGTCATTTGCAATAGTTTGAATGTCAATACCATTTCTGTTCGTTTAAAACCTCAAATACCCTATATAAAAATTTGCCATGTAATCAGTGATTTGAGACTGTGCATAATGAAATACATTTCCTTAATATCTTTGGCCCTGATTTTACTGGTGCTTTTAATGTTTATTATTAACAGTGTGATTTTAAAGATTCCACTACGTAAGCAGAAAGCACTTGTTTTTTCCCTGGGCAAGTCTACCAGCCCACCTCCCACCATTGTCAGCTTCCCTAAAACTAAGGTGGAAGGCATCTTGATTCCTTGGAGCCAGTTTTCAGGGGTGCAGGGGGCACAGATGAATTGGGAGGGAACAGGTGTGTCCCGCAGCCTGAGGCCCTTCCACATGTACAGCAGGATTTTGCGTCCAGGCCTATTAATAGTAACATTTCTGTTTGTAAACACCAGGGGGAGCTCCTGCATCAGTTTGCCACCTTTTTGCATAGCTTTGTCAAGTTTTCTTTTGGAAAGATGAGCTGCCTCTTAGCTTTGCCGTCAGAGAACAGCAATAGTTTTCATTTTACGATTAGATATATGTCATTTAAAATGATGTTTTGTCTGTGATGTGGCATTTGTGTTGACTATATGTTTTTGTAGTCATATCATTTATACAGTCATGACGAATACGTCAGTGCATGATTGGAACACTGGATATCAAATTCTGAAATATGTCAAGGGCCGTCATTTCTACAAAAAACAAAACAAAAAACAAAAACCACCACTGAAATCATGATAAAAAAAACACATCACATCCAGCCTTACACACTAAAACAGTACCAATACATTACAAAATGGAAATGTATTGCTACATATATTTGTAATTTGACTCAGTGCTTTTAACCCAAAATTGCCAACCAGTTTTTTCCTTTGTCTTCTTCCAACTTTCATTGCTCTGGATCATACTGGCAGTCAACCATATGGAATTTGGTTCATTTCTTCTTATTAGACAGGACTGAAACTAGGAAGCTGGTGAAATCAAATATAATCCAGTGAATCTGAGTTGTCTGTAAGAAGACCAATATAGCCTCTTCTCTCCAATCCCTTTTGTTTCCCAATCACTTGAGGGCTTACAAAACACATTTTATTTATGTATACATTTTTTAATGTAATGCGTTCAAGATATGTAAGCATGGAGAACAGTAGTTCAATTATTCTGCATATAATAATTACCAGGGACTGGTAATTATACACTCAGTTCAGTGTTCAAAAACCTGATAATGCCTACCACTTACCCAGTATCTTCCCAGTATCATATTTCCTTATCCAAATTAATTCAAGGTTAGTACATATTAAAATCCTAATCAAGTATGCTACAGTGGTATTCTTGAGGGGGAGTATGTTTTGTTTAGCTCAAGGGTGAGGATTGATTGATTGATTGATTGATTGATTGATTTTTGGCCCAAGGACTACATTTCATCTTGGTCAAACCTCATGGTGGGGGAGCGTGCATGCCAGTCGTGGGCAGAACTACCACCACATACACACCTATCCACATGCACACACACAATCTGAAAGTTTTAAATCCACGTTTGTCTCTTTCTTCAAATAACTGTTCAGGACTGCAGTCTGAAGTACGCATCACCTAGGAGAGCCAGCATGTGAGGCAGATATAGCGTTGGTCTTGGATTGGGAAGACTTGATTCAAAACACCCCTTGGCCATAGAACTCCTTGGGTGGTCTTAAGTCCATCGCTGTTTCTTACTCTGCGTTATGCCACAGGGTTGTTGGGAAGATAAAATGGGTAATCCCATGTACACTGCCCTGAGCAACTTGGAGAAAGCATAGACATGCAGAATATGAGAAATAAATGATTACACCTATTTGGGGCTAAGCTGTAAGTCTGTAAGTATTGTTGTCTGGCATGCAGTTAATGCTAGAAATGATTTAAATGAGTCATTTCTTTGGCTAATGTGTTCCAGTGTTTTGGTTGTTAAAACAAAATCTCAAAATGCTCAACAATCAAACAAACAAAAAACCAAGACTTTGTTTTATATGGGGTAATTATATTATATTTCCCCCTTGGCATATGTTATGGTTATGGAATGCTGCAAGAAATTATTTCCCCGTGTGATAGCTACAGTTCTGAATGTTCGGTGATTAATGATATTGAGTAAATATAATCCTTCCTTTAATTACTGGGTCTATCAAAAAGATTTTGAATAAAGTTGTTGACAGCCATAATACACAAGAGTCTTAACTTCTTTCCAAATGTACAACTTAAATGAATGCCGTTTTATACTCCTTCATTTTATTTGGACTGAATGAAGCCATCTAGGCTTAGAAATAATTGTTTACAATGGCACACTACATCTATTGCTCTTTAGCAGTACTTTCTTTTCAGTTTGAATCGTGCTGTTCATGAAGAATAATGAACACCTCATTGTACCATTTAACTTCATGTTTAAAGCAGTTGGCTTGGTGTCTTGCCTTTCAAAATACTAGTAAATCAAATGCTGTATGATTAAGGCCATTGGATTTCTTCCCATAACTCATCCTTTTAATCTAAAACAGGAATTCACATCAGATAAAGAACCCAGTGCCCGCTCTCATTTTATCAACTTGTTAGTACATTTGCTGTGCTTTCTCAATCCTACATTTACCTTCTTGTGAAATGTGTTATGTGGGGGGGACGGGACCTCTTATTACAATGGTAATCCTGATGTAACATATCAAGCTTTGCCTCTAGAAACCAAGGAGTTGGAAGGAACCTGGTGTATGAAATATGTTTATATTTATCAGCAGTAAAACTGTCAGCAAACTTCGTATACTTTAGCTGTATCCTGTGTACAATTTAGGTTGCATCACAATCAGTTGTTGCTTGATTTAAAAAACAACAACAATGCTTGAGATAATTCATTGAATGGTGGGGCAGGGTTGGGCAGTCTCCTGACTTTCATTTGTTTGTTTGCTGCACTTCATAGCACTTAATTACTGTGCCTTATTTGAGTACTAGCAGCATAGAAATTTGGGGGGCTACTGTTACATGTATTCATTGGCTCAATTTGTGGGTTATGGTGAGCCATAGTTAATGGTTTACTTTGAACTCACCTGGCTGGACTGTTTTGCTCCTCTCTGCTAGCATAAGAGTGCAAGAAGAGCCCTGTTGGATCTGACCAAAGGCCCATCTAGTAGAGCGTTCTGTTCTCATGATGGCCAGCCAGATGCCTCTGGGAAGCCCACAAGTAAAATCTGAGTGCAACAGCACTCTCTCCACTTGCGAACCTTCGCAAGTGGTACACAGAAGCATACTACCTTCAAAAGTGGAAGTGGAAGATAGCCACAATGCATTTCTGTATTGCTCAAAATCCTTGAACATTTGGTTGCATTTTTCTGAAAGTTTCCCAGCTCTACAATACCCTTTTTATTTTAGGCAACCAGAACTGTACACAGTATTCCATGTGTGGTCACTTTATAGATGTGTATAACCACACTATGATAATGGCTGGCTTTTTAAAAAGTCAATTTCCTAATGTAAAATACTGTAAAGGTAAAGGGACCCCTGACCATTAGGTCCAGTTGCAGACGGCGCTGGGGTTGCGACGCTCATCTCACTTTACTGGCCGAGGGAGCCGGCGTACAGCTTCCGGGTTATGTGGCCAGCATGACTAAGCCAGAGTGAACCAGAGTAGCGCACGGAAATGCTGTTTACCTTCCCACTGGAGCGGTACCTATTTATCTACTTGCACTTCGTGCTTTCAAACTGCTAGGTTGGTAGGAGCAGGGATCGAGCAACGGGCACTCACCCCGTCGCGGGGATTCAAACTGCCGACCTTCTGATCGGCAAGCCCTAGGCTCTGTGGTTTAACCCACAGCACCACCCACATCCCTGTAAAATACTGTAGCTAGGATCAAATATTGTAGCTGAACCCCAGAACACAGGAATCGTTTGCCTTTATCTAGCAAAAATAAAATTGTGGTGCTACATGTGCAATCTGCCTAATCTATTTATTGAAAATATTTGTAGGCCACCTTCTACGGTGAAGAACAAACATTGACTACAGCTTGCGGTTAGTAAGGAGAGAGCGGTTAGTAAGGATAACCTGCTAAGCCAAACTTTGGCATAGCTTAGGGCTACTCAGCAGCAAAAGGGACCAGGACGAGCAAAGCAGCTGCAAGCTCATTTCTGGAATTTACATGTTTGTGTTGACATGCTAAGTCAAGGTTTGCCTTAGCATGCCATGTGAATGAGACCATATTTCTGCCTAAGTATTGAACCAAGTAGATGCCCTATTTCTAACAAGTGTGATGTTTTAATTCATTTAATTGTGGATTGCGTGATATAAACTGTTTAAATTGGCACAATGTTGCAGCTATTCATAATTCATTTCCTTCCATTTTGTATGTTTTAGATATAATATTGAACCCAGCCTGTATTGCCCCTTTTTCTCTCTTGGAGCATGTATGGAAGGCCTGAACATCTTGTTCAATAAACTCTTAGGCATCTCTCTTTATGCTGAACAGACCGAGAAGGGAGAGGTGTGGTGTGAGGATGTTCGCAAACTGGTAAGAATTCAAAGTCCTGAATTTCAGACCCCTTGTGTACAAAAACAATAAAGATAATAAGTAAATCCAGTTCACTGTTGAGCAAAGGATAAGATGCTTAGAAAGGAAGTTTTCTGAATTAACACTGAAAAACACCTTGTAGGGCAATTCATAGCTATTTGTTTTTAATTCCTGCATTGTCTTTGTTAACGTTGACAATCATTTTGTATAGCACCTTTAAATGCAAAAAGGCTTTATTTTGTTTGTACCCAAGTTGGCGCTTAAGAATATCTCTCTTGTTTTGATTTTAAAGAAAGGAGAAATATGTAAGGCATTTAGGCCAATGGGAGGGAACAGACAGCAAAATGAAGAGGTGGATTCTGGTGGCACTATCTATAACTTACCTAGATCAAGGAAGGGCAGGATTTCTGGGAATTTTGGGTCAGATAGTGGTAAACAATTGGACATTTGGTAATATCTGATTTCCTGGGCCAGGAGGATTCTGGGCTGTTGGGTGTGAGTTTTCAAGCTTGAACTGCCTGCAGTTCCCTTCTCCTTGGTGCCCAGTGATGACTGAAATAAATATTTGCCCAAGGCCACTGAGGAATGGCTCAGTTCTGGAGCAACATCTCCCTCCTTGCATTTTACAAATATGTTTAGGGAAGCAGCTTGAAAATGGCTACAGGCAAAAATTTCATAAAGTTGAAAGAACCAAGACCTAAGAATGAGCTGCACAAACTTCAAAAGAAAATGTGTTTGATGGCACATTGAGACTAACTTTTAATAAGCTTTTTATTGCAAAATGGCATGAGCTTTCATGGGCAACAACCAACCTCAGATTCTGAGTTGGAACAAACTTTAAAGGAGATCATGGGAAAACAAATTTGCAAAACAAATTAAATATTTACAGCTTAAATTTATATCTTAATGCTTGAACTTGTATCCTGCTTTTCTTTTCTCTACGGTATTTCCAAAATCTAAAACATGCATGTAGGAAAATGGGACATTAAAATCAGTACTGTGACTAAGAAAGATTTAAAAGCAGTTTTATCAGGTCCAGGGCATGCTGGCTTTCTCACTTCTTTTTATTTCCTTTTCTTAATGCTTGCTAGTGGGTCATCTTTCTCACTTATACTTCAAGTAACAGCAGGAGCTGTCATTCAACAAACATCTGTAAAGTGGATAAACTATTCCTGTCTCATCTTTCATAACTGCTTCTTATTATATCTCTGCTCATATTGCTTAATTGTGATATATGTAGTGTGAAACAGATTTAAAACTCAAATATTGCTTAAAAGGTATTGGTTATTTTTGTATTTCTTCATGAGTCATCCATTTGGATAAGCGGTAGCACTTGTATATTAAAACCTTTAGTAATCTTGTGAATGGGACTTGAATCACCTAGTAGTAGTCTGAATTCTACAAACAAAGAGGAAAAAATTTGTAAAATCATATAAAATGGTCAGATTTGGAATGTTCCCCCCAAAAGGCCTACAGTAGCACATCATCGGTTATTGGGTCTTTCACTTAGTACTTTCCTGTTTTATTTTAGGCAGTTGTCCATGAACAAGAAGGATTATTGGGATACATCTATTGTGATTTTTTTCAAAGACCAGACAAGCCTTATCAGGTAACAATTCTCTAACATTACAAACGCTATGAGCCTTTTTTCTTCTTCTCAAAATATGATCCTGCAGCCCCCTGTGCCCCTCCAAACACATCTCTGGTCAGGAAATCTTTGTAAGGAACCAGGGGGCTGCTAGTGGAGGGGGGATCATGGAAAATCTTCAAAGTGTTGAATTGGTATTTTAGCTTCAAAAGCAGAATTATGCCCTGAAAGCATGCACCCAATTTGATCCCGGTATCTCCGTGTTCAACTGAATTGCCACATTTAAAATAAACCGATAAACAAACTTATAAGCAGAATGCCAAACAATCAAGTTAAACCAAAGGGCTTCGCTTTGCTTAGCCACTCCATCTGTTCCGGTACGGTGCAACAGCTTGATTTCAGACAATTCTATAATTGTAAGCAGATTCTGTGACTGCTTGAAACTGTGCTGATGTCTTAAATTATATTAGTATGGTGAAGTATTGACAAAAAAGAGTGTTTTTTCTGATCTAAATATATATTTATAGGATTGCCACTTTACGATACGTGGAGGCAGGCTAAAAGAAAATGGAGAATACCAGCTTCCTGTTGTTGTCCTTATGCTAAGTTTGCCCCATTCCACTAGTAGTTTACCAACATTGCTTACTCCTGGGATGATGGAGAATCTCTTCCATGAAATGGGACATGCCATGCATTCTATGCTGGGAAGGACTCGATACCAACATGTCACTGGTAAGCTTACTGGTTAAAGTTCAAACAAGTACTTCATTTTTTACATGCAACCCTTTCATAGTTTGCATGTGGTGTATCTGGTTGTACTGCAAGTAGAGGTTTTAGTCTTATCTTTAAGGCAACTGAGAGCAATTTTCTTACTGGCCTTTAAAAACTACTCCAAATTATCTTCTGTATATTACATATAAGCCTTTTCCCAACTGCCCATCATACTTTGTGTGAATAAGGAGCAGAAATGAGGATGGTACTATGCAGGAACAGACTTAATTCTTGATAGGTGGAGTAGTGAGCAGAGGCAGGGAACAGATTTTGCCTCCATTCCAGTTGCATCCATGTCAAGGGTGATTTTGCTAGCATTAAAATAGTTCTGAATTTAATTTAATAGATCTTTAAATCTTTCAGATCAGTAGTAAGTGGTGAGCTAGGAATTTTGGTATGATGCAGAAACTCCATCTCCCAACTCTGTTGTGCTTAACCTTCCTTCAGACCCTTTGTGATTCCTCAATTTCACTGTTACTCCTCTTCCTCCTCCTGTCCTCCTCTAAATAATGTAGTTAAACTAGTTCTCATCCAGTGCAAGGGGTGGGGGAACATAAGAAGAGCCTGCTGGATCCTGTCAATGGCCCATCTAGTCCAGCATTCTGTTCTCACAGTGGCCAACCAGGTGTTTGTCGGAAGCCTGCAAGCAGCATAAGTGCAGAATAGAACTCTGCCCACCTGCAATTCCCAGTAGCTGGTATTCAGAGGCATACTACCTCTGACAGTGGAAGTAGAACATAGCCATCATGGCTAGTCGCCACTAAAAGCCTTATCATCCATTAATTTGTCTAGTCATCTTTTAAAGCCATCCATAGCTTAACTTCAAGCTTCATGAAGAAGCGCTGGGAGTGAGAAATGTACATTGCATCCCCCCAACCTGGCACTATTCAGTAGATGTTCATGACACTCATGTTCCGCACAGCCTCCCAGACCACAATGGATCTGCTAGCTAAGGCTAAGGAAACAAAACTTCATCGCAACATGTTGTGGTTTGAGCGCTGCAAAAATGCAAGATCCCCCCATCTAGTAATACTGGAGGAAAGAAGTCCAGGTTGCGTACAAAGTGGTGGGGAACCTCCAGCCCGCAGGCCTAATTAGGCTTGCCAGGTTTTGGAGGCTGGCTTGCCAAGTGGCTTTGGGCAAATCACACCCACCTTTCTTGTAGGCGCCAGTTGCAGGAAAAACCTTCTTTTGAACCTCAGCTTGAATTCATGCCAAGGATGCAAAGGTTCTTCCTTTCAGCTGTGGTCTGAACATGCTGCAACTTCAAAGGAAGGTCCTTTTCATCCTCAGATTGAATTTTCCATTGCAGCTTGAGTTTTGAATCACCTTATGTTATATGATGTCACCTTACGTTACATGACTGGATCAACCAGCTGGATCTAGTTCCCTACCCCCTGCCATACAAGGAATAGTAATATACAAATATTTGTAGCTCCAGAAAGTGACAATCTATAAAAGCTTGAAGCCCACTGATCACAAGGGAGAAGAGAGTAGATATGAGGACTAAATTTTTTAATTGTAAATTGTTATTTCACCATCAGGTGTCTTGAGGTAACCACCAAAGCTGCTCTTCAGTGACTGATACCTTGAACAATAAAGGAAAGCAAATATGGACAATAATTGTGCTAGCTCATCAGACAGATGGGATGATAATATTTGTAAATGGGATTAAATTTTTAAGCACAGTTTGATATTTTTATTGTAATTAGGTATAAAGTAACGACAATTAAGGATTTAGTGTTTAAAGTGGGGCCAGATTGGCTGTAGCCTGGTTTAAGTTTATAAAGGGTGTGAGCCATAGCTTTATAGGGTGCCTCACCCAGCTGTTCAAATATTGTATTTACTTTGTGATTTGCAGTAAAACATGTAGGATTATAATTTAGCTTTTCTGCCAGTACGTACAATAACATTACAGAAATGAAATATTTACTTAATGAATGATTTACCACAGTTCATCAAAAGTGCAGATGGAAAGCTAAGAGGAACTTTGGAGAAGACAGAAGAATTTATGTAAACTTTATGGCTACCTGCATGTTAATGCTTCTGCTTCTTTTCTATAGGGACAAGATGTTCTACAGACTTTGCTGAAGTTCCCTCTATCTTGATGGAGTATTTTGCAAATGATTATCGAGTGGTGAACCAATTTGCAAGGCACTATAAAACGGGTCAGGTAGGATAACTAAAAACCAGGCTGATTGTAAATAACATAAGAGTTTTGGGTTGTTGGGGTTTTTTGGGGGGGCGGGCGGGAAACAGAATAGATTCAGATGTTTGAAACTAGGTGGAGAAATATTTTGTCATGAGACTCATATTTCATGCCCCCCTTTTTGTATCTTCCCATAAGTAACTTGAGTGATAGAAACAAAATGGTTGAGACCGCCATTTTCCTTTTCCTTTTTAAAAACTTAATTTTTGAGCCTTTGGAAATAATAAGTCCTAAGTGCTATGGGGCGTCCTCAGGCTTTTGGGCAGCCTTCCCCAACCTGGTGCTCTTCAGGCATTTTGAACATCAATTTCCATTGGTACTGGATAGGGCTAATGGGAGCTGTGGTCTGGAACATCTGGAGGGCGGCAGGTTGGAGAAAGCCTACTCCAGTGCCTCTTCCTCCTCAAGTGGTCCATTGCCTCCCTGACCTGGAAGGATTATAAAGGTTTCCAGAAATCTGCCTGAACATGTTTCAACTATGGCTGCTGTTTCCAAGGCCTAATTCCCGGCTTTGCCTCCCCTCCCCTTTGTGAGGCCCAGTGCAGAAAGGGATGCTGAGGAAAAGGGAGTGTCAGGGCTGGAGTCAGACGTAGGTCAGCACAAAAGACGCAGGGCTCCATTGTCAGTGAAGTTAACTCTTTATTCAAGGAAATGGCATACAACCCCAGTGACACTTCTTAGTAGGTCTTGCTCTATGGAGCAGTCTTAGTCTTCCACACTTTCTAAGACTCCTCCTCTCTCAGATGTTTCCCAAGCAGTCTCAAACTGCGCCTGCACGCCTCTGTTCTGCTCTCATTATTCTGCATGTTCTTGGGGACCAGCAGGGAGGGGAGCCTGGTGCGGCAGGAGAGGGAGACTTTCTGATTCTTCAGCAGCCTGTTGACTCCCCTTCTCTGCTTTGGCCTCGGAGTCTGAACTGCTCCCTGTCACAGCCTCTTCCTGCTCACTAAACCCTGTTGCCCCTTCAGCATCCAGCCCTTGCTCCCTATCTTCTCCCTCTGACTTTTTCTCAGCGTCCCACCACCAATCTCCTAGTTCTAAGCCTTACTCCTCTGGGGTTTCTCTTGAGGGGTCCCCCAGCTAGTGCCTCTCACCACATCTTTTCATCTAGCCAGTCCCTGACTGAGTTAGATAAAATTGCTGTAAATTGTTGTGGTGATTCAGAGGTTTAATTTGATATCAAGCTGGGTTTGAGTTTGTTGTTGTCTCTGGTAACTCCTCTGTTACATCATGGATGTTGGCTCATATTATGACTGTATGATCCATATTGTTTTATTGGTACTGTTGCTGCAGGTTTGTCATGGCCTTTGGCTAGAACAATAAAATTATATTGAAGTCCTAAGTGTGCTACATGATTCTTCAAAGAACTAAGAGCTTACAAATCTGTCAAACAGCAGTGGGAATTCAGGATAGTCAGTGTTTAACAAGGAGCTGCCATCACTTAGAAGAACCAGTAACACGCAATTCCTTGGTGATAGAAAGTTGCAGTTGGGATGGTTGCTCCCAGTGCATTTCAATGAATTTATTTGTTTAATATTATTTTGCAGAGTTGAAAATATCACGGGCACCTCAACATTTAATACTGACTTTTAAAAGATGCTTTTGTTTCTTTTTAGTCAGCCCTGTTGTCTAGCCTTGTGGAACTGATTTATAGAATGATGTGGGCTTAAGGGAGAAATACATTTAAGAAAGATACTTACAATGCAATCCTAAGAACGCTTTCTTGGAAGTAAGTCCCACTAATCCAGTGGGATTTACTTTCTGGTAAGTGTGCCTCAGATTGCAGCCTTAAGGGTATAATATACTACTTCTATTTTCCAGATACTTTACAAACCTTGTCTCCTTTTAGCTCACAAATTTGGAGCCAGGCACTGTGTGCCCCATTCCTTAAATATTCCTGGCCTGTTTTGTGATGGAAGCCGTTTGGCATAGAATCATTGTGTACCAGGAAGTAATTGAGTCAGCTTTAATTCATCCTTGCAGACAGGATAAAATGTAATGTGGGATTAGGACTTGAGCCTAAACGACTGTTTTGCTGTCATGTTTCTGAATGTGCATTTCTTTCACCTTTCTGAATAGCTTAAAAATTATTTTTGACTCAGCTGTCTATTTTTCTTTTTTAAAGGGTGATTGGTTTTAAAGGGTTTGATAACAAATGCTTTATTTCCTGTAATTTTGAATGCAAATATGAGCAATCAGAGTTTGAGAGCAGACCTGTTGTTTGCTATGTTAATAACTGGTTGTGATCTTTTTTGTCTGGAGGAACCTTGTTTTTGTGTGCTTAGAAGGGGGACCAGATTCTAGTCACTTTCCTCGCCATATTCGATTCTCTCAGAGAACTGTTGCTTTGACTTGGCACTCTCAATTATATCAGCTTTAGTAAAACGTAAGCAAAAAGCTTTCACCAAGCATTTTTTTGTTATAGAACAAAAAACTGAGGCTAGGTTTTAACCAGAAAAGTCTGGTGCCTTTTGAACATTCACTGATTTAGTGGAATCTAGACAGCATCTTAAAAAGCAGAGACGTCACCTTGCCAACAAAGGTCTGTATAGTTAAAGCTATGGTTTTCCCAGTAGTGATGTATGGAAGTGAGAGCTGGACCATAAAGAAGGCTGATCGCCGAAGAATTGATGCTTTTGAATTATGGTGCTGGAGGAGACTCTTGAGAGTCCCATGGACTGCAAGAAGATCAAACCTCTCCATTCTTAAGGAAATCAGCCCTCAGTGCTCACTGGAAGGACAGATCATGAAGCTGAGGCTCCAATACTTTGGCCACCTCATGAGAAGAGAGGACTCCCTGGAAAAGACCCTGATGTTGGGAAAGATGAAGAGCACAAGGAGAAGGGGAGGACAGAGAACGAGATGGTTGGACAGTGTTCTCGAAGCTAACAGCATGAGTTTGACCAAACTACAGGAGGCAGTGGAAGACAGGAGTGCCTGCCATGCTCTGGTCCATGGGGTCACGAAGAGTCAGACACGACTAAACAACAACAACAAATATCATTAAAATATGTTTTCTCAGTTACTTTCTTTGTGAGAAAGGAAGAGAAAATGAAGAGGGAATGGGATGGATAGGCAGGTAGGTGTGTGTGTGTGTGTGTGTGTGTGTGTGTGTGTGTGTGTGTGTAAGAGAGAGAGAGAGAGAGATTGACGGATTGATTATGTTAGGTGCTGATGACCTAAAAATCATCATGACCTCACATCTCCATCCAGCTCTGTTTGTTTGTTTGTTTGTTTGTTTGTCTCTCTCACACACACTCTCTCTCTCTCTCACACACACAATTCCTAACTGAGTCTCAGGAAAAGACATAGAAATAGCCACTCATCTTCCTCTCTTCTCTTTATCCCCTCTGCACTCTTTGCAGTCTCTATCAAATAGCCTTCTCCTGCCCACCAGCGACTGGCAGTGTTTTGCAGTCCCATGACTTCTGTGGCCATGTCCCCCTCTTCATTGGCCGTTCCCATTCCTCCCCTCCCCTTTTATTTTCCAGCCAATTCTCAAGAGACTGTGGCTATAAAGTAAGGTTAGTCTCCACTGGGATGTTTGGGAAGAGATAGCACCTTTAGGTTTTTTGTTTTTTGAAAAAGAACTTTTGTACTTCTGCTTATCTCAAAGTTCCCCTGAGCATGCTGATAACTCCCTTTCTTCTTCAGTAGCCCTGTTTTGGCTACAGTCATGTGGGATTTGCCATCTCAGCTGTCGGTTAAAAATAGTGATATGTTGTCACAGGTTGACATTTTTAAAGAATTATAAAAGCTTGCTGAGGCAGGAGTACCCTTTGCAGAAACCATGTGGATTAATTCTCAGCAAGGGTTTAATAATGCTAGCTTTAATAATCCATTTACCTGAGGCAGAAGAATGGCTACCCTGGGCTAGCCTATGTGGTGCACTCCAGATGTTGCTGGACTGCAGCTCCCATTGGCCTCAGCCAGCATGGTCAGGGATAATGGGAGTTGTAGTTCAGCAACACCAGGAGTGCACCACAGTGACTACCTCTGGGCTAGCAGGCCATAGGTTCCAGATACTATCTTTTTTAAAAAAAAACACCATAGTGTCCAATTGGTTGCCCTCCAATCATTTGGCAAGATGGCTAATTTTAATAAGTTGCATTTTTGAAAAAACAAACAGAAGTTCAGCAAGTTCACATTTCAATGATTTAAGGACAGTTAGGTGAAAGTTATCTGGCCCCAGGGACATATTAATTTGTAATTTGCCAGCGATGAATTTGACTCTTACTTTTGTATATTCTGGTCATGCCAAAAGCAGAGGTTTACACACACACACACACACACACACACACACACACCCCTCTCTCCATCCATGCAAGGAAAAGTTTGAAGACTCATTCCAGGCAGGCAGGAACAGTCTACAAGGGTGTAGAGCAAGCCTAGTGAGGGCTGAGGCCTAAGAAAGAGGTATGTCTCAGGTAGAGTCTTGAAGGCTGGGTGAAGAAGCCTAGAGCAGTGTTTCCCAACCTTGGGCCTCCAGCTGTTTTTGGACTACAACTCCCATCATCCCTAGCTAACAAGACCAGTGGTCAGGGATGATGGGAATTGTAGTTCAAAAACAGCTGGAGGCCCAAGGTTGGGAAACACTGGCCTAGAGAGCCACATCTGGGCCTGGGATTCCCCACCCCTGCTGCAGAGGGAAAATATGTGTAGTGCTGCCTTGTTCTGTTACCTGCAGTGGTGCTTTAACTGTGTCAGGAGGGATGCTTTCACCTCTCTACTATCCCAGAGAGGTGCATGGTTAGTAGTGTTTCTCATTCCCTGACAACAAAGGGCTTCCTGCTCTATGCTTCACTGAACTGCAAACCTGGATTTCCATTTCAGCGAGGATTTGTGGGATTGTGGTTTACCAAAATACCAATTAGCAGGGTTCTGCTATTTTGTTCTGTTTAAAACAGGATACCACTTGACAGCTCTGAGGCTCAGTTTCTGTTTGATGTGATTTGAAACAGCCAAAGTATAAAACTGCAAAAAAGTAAAGTTATACTAGAAGAGCCAATTTGGCTGTAACTGTGTTAAAAATTAGAGCCCTATAAAATAAAACCATTCCCTCCTGCCAAGTTTTTAAATGTTTATATTTTTGTACCGTAGACTTCTTTTTTTAAAAAAACCCAACAACTATGAGTATATTGAATGCGTAAATGGGGACTCTTTCTCAGGTGTTTAGTGACCGTGATGGGTCATGACCGTGATGGGTCATGACTGGGAAGAAGGAAGTTTTGTTCAGGAACGGGGAACCTGTATCCTTATAGAGGTCACAGTATTACAACTCCCAACATCCTTGTCCAGTAGCCATGATGCCTGGGACTGATGCAAGTTGTAGTCCACCAACATCTGGGTGGGGTCACAGGTTCATCATCCCTGGTTTAGAACATAAGAAGAGCCTTGCCGAGTCAGACTATAGACCCAACAAGCTAACACTTGGTTTCCAGCAGTGGCCAGCAGATTTATTCATTTAATTAAAAGGTTCCTTTTGTAAGCTTCTCTTAGAAAGTGCGGCACACGAAGGGTGGGATTCAGCATTGCGCCGTTGGGAACATTAAGTCTGTGCAAGCATTTCCGTTTGCCGGATGGAACACTCTGCCCTCATCTCCCCTCATGTTCTGGGGGTTCTCCCACCCCCCATGAGCCAATTTCAGGGGGACAAGGGAAAACCTTGTTGTGCAAGTGGGAAGTCCTTGCTCAGGGCTTCCGCTGATGGGGCTTCTTAGATGAATCCCAACTACAGTTTTTCTCCAGTAGAGGGAAGTAGAAGAAATGGCCTGGGAGGCAGGCAATGACAGCAGTCCCCACACACCCTCAGCTTAGGCCTCCAGAGGTGGCTGCTTCGCTCAGCCTAAAGGTGGGCTTTCTGGACTATCGCTTGCCCCTCTCACTATCACATTAGATTTTCCTGCCTTCCAGAATAGGCAGAACCACTCATCCACAGCTTCTGCTCATCTTGTGTTATACAGATGTGGTCTAGAGGGAATGCTAGGATGAGCTGATGCAGTTTTCTTTGAGCCTCTTATCTCCCCCCTCCCCACCTTTAAGCATTAGATGCCACCTGGGATACAGCTTTGGAGCTCAGAGGAGTAAAGGATTAACTGGCAAAGTAGCAATTACCAGCTTCAGAGAGTTAAGTTATATTTTCAGTTTAACATTTCTTTCATTATTAAGAAGAGGAAAGCCTTGAGTCCACCTGTCTTGCTTTTATCTGCAATGGTGCTGATTAGGCCTGTGTGTGGTCTAACATTTACGTCTCTGTTATATGTTTATGCTTGTATTCTTTACGGGGTTTTTTTGGGTGGGAGGGAGTGGGGAAAGAGATCTGCTTTTTTCTCATTTAGAAATCATTCTAATCAAGGGGTCCATGTCTGGGGGCTAAGTCCCAGAATAGCAGTTGTACTACAGTGTGGAATAATTGTCTGCTGTTTAAATGGTGCAATTTAAATTACAGCTTTGCACACTGGATATTCTTAAGTTTTCAAAACTATACTGCTATTTTCTGGATAGGAAAATTATAGATCTTGTGTGGTTAACTACTATGGGAAGCATTTCAGTTTAGGAGCATTTCTTGCCCATTTTCACTTCCATCTAATTTGCTGATAATGTTTTTATTGGTTCTCAATAACTTTGATGCAGCTGCTTTTGTTCTACTAACACGAGTAGTTTTTCTAGATGTCATAATTAGTACAGAACCTGACCATGTTGCTATTTTGTAATAGCAACAATTCTTTGATAGAATAATTCTTAAACACTTCAACTGTAAAGCTTCAGGCATGATTGAAGAGCTGTTTGTAAATGCCAGACATCTGTATTCCATTTTTGAAGCTACAGAGGCTCTTTAACAATTTGAAGGCTTTGGTCACACTGACACTCAGGGCACAAGTATAAATTAGTAAGAAGCATTCCATGTTCAGTCTTCGCACTTCGCTCTGTATTGTGTAGAAAAACTTAATCTGTTCCTTCATGTTGTTAGGGCCAGGTAAACACATATCAGGATGATCTTAGGAGATAGGCTATATTATAGAGGAGAGGGGGAAACTGGACAAAAAGATATACAGTGTTGTTAGTAGCATATAGTTTTGTCTTCAAACTTCTATTTTATTTTGTTCTCACTCCATTTTTTTAATGTGACAAGCTATATCAAATGAAGCATCTTTCTTCTTACCTTTCTCCTCATAGCTAACAATAGATACTTTCTCCTATCATAAAACGGAGTGTTTGTTTGCCTGGAATAGTTTACCTGTCTGTGTCTCTTGACGTGGTATGGATTTGAAACAAGAAGAGAGCTAGAGTTTCTCTGGCTGGCATGCAATACATCCACATGATGGGTTGTGTCTTATGGTTTGCCCAAGTAAGGAACATGTGATGTGATTGATTTCCTGTAGCTTCTCTTTCAGTTCTGCCCCTGCCTTTGCCCAAAGCAGATAGGGATTCTCTCTTTTTCCCCATCTGCCTTTGATCTCAAGTTTCCCCTTTGAATTTTTCCTTTCCTTTCTCCTTGTGCTCCTTTTTCCTACCTCTTCATCCCCCAAAAATCTGGAGCAGAGATTCCATTTCTTCTATTTCTTCTTACCTGCTTTTTCTGCTGGTTTTAGTCTCTTCTGTGAGAAGAGGAAAACCTTAACTTTTCTTTTCCTCCACTGGAAGAAGATATTTTGTGTGACATGCTGTCAGGGGCTCAGGAGCAGAGGCACAGGGGAGAGAGGAAATGGAGAGCGAAGGGGAAGAATCTGAGGGCAGCGTAGGGGAGTATGAAAGTGGCCCGAGAGATTCCATGAGTCTCTCCAGCAAATCAGAAGATTCCCAGAGGGGGGCGCCGATGGCCAGGGCAAGGGGGGTCCCAGGGGGGACACACCAGAAGCAAGGGGCCAGCGGGGACTCCCAAAGCAGCAGCGGGAGAGCAGGACCAGCTCCTCCACCAGAGCGTAGTGAGGGGGAAGAGTCACATGTATCAGGGCCAGCTTCTCCTCCAGCAGGGAGAGAGGATGGCCACGCCTCCATCGCAGAGTGAGGGAACGGAGGGAGAGTCAGGTGCAGCTAGCCTCCCCGAAGGGGGAAGCAGGGACAGGAGCAGTGTAACGGTCAGGAGGAAGGTGGCCGGCTGGGCGCGCGGCGCCAAGTTCGAATGTACAGGCGCGCGGCACAGCAGGAAACCCGGATTGGGAACCAGGTCCTAAAGCCCGCCGGAGGGAGGGGGAGGACTCAGGAGACTCAGCGTCAGAAGAGTCTAGGAGAGGCGAGACCCCAGCGGACAGGCGGGCCCAGAGGAGAAGAGAGCAGAGGAAGAGGTGGAGCAAGGCTAGAGTCTTAAACTGGTGTCTGGGGGGAGGAGATTCAGACGGAGCTTCGGCGGTCTAGAGTTTGAGACGTAGAGCTGCGCGCCGCAGCTGTGAAAGCGAAACTGAGCTTCAATAAACACTGTTTTATATAACAACGAACTGGCGTTGTCCTTTGTGAGCTGGGACCTAGGGCAGCTCTGACACATGCTGATCCAACTATTGCTACTTCTTCTCCAGGTCCTAAGCAAGCACCTGGCTATGTTTTTACTTGCACAACCATTTACTTTCTCCAGACTAGAAGGTAGCAAGGAAAGCCAAGCCAAGTGTCCTTTCATTAAACAATCAAGATGTGAAATAGGTGGTAGAAGCAACAGAGAGCCCCGAGCCATGTTCTTTTCCAGCATACAATTAAATACACATTTTACTTGCACTGACTGTTACTTTGTCTGTTCATTGAGTCTATTTAAAAATTGTTTAAAAGATTTCCATCTCCCCATCTTTTTTTTATTATTATTTTTCAAGCCATTGCCCAAACATATGGTGTCAAGACTCTGCGAATCTAAGAAAGTTTGTGCTGCCGCCGACATGCAGCTTCAGGTATGTTGTTTGCTTCTATGTGATTTTAACCTTACTATGAAGTTGGGAAAGATCTTAAGATTAGCACAGCATCATTTTAAAGTTATGACTCACTGATGCAGATTCTTTGGCACATTTGTACAACTGTTGAATACTTAAAATGAATTACTTTAAAACTTTATGGGATTTTAATGTCACCGACTCTTAAGTGTAGAATGAGTTGCAGTTTGAAAGTAATACATATCCAAATAAACTTTTCTTAAAGCTAAACTGAGAGTCAAAAGTCAATCTAAGCTTTTTAAAGTCTGCAATGCTGTTAGAAAAAGTTCAGGGAACTCTGTAGGGAAAGAGATTTCTACATTGTGCAGCAGCCAGTGAAATGAATCTATGGAATGATGTGAATTTTAACTCTGGTTTCTTCGTGACTTCAATTAAAAAAGAGACAGCCAGCTTCAGAGGCACATCTTCCAAACACTAGCGTGAATTCCCCTCTGCCTTAACTTGCCTCTGGTGCTAGTGCTGAACTAGGTTTCCTTTTAATCAGGATCTGAAACTGCAGTTTAAACTGGGGTTCAGATCCTAGTTTAAGGGCAAACTTGGTTAGTGTGAACTGGTTGAAGGTCAGTGCCAATATTTATCTGAACTCTAGTTAAGGCAGAGTGGGAATGAAGAGAAGATGGGAGGATAGCTGCCTCCCACTTTTCTTGGTCATGGGTAACAAAGAGCCAGCATTACATCTGCACTAGCCCCATGATGTGCCTTTGATCTCTAAATTTGGTGCACAGATAGAATGATTGTTCATGCTTCCTTATGATAGATTATAGCGGGTTCCTGAATCTAAACGTCTTGCTTGTGACCTCTGGATTGGAGGATAAGGCCAAATAATGTGGGGCCTTATCAAAGCCAAATTGTGTTTTACTTTGTTTTTTGTTTCTTCTTTTTTCTTGGTTAATTTTGTTATATATATATATATTATAATAAAAGTCCCTCTAACTTCAGTGGGACGTCTGCAAATTAAGCGTGCATGGTGTTGCAGCTTTTTTGTGTGGATCCATTAAATAAAAGGCACTGGAAACTGTCAGCCTAAAATATAAATATGCAGAACAAGAGCATGCAAGCCAAGTTTTCATTCTGGCAATGGACTTGAATGGTTCATAAGTTGCCATGTGCTTTTCCAAAAACTAATCATTCTAACAGAAGCAACATAATCTGTTAGAAATGTTTACATGCTTATTTCTAAAGACTCTGATAAATGCATAAGCCAGAACAAATCTAGAACAAATAAATGCATTTCGGGGGAAATCACGAGCTAATCTAGTATGTAAATGTATTTATTTATTTATGAACCCAAATCTAATTTATTCTAAAGAGGAAATGCATTTGAACATTCTAAATGAGAACTGATTCTATTTTAGGTAATTTACGCACATAACATATTGGCTTAATCATAAAAAATCTTCCCCAAGGAAGTTCATTTCTAAGAAAATACTGAATAAAGCTTTCAGTTGTGTTTATTTTAATGAAAATGCATTTGGTTTGTTTATGGCTCTCAAATTATTAAAAGAGCTCTTTTTAGGGAGATTAATCAGTGAACGAAATAATTAGAACTTGTAACTTATTGGGTAAGAAAATCACCTGGTATCTCCCTTTTCATTTATTTCCCTTAACATGAGATAGAGTGCTTGAAGAATATGAATGAATGAAGGAATGAATGAATGAATGAATGAAACAAGTGGAGGGCAAGTACATAGAATGCTTTTCTTGAGCCCTTGCAGTATACTATCTGAACTGAGATCAGTAGGGGGATCTCTGAGTTGATCATGAGGTCCCAATCATGGAGAAAACCGTCCTGTCTTTTCTCAGGTTTGCCGCTTAAAAAATATACCATCCTGGAACATACTGAGCCCTTCTGCCATGACATCAAGAGCTGTAATAGCAGTCACTTTTCTCTCCCTTGGCAGTCATAGCAATTTCTCCAACACCAAGCTTGCTTTGGAAATTGCAGGGTGACTAAGAGTTATGCATAGGTCACCCACCTCATCCCACAAAGAACAAGGACAGTCTGAAACATAATTGTGGTTAAATGTCTGTCTCCTCCAAGCCTCTACAGGATATCAAGGCTTAGATAATTACAACTTTAAATTCTTAGCTCTTTCCCCTTCAGTTCTCTCCAAACCCACAGTTTGACTGGGAATATTTGGAATTCCAAGTGTAGGGTAGAGGCTTTTCGTTCTTCTTTCACATATCCCAAGAGTCTTTTCTGAATTGTACTGTTTCACATGGGTATTTGCATTTAAACCCTCATTGCACACAGTCCAGCTCTCTCCTTCATGGGTTATATTTTAGGTGCAAGGATCTTTAAAAAAACAAACAAACAGATGAGGTGGTCCAAAATAGAATAACCCTCCTACAATCTGAAGTAATTTAATTTTTGCTCCACCAAAAAGCAGAATAAGGGAGCCTCCAGGCAAAAGTACTGACATATCTATAAAAGTTGTAGAGCTTCATAGTAATTGAGTTTTTACAGGCCTCTCACCAGATGAGAGATAAGTGGGTGGCAAGGTCATGTTATAATGTTCTGTGCCAAGTTCCACAGAGCACAGGACTGATAAACCGGTGGTTCTTTGTGCCAAGAAATATCTTGGTGCAATTCAATCAGTGTTAAGCATTTTTCAGCCATGTTGCCTTAATTGGGAAAGAGAAGCACATGAAACCTAAAAGTCGGTAACTCTGGTGAATCAATCCTCTCATTTCATTTTAGATATACTTTCTTACAAAATGTTACTTTCCATCCAAATTTCTAGTGCGAGCTCTTTTGTGGGATGAGAGATTGTGGCAGTACTGGGAGGACACCAGAACCCTGTCTTTATGTTCTAAGACTGGTTTGAAAAGGACCTGGAAAGGAATTCTCCCCACCACTATAGTTTTCCATGGGAATTTATGTGGTACAATAGTGGGGTTTGGTTTTTCTTGAAGATGTTCTTCTCATGGTTTGGAATCCACATCTTGCCATTCCCACAAAGACTGCAGTGGGGACAATGACTGCAACCCTGTTAAAATAAAAAAAGACAGTATATTTTTAATGTACAGCAACCATTCATGACTCAAATTATAATTTGATTCTTTATAACTTTGCTCTAGGCTTTGATTGATAAGATCAGTTATTAAGATGTCAAAAGCAAAAAATGGAGTAACACCCCCCCCCGTTTCTGCAATGTTTCTTTATAAATAGCACATCAATGATGGCCTCAATCAAAATTTGGCTAGAAACCAGCCATATGTCCCAGCCTGCCTTCAATATATTAGCTGCTGTTCAAATACCACTGCAAAAATATGCTGGGGGATCCAACATAGGGGTTGATTTCTTCTCTGCTTTCCTGTCTCCCTGACTTGTTCCTATTAACCCCAGGTATTTAGCTAGAAATTAGTACTGACGCAAGAAGTGGAAGCCTTGGATTTGCTCAGGTGTCCTTTTATAACAGCTGTGCAGAAATAAAGATCCTGAGGGCTGTGTGGAGGACGCTTTTGTAATACAAGTGTCGCTAAGACACGTGCATACCTACCTGATGCGACAGTATGGTATCTTTTAAGGATCAGGCTGAAGTCCTATGGATGTATGGCGGCTTCCTTTTGAAAAAGCAGGATTTTTGTGCATACACAAGACTTGAGAATGGGAACACCATAGGAAGGTGTATTGGGCAGAATCAAATCACCATCTAGCTCAGTATTATCTATGCTGATTGGCAGTAGCTGTCCAAGTTTACAGACAAAGGTCTTTCGGAGATGCCAGGGACTGTAGCTAGAGTCTTCTCCATAAAAACCACATGCTCTTTTACTGAACTAAAACTCTTCCTCAGTATTGAACATGTGAACAGAATTATGTTTTTATTTTTGTGGGGGGGGGTGATGCTGTGGTCTAAACCACTGAGCCTCTTGGGCTTGCTGATCGGAAGGTCGGTGGTTCAAATCCCCGCAGCGGGGTGAGCTCCCATTGCTCTGTCCCAGCTCCTGCCAACCTAGCAGTTCAAAAGCACGCCAGTGCAAGTAGATACATAGGTACCACTGCAGCAGGAAGGTAAATGGCATTTCTGTGGGCTCTGGCACTCATCACGGTCCTCTGTGCGCCAGTAGCGGTTTAGCCATGCTGGTCACATGACCTGGAAAATTGTCTGTGGACAAACGCCAGCTCCCTCGGCCTGAAAGTGAGATGAGCACCGCAACCCCATAGTCACCCTTGACTGGACTTAACCCTCCAGGGGTCCTTTACCTTTTACCTATATATTTAGAAGCCGCCCAGATGGCTGGGGCAACTCAGTCAGGTGGGCAAGGTACAAATAATAATAAAATTAGTATTATTCTGAACGTTATTCTATATTACTCTCATGAAGAAAAGCAAGGGAATGCATGTATTTTAATCTCTTTTATTCTGCTGCATGTCTGAATTTGTTAACCACATGCTGAATAGCAAGAGTGAGCCATAGCTCAGTATATATATTATCTATCTAGATCTTTTATGCTGTCTTGGACCAAATATACCATGGGAAACATCCTCTAGAGAAGTCAACCACAGAGATTTTGAAAGAAACTCAAGAGAAATTCTATGGATTGCCATACGTTCCTAATACTGTGAGTACCATATTTCATGCGGATTGATATTTTAAAAGAAAACGAAGGTTAATGGACTTAGTCATGTTCATTAATTTCTGAGTAAGAATTAGTTGACTACCACCCAAATGATTTTATGTTATCATTTTAAAAAGTTTTTATCTGTGGAACTGTTTTATATATGTTATTATATTGCAAATTGCTTTGGGATGACTCATGGGAAGCAATTCGCAAGTGAAATAAATGCTACTAGTAATAATATAGATTGAGGTGAGGAGTCTAACATTCAAAATAGGAGGGGCAAGTAAAAACGTCCTTGAATAAGACCAGTGACTTGGATGTCTGGACCCCAGCCATAGTTTAGGCTTACTGCAAAGCATAGAAAAAAATCTTGAGACTACTTAAAAATGTTTGGCTGTTACTTCTTTTTCAATTTCCTAAAGGGTATAATGTAATCATTAGCCTGCATGCATTTTACACAAGTGAGGCTACAAACAGTTTAAATATGCATTGAAGAACTTCTGAGTGTTTTTATAATGTTGTACAGAAAGCAGAAGTGGGTCATTTTTAAGTGAAATATATGTTGTGGTCAGTGTGGCTCTTTCATTCAATTTGCAAACCCAGGAAATTCAAAAATTCAGATTTTAGAGACGCTTGTGAAAACATCCTTTAGTTTTGGAATGCTTGTAACTTGCTGCTTCAGCCAAAGTGGAAAACCCATTTGTTTATACAAATTGTATACCCTTGGATTAACTTTCAACTGGGTCATCTTAAAGTACACTGTAAAACCAGGTTTTACGAGACTGCGTGTAGGAAGAGGAAAATTAAATGAATGTGTAACAATCCCTTTGTGGATTTTTCTGTAAATAGTCTCTGGTTATTGTTTTATAAAGGTGGTTTCATAAACTCAGCATTCATTTCAAAACCATAACAAAGTTAGTACTTTGAAAACCAGCTCATGAATCTTGGATTGCTTTTTTTCTTTTTTTTTTAAAGAGAAGTCCTTTCATTTCTTCATTTGAACAGAAAAGCTACAGATAATGATCACAAGAAAACTGAATCCCACTTAGGTCCCATTGAAATCAATGGGGCAAGTTAGTTGTGACTAACTGGAGCTATTAATTTAGTAGAGCTTAAGCCAACGATCTTCCTTTGAAGTGAGGCCAACACTTTTCAGGAAACACTTCCCCCCAGCTATTCACAGTTCTTGAAGCAGAATGTTCGGAAGTTGTCAAATTGTAAACCACTTGAAGCTTTTAAGGAAAAACTGACCTCATGAAATTCAGCCCTTTATGATTGTAGCATTAGTGCTTTTTTAGTAATAGGGTTGTGCCAGAAGTGGTTTAGTCATGCTGGCTACATGACCCTGAAAGCTGGCTGTGGCGAAACGCCGGCTCCCTTGGCCTGAAAAGCGAGATGAGCGCCACACCCCATAGTGTGACTGGACTTAACTTCCCAGGAGTCCTTTACCTTTACTTTACCTTTTGGTAATAACGTTGCATTTTGCTTACACATTGAGGGGCTGCTGGCTTCCCCCTTCAGACTGCATCCCCTACCCTCAAGAGTCGCTCAGGGGTGGCTGGAATTCCCTGGGATCCTGTGTAAAAAGGTAAAGGTAAAGGTACCCCTGCCCGTACCGGCCAGTCTTGCCAGACTCTAGGGTTGTGCGCTCGTCTCACTCTAGAGGCCGGGAGCCAGCGCTGTCCGCAGACACTTCCGGGTCACGTGGCCAGCGTGACAAGCTGCATCTGGCGAGCCAGCACAGCATACGGAACGCCATTTACCTTCCCGCTGGTAAGCGGTCCCTATTTATCTACTTGCTTTCGAACTGCTAGGTTGGCAGGCGCTGGGACTGAGCAGCGGGAGCGCACCCCACCACGGGGATTCGAACCGCCGACCTTTCGATCGGCAAGTCCTAGGCGCTGAGGCTTTAACCCACAGTGCCACCCACGTCCCTTGGGATCCTGTGTAGTGTGGCATAAAGTCTGCAGCCTGTGGAAAAAATTGGGGTCCCCCTCCCCTACTTTCTGTGTGACTGAATGGCCTTCCCCCATAATGTATGGGGAGTTTGGACACAAGTCATATGCATTCTATACAATTTGGGAGCTTTCTTCTGAAGCCTGCAGACCTCATTGACCCGCATGTAGCAGTGAGCATGTATAGGACCAGGGATGTGATTAGATTTTGCCAGAGCCAGGCTTGGAACTGAATTTCTAGGATACTGTACTTAAAAGCGTGCCTTAAAGGAGACGTTAACTTTTAGAAATTCTGGACTACTCCCTGCAACACCCTTTGCTAACCTGGATCAATATCTGGGTCACAGAAGAGTTCCTAGTCTCTCCATGCTAGCTACCAAAGTGACCTCTCCTCTCCGTCCTTTACTTACTTGTAGCTGCAGCAACTGCAAAAGGGCTTGCAAAGGAAGGAAGGACCCTCCGCATTGTCCCAATATGCCACTCTTCCTGGGCACTATGGCCATGTGATATGCCTTGGGAAGACTCCAGTTCCCAAGAGCCACTGCTCTTTTAGCCCTGACATGCAATAATCCATTAAAAAGCTATAATTAATAATTCAAGGACCATATGGTATCTTTCCAGAAACACCTAAGTGGTTAATTGAATGTGAAATTCCTTTCCTCTTCTCCAATATAAACTACTACAAAAATATTTATATCCCTTGTCTTGCTGGGTTTATTTATGAGTTGGTAATAAAAACACAGAAGTGTTATAAATTGAAACTTTAATCTCTCGCTTGACTCGCTTTTCAAAATCTCAGGGTGCCTTTTTCATTTTATTTTTTACTTTCCTATTCCTGACTTTAGAATACCCCCTCTTCCTGTATTATTTTAAGCTGCAACTGTACACACTTACCTGTGTGTGCACAGTTCACATATGTTCACATTAGAGTTGGACTTAAATTATTTATGTAATTATTCATTGCATTTATATCTCACCTTTTCACTAAGGAGTTCAAGGTGGCATTCTTGGTCCATTCATCCCCATTTAATCCCCACATCAATCCTGTGGGGTAGGTTAGGCTGAGAAGCTGTGACTGGCCCAAGGTCACCCCGTGAGCTTCATGGCTGAGAGGGGGATTTGAACCCTAGTCCCCCCAGGTCATAGTCCAACACTCTATAACTGTTACTCTACACTGGCTATGCATAGGTTTGCACTGTTAAAAAGCAATTTTGCAAGTTAGCAGAAAACGGGAAATAATACTTGGGGCCATATGTATTTGAGGCGGTTGCTGATGACCCATTCTCCCAGAAGACTTAAATGGAGGCTTAAAATCCATTGTCTATGACCAAGAGGACATAAACATGTTAGGAGGGCCTTGCTGGAACAGAACAAAGGCCTGTCTAGTCCAGCATCCTCTCTCCTGCAATGGCCAACCCCATGCTTTTGTGAACCAGGGCATGAAGGCAGCAGCCCTCCCCTACTCTTATACCATATGGCTACCATGGCTAGAAACAATCCCAGTGAGTAGATTGCTTTCCCTACAGGAAAACAGGGCATTTACTGAAGAGGCAGAATTCCCATATTTAAGATATTCTGCGCTTATCGCCATCTTTGGGTTATAAAATAGCTAAGAGAAGGTACCTCATTAAACATGTAAGCTTCTTTGAGTTACCAAGAAGACTCTCAGGGAGAATGAGCAACCTAATCACAAAATCTTTACCACTTCATAAACATACAGAACAGGATGACCCACAGGGGATTATAAAATGTTGCAATAACTTAATAATGCTGTTTGCCCATACATTCACACAAAGAGAGTGATAGCATCAGAGGCAACCTTAAGTCCCCCCCTCCCCCGATCAGAGACCAGGAAGCAGTTTTGTTGTTGTCTAGTCTAATGGAATGTTGTACAGGGTGGGATTCTAGGAGACTCAAGGACATTTTCACTCTGGGTGGGTAGGTAGCTCAGTGGATAGGTTTTGCTTCACTTTCTACCAGATTGCCATCTTTTGGCTTGGGAAAGCGGTCCTTGCCAGCAACCGTGGCTTTTATCATTTATTTACTTGTAACTTAACTTGCTTTTACAGCATTTGCCTTATTAGTTCACTTGCCTAAGGCATGTATCTCTGGTCTGATTCATCTTGTTCATTCCTGCTTTCTGAAGCATAGCATTCATGAATTTCATTGAGTTTGAAGCATTCATCTTAAGTTGTTATGCTAGAATGCCTTTTCCATACATCACATACAGGGCCAGGTTACCTTTAATGAAATGCAATTCTCTTTACAGCCCAAGACGCAGTGAAACAGACCATCCCTTTGCAGGCGCTGCATTGCAAAACACAGGGAGGTACTGAACTATGCTTTATTCAGAAGAGACCCATGGAAATTAATAAATGTGGCTAATGTCCACCCACAGTATTCTACAAGCTTCACAATACTATTATGTTGCTGGCACATGCTGGTATGCTTGTCCTTATATTTGCTGTCATGTTACCTGTTCCTTAATGAAAACAGTAAACTAGCCCCAAAACATTTTCATGCATCAAAACATTTTGACATACAATTAATTATCCTGAAGGAGGCTATACACCCGATTGCAAAGCCTTTCTCTTTAAACCATACTTTATGTGGTACAGTACTTTTTTCTAATTACCCAGGACACCCTTTAAGGATATTGTTGAAGTTTTCATTATGAATGAAGATCAATAGGGATATATCATGTTAGGAGAAATTATAGCTTCTGATTTACAGTCTTGTTACTTCTGATTTGCCTGCCAGCTTAAATAGTTAATCCCCATTCCATCCATATTAATAAACATTCTACTGATGTGAATAAAGATTTGCTTCCATATAAAAGCATTCTGGATCACCTGAAATTAACAGATTTTTTTCATTCTAGACTAATTCTCTATAACTTGAAGGGTAGCAAACTCTTTCAGAAACATGTTTGGCTAAAAAAAGTTTATTTTTAAATAATTGTCTCTGGAGTTCTAAAATCTCAGCAGGCAACTCTCTCCTCCCCTAAATTCTCAAGCCAATTGAGTGAGAGCAGTGCTTCCTGAAAAGGCATACACTTGAAGGAATCAGAAAATTACCAAACATCATTTTCTGACAGTTGAAAAGATTCATGCAAAGCAATTAGTACTTTCAGCACAGCCCTAAGTAGGTCTGTATTAAGTTCTACCATGTTATCTTCAGCTTTAAAATCTCTCTGCTTCTGCAAATGTTAGGTCATAATTTGATGTAGTGATCTCCAACATTTTGCTCCATAATTCCATCAAGATTTGACTAACTCAGACTGCTTACAGCTTTAAAGTTTAACTGACCCCTTTAGATAGCATATGGCTGCAGTTTGCCTCAAAGCTTTTTTGTGTGCTAAATTGAATGTAGGGTATTGTATTAATGCACTTATAATTATGTTTTATAGTCCTAGAATATAACAAATGTGTGTTTTATTTAAGACTCTTGGCCACAAGAGAGCAGTTAGCTTTTCATCCTTTCTAATAAAAATCATGTATGGGGTTTTTGGAAAACGTTCAGACAAGATAATCATTGGTGGATTGATGGTATGTTGATGGGAAGCAGGCATCTTTAAGTATTAATTTTTGTAGCTCAGTCATGCACCTTTATTTCTGTCTCTTATACTATATGAAAAAAACAGGAAGGAACATGACCTGCAAATGGCATGTTATCACAACCTCTGGGCTATGCTATAGAGCACATCACGATTTAATAAACTCTTGGAATGTTTTCCTGCAGCTTTTTCAAGACTTATTACATATTTAACTGGAGCAGTTGATGTAGTTGAAGACTTCATCAACTTGCTTGCAAGTTAGAAACATGACCTTCAGTAAGGTGTAGGTTTTACTTATTTGTGCATGTAGCTGCAGGCTGGGTGAGTTCCCAAATGGAATTTGAAACATGAGGGTTATTTTTATAGTTGAAAAGATCATATTGTGCAGTGACAGAAATGTGGATTATAAGCCGCAATTGAAATGAGAGTTAAAGTATGAAATGGGAAGAACACCACTCTTTCGCACTTCCTCCTTCAGCTCTATAGACTTTTCAGTGCTAAGCTAGGTGGGAGCAAGTATGTGATTCAACAGCTTGCTCTTGACTGCCTAATCATGGTGACATTAGCACCATATCCTGCAGTTGTGTAGTGAGGGAAGTAAATCCTGCAGCACAACCCATTAATCTGCCATTCTCTAAATGAATGGTTATAATAAAAAAATACTTGCATGAAAACATTCTGTGATGGTAAAAAATGCCTTTAGGATGTTGTGACATGCAAGATCCCCATCCTGTCCGTGTCCATATTTACACCTAGTTTCATGCAATACAACAGTTTTGTGCGATATCACTGTGGTGCATCTGGAGACTCTGGCTGTTGACGGTGCACCAAACTGACTCAGCTTGCAACACATTCATATTTTACACTAGTGAAACAGGTGTTGTCTCACATTAATCAAAGGATCAAGCCAAAAGCTCTTCCCTTTAAATCATTCTGAGGGCTTGGTTGCAATCAAGATCCCTCATGGGAATGCGTTTGTCTGGAATCAGTTGGATGAAGTCACAAATGCCAGGACTTCAGAAGTGATCCACTGCTAATGGAATGCAATAGAAAAGTACTCCCTTCTTCTTCTTCTTCTTCTTCTTCTTCTTCTTCTTCTTCTTCTTCTTCTTCTTCTTCTTCGCAACTGGAGTATGGAGCTGATCAGTTCCTTTCTTTCCAGTCAGTGCATATAGCAGCAAACCTGTGGTCCTATTGTTAGTTAAGAAAAAGGAGGCTAACACAGAAGAGAAGGAGGTGGCACTCCTACCCCCTTTCAATGCCTTTTAATAACAGTTAATCTACAGTCTCTCACATTAAGTGAGAAGCACCACATTAGGGATGGGAGGGTGTTTCCCCATAAATCAATGTCAATTTATAAGAAGGGCCCAGCTTCAAAAAATGTGTATCCAGAGTGATAACACGACTCAACCAATGCCCTATGTTAACTGAGCATGCATACACCTCCCCAAGAATCTTCTGCAATGCTTGTTTGAGTGTAGATCTGCTGAGGCTCCTCACAGGGAAGTCAATATTGAAAGGGGTTCCTGCAAACTAGTTAGCTGAAAACCACTGCACCAGAAGATCAGAAAAATCCTCTTTTAGAGGCTCAGAGAGGGAAAGAGAAATCTGAAATAGTAGGGAAAACATCTATATTCTTTCACACTTTGGTAAGGTCTGTTTGGAAATAATTCAGATCCTGGGCATGTAAAGAATGGTTCCATTGAAACCTTTCAAGCGGAAACTTCAAATCCTCAGATGAAAGACTTATAATAGACTATAATAAAAACCAACATGTTTTATTAATTCAGCCTATATTCCCAATATGTTTTAAATGTGTTTTGTGTGGTGGATTATAGCTAAGGGAGTGGTTTCCTTTTGGGGGGGGGGGATGTTAAGTTCAAATGTTGTTGCCAAAATACTTCTTCACTGTATGTAGAATAATCGGACTTGAAGGTTAACTCCTTTTCAGATCTAGTTTAGAGGGAATTAGGGTACAGCTTGAAGTTTGGTAACTTGATTTAAAAGCTACAGGACCATTTTCATTACATGTTTTTCTTTTAGTGTAGCATATAACCTGCAAACAATTATAGGAATAATCTAGTCCCTTTGTGGCAGAGCATGAATTTTGCTTGGTAGGAAGAAAAGAGATGCATTTTCCCATTAATTATTTGAGAGACACTGTTTGAGTTCTAGCTTGTTAGCATGTACAATCCTGTGCATACTTACCTAGGAGTAAGCTTCACTGCATAGAATCAGACTTGCTTCCAGTTAAATCTACATAGGATTGTGCTTCACATCACCTAAAGAATAATGTATTAAATATCTATTCTGTTTTAGAAAAATAAATTCTGAATGAATTGACTAGCATACTAACCCAGCTAGCTTCAAACAGGATTTAAAATAAAACCAAATAAGTGCATTAAAATGTATATATGAATTTGTTCTTTATAAATGCCAAGTAAGGTTTATTATAAATCATTACTAAATGTGCTGAAAACAGGCTCCTTAAAATTCTGTCAATACCCAACATGCTTTGAGAGACAATCTGGTTTTTGTTTTGTTTTGTTTTGTTTCTGGTGGTCTGCTGCAGGCTTACCTTTCTGGCTTTTATGAAAAGAAAACGCCAACAGTAATTCTAACCAGTCATCTCTGTAAATCGACTCCAGTCTCTGTTCCTCATTAAGTGATTCAAAGCGCTCCGGAGCCTGTGTGCAATTTTTGGGGTGCCAGTTTCCTTGTTTCCACTTGGATTCTGTGGAAACTTGGGCAAGCCAATGACTCTGCGAAGTCACAATCCAGGAGAGATATTACTCATTTTAATAGCATAGCACTCAGTGCTATTTAACAACAGTACTCTTAGAGGAAAAATCAAAGCATGAATCATAAATCCCTGACAGTTTATGGACAAATAGCAGCAGAATTACAGATGATGGCAATCTGTTTTAAATATACAAACAAAGCAATGAAAAATGGCATGTTGTGTGTGCATCTCGGCCTACCTCTGAGCCTGTATTTTGACATGTGGGAAGATGTTCTGGAAAACAGGACATGTCTCTGCTGTCATTTTGTTTTTGGCAGACTGTTGCAGGCTTACCTTTTCCAGGTGCAACCTTATATGTACCTAGATGGAAACTAAAACATAGTGACACTTATAACATGTAAACTGTGGTTTTTCTTTAATCCCCCAAAAGCAACAATGATGGATATAATGAAATGCACCTGCAGTTCTCAAGCCAATTGTTCTTCGGTACCTTTTGCACTGTTTATAATAGTTTCTTAAGATTAGAAAAGCTGAGATGTTGCCATTTTGTTTTTTAAAAAAGACTTAAGGGTAATATAACATTTTTTAAACTGATGCTTTAGTTTCATAACAAACTTTCTGAAGAATGACAGGGTTTATTCTTTTCCTCCCCTCGCATACAGGCTTGGCAACTCAGATTCAACCATCTTGTGGGCTATGGGGCCAAGTATTATTCCTACCTCATGTCCAGGGCTGTCGCATCCATGGTTTGGAAACAATGTTTCGTACAGGATCCTTTCGACAGGTACAAAAAAATAAAATAAAGGCGTGTTGCTGTGCAGTTTCCATCTTTAACATGGTTCTTTTACTTCCGATAGCATTTTTTGAAATTCAGGGGTAAAACACAGCAAAGCAAAGATAATTTATTCTCGGTAGAAGTCAGATGTGGAGAGATGAGAGGAGTGGTTTGTTTTAAAGAATTGCAAATGCATTGGGTTCTCCAGCTTCCTGTCTGTGTTTATGAGTAGGTAAGGACTGCGGGAAAAGCAGGCTGGAACCTCAGCCAGTGTATGCACACATTCAGGGCACAGCAGAGCAGGAGCATTTTCTGGATGACCAGGGAACCATGCTTGCACTCTTGGTAGATGTCAGCTTAGACCTCTGGCACCAGGTTTGCTTCCCCATCAGAACCCTTTTGTACCTCTTGTTCTGACGTTTGCGGAGTATGATGGGGTGGGGGATAAAATGGAATGGGGGAGCACCAGAGAATAAATCTCCCTCCATTGTCCCTGATTCAGAACTGCTAATGACAATAGAGTGCTACGGATTGCCTTCCGCTAGAGCAGTGGTTCTCAACCTGTGGGTCCCCAGGTGTTATTGGACTACAACTCTCACCATCCCTGAGCTCTGGTCTTGCTGGCTAGGGGTGATGAGAGTTGTAGTTCAACAACATCTGCAGACCCACAGGTTGAGAAAGGCTGCACTAGAGGGTTGGGTAGTTGCCATTGTGAAATAAAACCATTTTCAGTACGCTTAATTGATTGCTTTCTGAACAGGCCTCCTGTGATTTTCTTTTTTTCTTTTCTTTAACATTTTTTTACATTGTTTCATTCATTTACACAGTTTATCATTCTTTACAAGACATTCCACATTATACTACCTATCTGTATCTGTGTGTATTTATATATTTTCCTTATTCCTATCCTTGTGACTTCCCTCCACCCAAGCTTGGCTTCTTTTGTTTTTCATTACTTTTATATTGTGTTATACATATTGTTTACATATTCCCCAATAACCATCTTTCCATATTTTAACTTTAACTTTACGAACTTCCATCAATGCATATCAATATCTTTGTTTTGGAACAATGTTTTGCCATATATTCTTCTACACATTCCCATTCTTTCCTCAGTTTCTGATTGGATTGAAATCTAATAGCTGCCAACAATTTGGCCAATTCTGTATACTCACAGAGTTTGTTTTGCCACTCCCTTATTGAGGGGACCATGTCCCTTTTCCAATTTTTAGCAATCAATATTCTGGCGGCTGCTGTAGCACATAAAAACACTTTTTTCTTGTCATTAGGGATGTCCATTGAGACTATACCTAATAGGAACGCTTCTGACTTTTTCTCGAATAGTGATTTAAACATCTTTTTTAATTCTTCGTGAATACTACTACAGAATTTTTTAATTTCCCTGCATCCCCGCCATACATTATACATCGTTCCTTCTCAGGCCTGTGCTTTTCGTAGGTGGCTGCCATTGCAGCACTACAGCCGCAAAAGCAGCACCTACTGAAAGGCTGCACGCCTCCATTACAGTCAGTTGTGAATACTGTAGGAAGTTTGTCCCGTGTGGAGATTGCCATTCTAACCCATGGACCTTTAGGACTCTTAAGAAACAGGCTTGTTCCACTTCATTTAACAAAGACACATATTTTGCACAGCTAAACTCGCCACATCAGAACTCATCAGTGCACACTTGTTGAGGAGCCATCCCCAAATGGATGGGAAATGCCTCAAATCAATGAAGGTTTGAGGCAGGTAGAGAATTCTGCAGGGAGTTGAGAAGCTTGGAGGAAGTCTGAAGAGCATGTTCAAGGGGCCTCTCTTCCTGCTAGGAGCAGCATATTTTCCAAGCTCCGAAGGCAGAGTGGGATTCTCTGACTTACCCTTGACATAGCATGGAAACCTGCACCTGCTTGGATGCCTATCTGCTTACAGAAATGCAGTTCCCATGTGGTGATGCACATGCCAATCATCCATTCCTTCTTAATCCCATTAACTCAACCTGGATTTTTCTAGGGGATAAGTTGCTGTCATTTAAAGAACTTCCTGTCAGTGAGTAACATCACAGTGTTTAAAATCAAAACCACATGACTATTAATGTTGGAACTGGTCCAGGTCCTTTCTCTGCTGCCTATTTTAGTGTGAATGATACGATTGTGTACTGAAACGTGAAATTTCAGCCTCTGAATTTCTTACAATTCTGTAAAGCAAAGATAACACAGACGTTTCACACTTTTCCAATTCAACAATGAAAGCTTACTGTTTGGTGTATGTGTTGCGAGTGGCAACACCAGCAAAATGATATGAGATATAGATATGTAGATAGATATATTGCTTTGGTTACAGCTCCAATCTTTCAAGCTTAGCTTGCTCCAGTGTAACTTTATTTATAGTGTGCGTTTCTGAAATGGACATGTGAGTTTGAAGCGACAGGCTTCATTAGACCTTTATCTGCAAGGAATCCGGAGGCAGGTGTGACAGGAATCTGAGCTGGTTGTGATTGCAGGTGGCTGTAATAACAATACCATCTTTTCCTTCAGGGCAATGGGTGAACGTTACCGTAGAGAAATGCTAGCACATGGTGGAGGAAAAGAACCCATGCTCATGGTTCAAGGTAATATAAAATATTGTCACAGACTGGTTTCCCCCCCTGTACACTTATTTGGACAAAGACTACTGCTTGTACTTTAAAAACAAAAAAACAAAACCCTGCAAAGTAAACTTCTTTACCACTGTGCCCTTTTCACTGCTCTTTTAGATAGCATTTGCTAAAGGGCACACACGATACAGCCATCCACTTCTTCAAACTCTTCTTTGCTGAGGAATGAATGCAGCTATCTGCTTTTAGAGGAAGCTGAATATGGGGGCTGGCCCCTAACTGGTCCTCGATATTTTGATAGAGCAAATTAATACAATTTTGAGTAACGTCATGTTAGACGTTAAGTGAATATTCACTTCAATGTGATATATTATTTGCAGGTGTAATGGGTAATTGCAGCCTTAGCTGTAAGTTGCTATAACACCAACTTAACGAAACAAGCTAACGGAACCAAAATCATCGTGAAGTAATGAAAGGAACAGGACAGCAACATTTTGCCATGGTTTTTACAGTATACCAATTGCTGGTGTTTGAAGGCTAGGAAAGGTGTGGTTAACCCATGTACTGTAATATGGAAGGTGCAGTACTTCAAAGGAGGCAACTTCCATAGTTGCCCCAGGCTTGGGAGGGACTGAGTGAAAATTACAGTCAGACTTATGCCTAAAATAAATTCACAGGTTTTAAAACAGCAGCTGCCTTTGTTAGATCTCTTGGAACTCAAGAGCCATGTATTCTGTATATATCACATACATTATAGTCCCTAAGGAACTATCGTCGTTACTATAGTCATTTGATCCTTGTGTTTTCAAAACAGTGGGAATGTTGGCTTGGAGGGTGTGGATTTTTTTATGTGTCTGGTAAATCATGAATTTGTAACATTAGCCTAAGTTTGTAAGACTGAAGAGAGTGTTTCGTAAATATGACTATAGTGCAGGCTGTTCATTGCTCTCAGTGTTTCTCTGTTGAGACAATGGAAGTGTTTGCCTTGGGCCATTTCATGTTTTGGAAAGGGTAATAGCCCCTGTGCAAAATGAGTATTGCCTGTAATTCCCCAAAGGGACTGTTGTTAAAACTATGTTATGCTATCAGCAGTTGGATAACTGGAGGCTGCAATTAAGATAAGATGGAGAAAATGTTTGATTTAAGTATATCTGACAAGAGACTAATTCAGTTCAGTTATAGGATTGTAAAATGATTATGTTGATAAATTTATCACTGATATGAATAATATGACATACTACAGTATATACCTGCAATTAGCTATTTAACCTGGAACTCAGTATGATTTTTAAGTTTTTAAAAATTTCATTCATTTTTTTAAAAAAACCAACAACTTCCCCCTCATTCGTCCCACACATACTACAGGGCTCAAGGCGTCCTCATTTTGGCTGTGTTTGTAAACTCTGTTACAGATTTTACTTCCAGAGAGAAACAAGGAGCGATGAGCAGTGGTTTCAGGGGCAGGAGAGAAGTGGCTTATTGTGAGAAAGCGGGAAAATGGCTGTGGGCAGAACTAGTATTTGGAAACCTTACAAAACTGTTTTATCAGTGTCAAATGGGAATTTATTGTCCAGACCGCAAAAGTGTTACCAAAAGTGAAGGGGGTTCAAAGAGTCATCACTGCCATATAGCTGATGCAGGCAGCCGGCTTCTGTAAAAATCTCACAAGCCCATTCCCCTCCCCATCTTTTTTATTGCAGTTCATTTGTGTTTCAGAAATACGGGCTCCCTTAATATTCCTCCTCAGATAACTAAATGCCTGTATTAAAGCATGCCATATTTTTAATCATCTAGGTATTCACTTTGTTTTATTCTACCAAGAGGCAAGGTAGCAAGCATGGCCCATGTTCAGGGTGCTTCTTATACTGCCTTTGATGATGAAATATGATCTGACTAAATTTTAATTCTCCTTTTTATTTTTCTGCACTATTCATCAACTTTCTTTAAGGGCATTCTTGTTCTTACTTGCAGTGTACATATTTTAGGCTTAATTAAAATCACGATGCGCTGAGATCCTAGCAAGGAACTCTTAGAGTAACCGCTTCAAATTGCCTCAAGATCTGGACTCTTTCTTTCCCTGATTGGGTGTTTCTTTTTTGGGAACTGTAGCTGTACATCAAAAAAATACCTAATCAAACCAGTTGGCTCTTGTAGAAACTTATTAAAAGGCTCATGTGAAAGATTTCAGTTTTCCTAAATGCAGCAAGTATTGTTATTATTATTCCAATGGAAACCAAATAGACAGAGGCATGTTAGGAGTATAAAGTAATTGTACCTGGTACTCCTACAGTAAAAGGGTATTGCAAGGTTATATTTACATTGGCACTTCTGAGAGTGATTTACCTAAAAGAAGAGCCAAGTTTACACAGAGTGTTTTCTTTGTCCAGTGCAAAACAATACTGGAAATTTCCTAATCTGACACTTAAAATGACATGAAAAACACACATCCATATGTTAAACTGCATATATTCAATTGTATATTTTTTCCCTATGGGAAAGAAAACATACACACACAAATTCATCAATGGCTGTTTAAAACCACAGAGGTAAGTACACACATAGGTTATGCTTTCTGACATACAGTGGTACCTGAAGCGCCGTATCTGCGCAGGTGCACAGCGCAATTTGGCACTTGTGCGCATGCACGAAGCACGATTTAGTGCTACTGCGCATGCGCGAGTGGCGAAACCCAGAAGTAACTCTTTCCGGTACTTCCGGGTCGCTGTGGGACGCAACCTGAAAAAACGTAACATGAAGCAAATGTAACATGAGGTATGACTGTATGTATGTGTATTGTTTAGATATCCAGTAAATGTCCAGCAGATATGTATAAGTAGACATTTCCAAATAGAAACATTGTTCCTTTCATACTTAGGGGAGTGGTGAAGTGCTGATTGATCATGTGGTGTTTCTAAACCAATTCCCATATAATCTGATTCCATGTTTTTTGGCAGATGCTCTTGACAGCTATATTGGAGTGGTTCGACATGTCACAATTTCCTTCCACTTCAGGGCTGCCTTGCTTGTGAAATCCATTTTCCCCTGACCTGTGTTTCCACTCTCCCCCTTAGGTATGCTTCAGAAACGTCCATCAGTGGAAGACTTTGTGGATGCCCTTGTTTCAGACTTGGATCAGGATTTTGAAACGTTCTTCATGGATTCTGAATAGCAAGAGAAGAAAATTAAGCATTCCGGTGAAGAATTTTGAAAAAGGCGTGTACCATCAACAGTGTACACATAACTCTTGTGGGTTGCATTGCTGCATCCTCACAAGTGCTTGGGTAAAATAAATGGTTTACCTGAAGAGCAGGATGTTTTTTCATTACAGAAAGATCATCATAGCCAAGGCTTTGAAACAGGTATGCTTTGCATTCCTGTTAACCTATTTGAAAACGTATTCTTATATGAACACGTGACAGCTGATAGGCCAGGGTTACCAATAGCAAGGGACAGCCTTATGTAGGTACTTAACGGCATGTGCTGTAATGGGCATGGCCAGTGGGTGCCCATGGAGAAGTGCCCAATGGGTACCATCCCACACCCTTCTGTGAGTTCACTGAATGCATTGGGAAGGGTACAAACCTCTTATGTGATTACACTGGAAGCCTCTTTTGTCTGTTTACGCATGATTTTAAACTAACATAAAGCAAGTAACATTTGCAAGTGGGAAGTGAAGAATTGCCAGCCAGTCAGAAGAAAAGAGGAACAAAAATGGCCTGACCTTTATGGAGAGGTTGATATGGCAAAAATCAGGAAGTGAATGTTTTCATAGCATAAGATAAGCATTATTTATTGCTGATGTCTGTGTATCAAACTTGCTGTTTAAACCTTGGAAGCAGGAGCCAGTAGGGAAAACTACAATAGACTCAAGATACCTCAGTCTTTGTTCCCAAAGAACTTGGGATTTTAAAATGCATAACAAATAAATAAAATGCACAGTAATTTAGGATACACTTTTCAGTTGTTATAGTGCTATCCTTAAACCATCTTTGCTTTGCTTTTTGTGTTTTTAATTTAAAAGTCAGACATTTAAGGACCATTGTGCCAGTACTAACTCCTGCAACTAAGATGTAATTTGACACATTAATGTTTTGCATTTTGTTTGGCTCTAACCACACGAGTGTGGAAAAATCAGATTGCATCATCCTGTAGGCATTACATTTTTATGAACAGTAAAATTCACTCTAAACTAATTGCCCTGGATTAAGATGCCAATAAAGAATTGTTACAATAAAGATAAAGAAAAGGAATATTACTTACTGGAATATTAACCCAGGGCTTTTCCTTGCTCTTGGAGAAGTTACTTTCTGTAATTCTCTATTGGAAGAAGGAAAGTTTATCGAGGTTAACAGTTATTAAAAGAGCCGATATACTAGGGCCTGGTTTGCACATCATAATAAACCATGGTTATCTAAATACCAATTGATCAAACCATTGTGTAGTGTTGTGTGAACCCTTACAAGTAGCTTGATTCTGGTTTGTTTACTTCCAACAAATCACAGCCTGAAGCTGTGGTTTGCTGCTGACTTACAATTTGTGGTTTCAGTTGCCTTGGCATCACATGTTTGCTTGACCACCTCACCCCATAGGCTCTCTAAACTACAAAGCCAAGTACAGCTGGAAAAGAAACCAAACTTTGGAGAAGCAAACCATGGTTTCTTTGATCATATGTGAGACTACTTGTGGTTAAGTCATGGCTTATTAAAGAAGCCATGGCTTAGAAAAAAGTAGCAACTGTTTATTGAGATTTCTACATCTATAGTTTTCAATTTATGAGATGTTCCTCCACATGAATGTATGGCACCTGGTAGGGAAAAAAATGAGTTCTTTGATGGTAGAGGTGGGGCTCTGTTTTACTTCCTACTATAGTCTGAAGTATAAATGATGAATATACAGGGCAAGGCCTTTTCATCTGCAGCACCCAAACTCTACACCCTCATGTATGGAAGGTTAGGCTAGTCCCTTTCCAGTTGGTGGAAGATGGTGTAGACCATGTGGCATCAGGCCTTCAGTATTAGACCATTTGTGCCATGCAACTGGTTTGCTGTTTAGCTCTGCAGCTGGTTGTGCTTTGTGTATATGTATTGCTTATTTATTAGTAGTAGTATGTTTCTTTTTAAATATACATTTATATGTACCTCTCTTCAATGGAGCTGAAGCTGGCATACAGAAGGTTCCCAGATGGTCTTCTCCCCATGCATTAACTCAGACCGAAACCTGCTTAACTTTAGCAAGGTTGCTTCAGGACCATATGCTGTCATCTTTCAAATGTTACAAAAGATTTGTCAGTTCAAATTATTTTTATCTATGAAATATACATGCACTGAAACTAAATAGCAACCATGGTCAAATCCCATGCTAATGTATTGTTTTGTTGTCTTACTCAAAAGGAAATGGTATTCTGAAAAGATTTCTCTGTCATCTGCTAGCTTTAAAAATGCTTCCAGCTGTTCGGATATCTTAACTACGTTAGCCATTTATTCTGTGCAGATTTGCAGAGATCACTGCAACTGGCTTGGTTAACATGCAACAAAAGCCATGATCTAAAACAATGAAAGGCTTACTGCAACTGAGCAGTGTGCTGACGGATGCTGTTCATTTGCTCCTGCCCCCGCCCCCATGCATTGCAAGGGTGGAAACAAATCAGATGATTGGCTTAGTGTTATGTGCAAATGGACACTCACAGCTTGTTTGGAGAGAAACAAGCAGTGGCTTGCATGTAACTAAGCCAGAGCTCTAGGTTGTTTCTTCTCCCATGCAGTCCAGGGAGGAAGGGGTTGTGTGTGAATGAGCAGCCTGCATAAGCAAGCTGTCCATTTGCAACAAGCCACAATCTTCATACTACATATGCTGGGAAATAACTAGGGAATACCAACTACCGTATTTTTCGCTCTATAACACGCACCCGACCATAACACGCACATAGTTTTTAGAGGAGGAAAATCCGTAGGCATGCCACCCATAGGCATTTCCTCCATAACACGCACAGACATTTCCCCTTACTTTTTAGGAGGAAAAAAGTGAGTGTTATGGTGCAAAAAATACGGTAATTCTGAGGTCCCACATGTGTGGGAAGCCACAAAAGAAAAAATGGCTGACTGCTTGAATTCAAAAAGAGTGGTGTTAGACTCACTCTCTAGTCAAAAGAACTCCCAGCACTCAAATATGCAGCATTTGCAAAATGCAGGACATCTAGATTGTTAGACCTTTAAATGTCCCAGTATTAAGTGCTCACAATGTGCTCCCCACATCTCTATCCCTCTTGCAATGAATAGACTACAAACTTAAGTAAGTTTAAATGCTTTACTTACAGTAATCAAAGGTCTCACTCATGCATCATAGAATTTTAGAACTGTAGAGTTGGAAGGGACCACAAGGATCTTATTCTCAGACAGTTCTTCCTGATGTTTAGTCAGAATCTCCTTTCTTGTAACTTGAAGCCATTGGTTTGATTCCTATCCTCCAGAGTACAAGCATCATTCAATGCTACAGCAGAAACAACACAAGTAAAAACTTATTAAGTACAAAATACAAAAAGTATCTTTAAACATGGAGTCTGCTCAAGCATAATACGTCTGGTTAATTACATGGTTCAAGAAGAAAAGAGAGGGAGAGAACAGGGGGGGGGGACTTTATGTCCTCCCGGCTCTGGGGTTGATGGGTCATGACCAAGCTGAGCCTTCTCTAGCAATTTACAGCTCTGTGGTCCTTAACACCTACATTTACTAGCTAGCATAGACATGGGTTGTTAGGTTTGACTGCAAAATCTCCCGCAACATGCTAACCAGGTCTTCATAATATTGTAAGCAGACCATGTTACTGAGTAGCTCCATTCAGTTGAAACTCTGCACATGCCCCATAATGGTGTGTGAGATTTAGCTTTGCTCTAAGCAATCCAAGTATCATTGTGGTGGATAGGCAAGCTCTTATTGTGTTAGTCAGCACTGGTGTAAGATGGGGGATTGCATCTTTTCCAAGTTTACATTTATTCACACCTATTAATCTACAGTTGCAGTGCTAGCATTGTTCTGGTCCTCTGGAGCAAGCACACTAATATTGACCTTAATCATCCAGACTAAGCAGAGTCATCAAGGTCAATGAAATTCTGTGTGCACGCAATCATTTCCAGTAAATGTCCTAAGAGTAATATTGAGAATTCTCAGAAATGAGCCTTTTAGCGACTACATGTGTCCCCGTGAAAGTGTGAGCACACCTACAGATCTGGGAGCAATCTCTTGTGACCCACAGTCTGTGCTTGCCCAATCAACTCTTGGAAATAGCACCATGTGGAAGAAGGAGCCATATTGTAGCACTCCTGTCTTACTGTCTCAGTTGGGTTCTCAGAAGGGCATTTATATAACTGTCCTTTACTTTTAATATTATCATTTGGTGCAAAGGGCTCTTCAATGCAGTTTTTCATTAAAAGGGGCAAACAATGAAACACTCAACATCAAAACATGCAAGTCATCTATTAAAATTATGAAACCAATATCACAACCAATAAAAGCAACAGCAGGAATCTTAAAATACAGCAGTAAGAAGTAACAGCACTCTCAATAACCCAACTATATAAAACAGCAGGTGAAACGGACAAAAAATGGTTAAGGATGAATTCTAACTATGTCTACTTCTAAGTTCCATTCAATTCAATGGGTCTTACTCTCACATAAGTGGGGTTAGGGTTGCTGCTGACCACCAAATTTTGTGCAGATCATATATTGATCTGAAGGAAGGTTATGCTGCTGAAACTAAGCAGATGTGGCCCAGTAAGTGTCACCTTGGAATTTCATGTAAGCTGCTGGATCTGTGTGTGTGTTTTACATCCCAGTGATTTCAGTGGGATAATCATCCAGCAAATTCTTAAATCTCTGCATTTGAAACCGCTGGATCATGCTCTTAAAAGTCTCCGAGGTCCTTTGAAAGGACATGTCTTTTTGCAGCAGCCTATATACCATGCCTAAGTGTCAGATCCAGAAGGAAAATTGTTGCAACACTTTCCATTGGAGCCTCTGGGGAATACAGGTGAACTAACAACTTTTATGCCACACTAAAACCCTCAATAAAATAAGTTATATCAGATTAATTGATACTAGGCAGTGGTAAAAGGTGTTTATTGCAGAGTGGATGTTTACATTATGGTTTATTATGGCCTTTGAAAAAGCACTGGGCAAAGAGAGTAGAGCGACTGCCCTAAATGGCATAGGCTAGAGGGTCCTACCTCTTGTGTATAAATTAGGCTGAACCTTCCATAATGATATAAAACAAATATCTGAATAATAAGGCTTGCAGCCCACCCACCAGAAATCATCTCCCGTACAGCACATTGGGGAAATGGGATTTTGCACCTTAGGCTTCAACTGCAGCATCAAAAAAAGCCAATGAGCTCGTTAGCTACTATGGTTACCAGCTTCTCAAATGGCAGCTAGGGATGGAATTTTCTGAAAACCCACATGAAAGCTTATCCACATAGTTTCACACACCCCCAATCCCTTTCTCTTCCTTGAGCTCAATGAGAAGCAAGGGAGGTGTTTGTTTGTTTGTTTGTTTGTTTGTTTGTTTGTTTGTTGACCAGTTCTGCTAAAGATAGGAATACTTCTCAATGCCTTTTCTGCGGTGGCTCCCCTTTCGTGGGTTGCTCTCCCCAAGGACGCTCACCTGGCACCTTCATTACATGTCTTTAGGCGCCCGGTGAAAACTTTTTTCTTCCAACAGGCATTAGGCTGATTAACATTCTAGGGCTCTTAAAATGTGTTTGTGCGAGTGCGGGGTATCTGTTTGCTTTTGCTTTTTATTATATATTTTGTAATCTGATTTTGTATTTTTCTGTTGCAAACTGCCCTGGGACCTTCAGGAGAAGGGCGGTATACAAAGTTAACTAATAAAATAATAATAAAAATACCATATTTATATGCATTGACACTATAAAGTTTTCTCAAGCAGCCAACACATAAACAGATATAACAATGCATCTAGCTGTATTAAAATATGTATGTTGTTAATACTTTAAAGAATTTGCTGAAAATATATAGTACCACTCAGGGCATAAAAATGTAAGAACTTAAGAGCCCACTGGATCAGGCCCATGACCCATCAAGTCTGGCATCTTGTTCTCATGATGGCCAACCAGAGGCCTATGGGAAACCTGCAAGCAAGATTTGAACACAAAACACTCCTGTGGCTTCTAGCAAAGAGCTGCCGCGGCCGCATTTGAGCGGCTAAACCCCGCCCCCGAGCCTCCCTTCGATTGGTTGGTGGCAGCAGTGACGGCAAGCAAGGGCCGGAACGCCCCCTGCAAAACGCGGGAATGGCTCCCGATCACAACTCCTCCCCTCTGGGAGGAGGAGAGGCTTTCAGAAACATTGCTACTTCCAACTTACGGTGGCAGAGCGTAGCCATCATGACTAGTGGTCATCAATGACCTTCTCCTTCTTGAATCTGTATAATGCTCTTTTAAAGACATCCAAGATGGTGGCCCTCACTGCCTCCTTTGGGGACAAGTGCCATTGTTTAACTATGTGCTGCATGAAAAAGTCCTATCTGTCATGATAACTCCCTGATACATATATGTATTGTTTGCATATTATTAGCTGGACTGGTCAGAATCGCCCAATTCCGTGTATAAATACATTGAAAACAGATTCCTCCTCTGCTCCTACTAACAGCATTTTTGATGTTCAGAAGTTAGTTGCTATTTATCTCTCGGTTGTTAAGTAGTGATTTTGAGGTCCCGAAAAAGTCACAAAAGGGAGACCAAGCCAGTTTCTGCTCACCCTACCTGCTACCTGCTTCTCTTGCTGGCAAAACGGTTCAGGGATTGGGAAGTTTCTTGGTCCTGCCAAGTTCACTGCATTTCTTTATGGATATATGCTTTAAGTATGTACAAAAAAAGTTTTCCTGCTTGGCACCATGATTTCATTAGCTGGACTCTCGTTGGGAACAGCTACTGAGAAAGGGGATTCAAAGCTCTTCTGCAATAAAGTAAATTATATGTGTGTAATAACATTGTGGAGGAATATTATGATTCATGCAGCTTTTCAAAGCTGTTGCTGTTCTTTACGTTCTAGAAGTGCTTTGAAGCCCTCCAACTAGTAAAGCTTTTTCTCAGTGGGGTCATTTTTTAACATCTTTTAAAATCCCTTCTGTTGCCATCAGTTGATACAGCTGCAAAGCTAAAGGGAACAATGGCAAAGATCCTGCAAAGATTTAAACAGCTGCTCAGCTTTATGTGCTTTGCGAATAGCCTGTTGGAAAGGATATAAATCAAGCAAGCACCTGTATATATTTTTGCATGCTTAAGGGCAATGGGAGTGCTAGTTAAAGAAATACTAGACTTTTACTGGCTACAGTAAAAGTCTGTTATGTTTAACGCCTCCATCATCCACAGACGTCCTGTTCCGCAGCTATAATTTTGAAATCATCCTTCTCTCACACAGCTTGTGTGCTGGCTACCACCACCAGAACATGTAAATCTGAATTTCCAGTTTAAAGAAATAGCTGCAGTACAGGTGCTGCCCCAGCAGAAAAGTTGTCCAGTGTCCACCCCAGAGTTTACTGTGTGTTTGCAGCTGTTTGCATTCACATTTACTTTGTGTGGTATTTCCCAACCTTGGGCCTCCAGCTGTTTTTGGACTACAACTCCCATCATCCCTAGCTAGCAATACCAGTGGTCAGGGATGATGGGAATTGTAGTTCAAAAACAGCTGGAGGCCCAAGGTTGGGAAACACTAGTCTACATGATATTACCCTCAAACAGCACAATCTGAGTGCCCTCTCTTAAAACCTGGGTTTTCCTGATAGTGGGGATAATAAGATAAGATGGGAGAAATTGGGCTCCAAACTGTCCCACTTGGGTCACAGGTGATTTAGAAACACAGAATTGTAGAGTTGGCAGGGACCACTAGGATCCTAATCCAACCCACGCAATGCAGGAATCTTTTGCCCAATGTGGCACTCAAACCCACAACCCTGAGATTAAGAGTCTCATGCTCTACCGACTGAGCTACCTTGTTTTGGAGTTCTGGGGTAAGTGGATCCATCATCGCTTTCTACCACTCCCCTTTCTTTTTTAAAAATATTTTTTTATTAAGGATTTTCTTGTTTTACAGAAGTGTAGTGCCTCGTATTTTTTCTTCTTCTTCCATGTAACATTTTTACAAATCCGTTTCATTTGTTGAGGCATTAGGGGGAGAAGGAAAAAGAAAGTAAAAAGAAAGGGGGGTGGAGAGAGGGAAGATGGATGTGGGTGGGGTCGGGTGGCGGTGTTTCTATTATGTTTAATGTATGTAGAGTTTGGTGTCAGCGTTGCTTGTGCAGGTTCTCTGCTGTTCACTTGTGTTCCTTTGGTGGTGAGAGAGGTTGGGGTTGGCCTAGGGTGTGATTGTTTGCTTGTGATTGGCTGTGGTGATCTTTGTTTTCGTGTGTGAGTGAGGTGGGTGGGTGTTTTGGATCAGGTTAGCCATATTGATTTGTATGCTGTTGGTGGATTA